ACATTTATTTGTAACAAATTCAACAACAACAACAACAACAACATCTACTAATAATTTAAATGATTCACAACAACAACAACAACAACAATTGTTGAAAAATAAAATGGATAATAAAAGACAATATTCAAATCCATCATTAGACACAATGACAACTGCAACAACAATTTGTTCATCATCATCATCATCATCATTATCATCATTATCATCATTAAGTCGTTTAAATAGTTTTAATAATCATTATCATTATAAAAATCGTCAACCATCGATAACATCATTGCAAGCAAAATTATATTTTTTAAAAATTTTATCCGAATTACCTTGTTATGGTGCCAAAATGTTCATTACAACTAGAAAATTAATGATGAATAATAATAATAATAATAATAATATGGTTGAACATTACAATGTGAATGAAAACAACAACATCAATAATAATAATAATAATAATAGTGATAATAATGTGAACATTGTAAACATGAACAGTAAACGTCACACAAATGATGAATTGATCAAGAAAAAAAATTTAAATATTGGTAATATTAAATATATGAAACGAAATCAATCGGCGACAACTACTGTAATGAATGAAAAAATCATCATTATAAATCCAAAATTTGGCATTAGTCATATGAATAATAATCATTTGAATCCAGTTTCATATCCACAAACAATAATGAAATTAGAAGATATTCAATCAATACGTGTTACACATAATGATCAAACATTGTTGAATGATGTGGAAATTTATGCCAATCATACAACGGTTGGAAATGTAAATGCAGATTTTATCATATCATTAGATTCGAAAGAAACCGAAGAATTTCTATTATTTGTACGTGCATATCAATCATTATTGTTGATTAATAATTTACATAATAATGATATTGATAATGTGAATAATGGAAAAAATTTAAATTCAAATACAAATAAACAACAAATGTTGAATGATAATGAAGAAAATTTAAAACAATTAATTGAACGTTCAACATTGAAAATACAATGGGAATTACCACGTGAATGGTGGAATGATGGTGCGCCAAGATATTATGGTCATCATAATGTTTTAGCATCCGGCTGGAATTATGTTCCTTCCAATAATAATGATGGTAATGGTCAACGAAAAATACATCAAGCTGATTTATCGATACCACCACCATATTATTCAACAAAAATGGTAAATCTTTGTCAACAGAAGCAGCCAAAAATGATGATAAAATCGATGGAAATTAGAAATCCAACAAAAATACCAATTATTATAACGACAGATTTAACTGCTAATAAAACAACTGAAATAATTGAATCAATAGATTCGCGTGATTCACTGCTTTATACAATGGAAGAAATGAATAAAAATCTAGAAGATCAACTTATCAATCGTTATGATGGTAGACCATTATCAGTGGATATGCCAAGTTTAATATCAATGGAAATACTTGAATCACATGGTCCGGGTCGTCAACAAATAGATGATGATGTGATGGTAATGAAATCTGAATCTAAATGGCAACAAAAACAGCAACAACAACAACAACAAAATGTGGATCAAGTTTTACAAAATGTTAATGAAATGAATCGTATATTGAATGATACGGAAAAATATCTTGATCAAATGATGATGAATAAGAAATCTACAAAAACGGAAATGAATGAAAAAAGTATGTAGATGCCTGTTCTGTTGCCTATCCTATATTTGTTCATCAATCAATTGATTTTTTTTTTTTTGGTCCAAATTAGATATCATTCCCGATTTGACAAGTGATCATCATTGGAATCATAATCATGAAACAGAAACAGCAACAAAAACGAAACAATCAACTTTATTATCACCATCATCATCATCATCTGAAAATAATGATATGTTACTTATACCGAAATTATTACAAGCTGAAACCGATTTATTGGATGCAATGAAATCATTGGACGATGTAATCATTATGAATCACAATAATGACAAAAATGAATCAACGAACAATGTTGAAAATGATTATCGATTAGATCTTGTGGCCATACCACCACCACCACCACCACCAATATCAGGAAATATCAAATTGGATGATGCACAAGCACAACCACCACCAACGCCTTATAAAGAATTGGCTGAAATTTTTCAACCATTAATCGTGATCGATAATGAAACTACTGATTCATCATTGGATCAACAACAACAACAACACCAGCAGCAGCAAACACAAAATTCACAGGAAAGAGTTGTAGCTGAATTAGATATGCTTTGTGATAGTTTAATGGCAATGAAATCACAGAATCAATCATCATTATTGTCATCATCAACACAAATGGTGACAATTTGTAATGATGATGACAATAATAATCATACAATCGGTATTAACAACAACATTGGTGGTCAACAACAATCGTCATCATATGATTCATCATCATGTGATGAAGCAATCATATCAAGATCACCATCAAAAACACCAACAATTATTATTAATGATAATGATCATGATGAGATTGAAGAATTTATCAATTATTCGAATCTTGTAATACCACCACCACCATCATCATCATCACCGCTGGAATCATCGTTAATGTTACAAGAACAATTGAATGTTATTGAAAAATTTCGTCAAGCAACTGATGATGTGAAAAAAATGTGTACATTATATCATGATGTTACGACCGACAACAACAAACAACAGCAACCAGAACTTCCACAACAACAACAACAACAACAACAACAACAACAGCAACTGGATGATCAGCAATTATTTCATCATCCACAGCACGAATGGCTACAACAATTAGCTATGGCTGTACATCAGCAGCAGCAGCAACAGATATTATCTGACTCCGGTAATAATAATAACCGACAATATTATTATTGCAATATACCACAACAATATTCATCATTACCAACATTATATAATAGTAATAATCAACAACAACAACAACAACGACAACAACAATCATCGACAATGGATGAATCAACATTGAATCAACAGAATTATCCAACCAATGATTTACATTCAATCATTCTACAATATCAACAACAACAACAACAACAGCGAATGGATCCAAATGGATTAATCTCGAAAAATATAACAAGATCACAATCATTGAATCAATTTGATTATCAACAACAACGACAGCGACAGCAATCAAATTGTTATTATGATAAAAAAATGGCTATGATGACACCACAACCATCACCACCAATGGATATTTTTCACCACCAAAAACAAGGCCCATTACAACAGCAACAACAACAACAAATTCAATATAAACAAAAACCACCATTACCACCAAGTATAATGGTGATGAAAGAAAAACATCGATTACGTCAACAACAACAACAACAACAACAGCAACAGCAACGTAAAAATGAAAATTTTGAACAACAACAACAACAAATTCAATGTTCATCACAATCGATAATCGATCAAAATAATCAATCAATATCGATGAATATTGGACGTAGATCACCACCAGCTTATCATCATTATTATCACCATCATCATCAACAACAAAATTCACCACAAGATGGTAGCATCACTCCTAGCAGTATAGAGGATGCTTATATGAATGAAGCGGCATTAATAGCAGCGGCAATGCAACAATCATCTACATCATCTGCATCATCATCACCTGGACCAATAACAATGGTTAATAATAATAATTATAATTATTCAACAACATTGTTTGGACAACAACAACAACCACAACAACAACAACAACAACAACAACAACAACAACAACAAATTTATTATCCTTCTAATTTGGGGATGACTGCTACAAAATCACATATTCAAAATAACAACAACAGCAGCAATGGATCTTTATCCGGAACATCATCGATTCAAAATAATTCAATCATAATGCCAACAACAAATAATCAATCACAACGACAGCATCAGCAACAACAGCAGCCAAAACGTTATCATCAAATACGTGAATCGAAAAAAAGTTGTTTTCAAACAAAAGAAATGGAAGAAATATTTATACAATGTCAATATGATATTGATATGTTATTGGCACGATTAGAAGAGGTTCATGAACATCGTATTTCATCCAATAATAATGATAACATCTCACCATCATCATCATCATCATCATCAACAATAACAACAACAACAACAACAACAGCAACTGGTGGCAAACCATTAATGATTGGATCATTGACAGCAAAAGAAACATTATTAGTTGAATCCAGACATTTTATAACGGCATCAAAATTATTTGTTAAATGTGCAACAGAAGGATCATTACAATTAATTGATTATCTTACTGAATGTGTTGGCCTATTGGAACGTATGTTTATAATAAGTGAAGATATATTATTAGGTGATACAACAACAATCATACAATCACCGGCACAAATTACTTGTCTAGTTGATCGTTTGAAAGAAGTTGCAGCAACATATGCATATACTGTTGATGTTGTAAGAAGATTAGTTAATCATAATCCACCATATCATGATCAGAATGATGATCATGATGATAATAATAATAATAATAACGATAATGATAATGATAATGATAATGAAAATGATCAAATAACTAAAAATCCATATCTAGATCTATTGATGACTCATGCAACAGGATTGTCAACTAGTCTCAGTACATTGATGCGTACATTACGAACAATGAATTGACCATTTGACCTATTGTTTTTTTTCCGGATAATTTTATGTATTATGTGGAATGAAAATTGATGCAAAAAAAAAATGAATAAATAAATGAATCTTTTTTTTCATTTTTTAATTTATTAATTTTTTAAGAAAAATTATATTCCAAAATTGACGATTGATTTAGTTATTTTTCGATGTTAAATATATGTTAATTAATTGATGACGGCAATATAATATAATAATGAAAATGTTTCAATTTCAATTGTTAGTGTGTCGGTGTTAATAAAATAGTGGACAAGCATTTTTTTTTCTTTCTTTCTTTTCTTTTTTTTTAAATTTCTCTCACTCGATTTTTTGTTTTCTCGATTTCTACCTGAAAATGTTTTTTTTTGCTGAAGATTTATTTTTCTTATTTGATCCATAATTTAACAATCGAATGATGATAACGACAATGGCATTGGCATTGATAATGGTAATGGTAATGGTGATGGCATTGGCAATGGCATTGGTTTTGGAATCGATAAATGAATTGGTTCTGGACATGGCATTGAAGCAGGCATAGGCATAGGCATTGGCATCGGCATCGGCATTGGTAAAGCCATTGGTTTTGCAACCGGTTGTGCACATGGAACCGGCATCGGCATCGGCATCGGCATTGGCATCGGTACAGCAGTTTTCAATGGTTTTGCAGCCAATGACAACATGACTGGTAGTTTCAATTTAAGTCTGTTTGCGAAACGTTTTTGTATTTCAGCTATGCTTTCTGTACTTGGATTCGATGTTCTTAAGTCTCGTTTGAATAATCCATGAAATTTTCCATTGTCCTGATTTAAAGAATCTTTTGCAGTCAATAGATCTTGTCGTGTGCTAAAATCTTGATTTTGTTCATTTCGTAACAAAGCACCACCAAATAAACCGAAACCTGGAACTCCAGGAACTCCCGGTACTGGAACTGGTTCCGGTACCGGTAATGGAACTGGTCTCGGTACCGGTAATGGAAGTCTAATTGGCAATGGTAGAGGTGCAGGAACAAATTCTGGTACAGGTACTGGTAGTCGTACTGGTGTTGGTACTGGAATTATTCTAACGAATGGAAACGGAACTCTCATTGGAATTGGCATTGGTACTGGTACTGGTGATGGTACCGGCAATCTCAATGGTAATGGTAGTGGTACTGGTGATAAAATTGGTTTTGGTATTGGAATTTGTACCGGTAATGGCAATGGAACTGGTAAAGGTGATGGTTCCGGAATCGGTAATGGATATCTTTTATCTGTGAATACAAAAACCAAAAAAAAAACAGGTGAAAAAAATTCCAAATCAAAAAAAAAGGAAAAAGGAAAATTTAAAAATTTTACCTTGTTGTTGGGCCATAACCATTGTGGCCATAAAAGCCAACATCATGAATTTCGAAACTTCAAACATTTTTTCCCAAAGATGAAATACAAAACAACAAAAACAAAACGAAAAAACCAGAAAACGTATGACCATATTGGTCAGTATCGATCATATTTATATATTGATTGAATTCTGATTCAAAACAATGATATCGACCATTTGTTATTGAAATATAGTGTGAAATATTAATCAATCAATTATAATTATAATTGGCACAACAGAATTACAGTCACATACATACATACATAGACAAATATAAATCGATACATCAAATTGAGAAATTCGAAAAAAAAATGGTAATAATAAAAAAAACTTCATTTGTCATCGATTCGATACGATTGGATATGAATTTGTGTAAATTTCATGAATTTTCAAATCAGTAAATTTCGTGTATAATTGATTAAAATGAAAATTATCATCAAAAAAAAAGAATAAAAAATAAAATGAAATTCATTACAAACACACACACACACACAAACACACAAAATTTAATTCATTTGTTGTTAATATTTTAAAAAATGAAATAGTCAGATAGCAAAAAAAAGAAAAATTATCATGTTGGACGATATGGACTACGTTCATCATCATCGTCATCTGTATCCATTTGACGGTTATTATTATGATTACGATTTCTTGATGATGATGTTAATAATCGGCTTGTTGGATCAGATGATTGTTGATTATTGGCCATTCTTGTAGATGGTGATGTTATTATCTGTGAATATGGACTTTCTTCCTCTTCTATTTCATCAACCGATGCCATTGTTGTTGTTGTTGTTGTTGTTGTCGCTGCTGTCATCGTCGTCGTTGTCGGTGTCGGTGTCGGTGTTATTTCATTTGTTGCCGTCATTTCGGTTGATGAACGTGGCCGTATTTCAATATATTGATTTGGTCTACTTTTATTATTATTATTTCTTATTACTTCATCCATTGTAAATGATCGTCGTTGTTGTTTATTTTTATTGAATAAATTCTCTCTATAATGATAAGTTAAAAATATTGCAATAGTAATCATCAATAATAAACCGATTAATATCGATATTGATACTGTTGAATTTAATTGACTTGATGCTGTTGTTGTTGTTGTTGTTGTTGATTTATTATTTTCATTATTGTCAACAGTATCGATTGTATTGATTGTTTCGATATTTTGTAAATCATCATCATTAAATGTACGAATATTGTTGCTATTTGATAGTAATGGAATCATTGTTGTTGTTATCGTTGTCGGTGTTGTCGTTGTTGTCGTCGTCGTTGTTGTTGTTGTTGTTGTTGTAGTTGGTGTTGTAATAATATGTGCTTTACAGGTTTCATTCCAATCAAATTGAGTTTTATTCATTTTTTGTATATCACTATCAATAAATTCAGTACCATTGATTGAACGTGCACTAATAAGTATTTCTGAATCAATTTCTTCATTATTGAATTGATATTTAATACTATTTCTACCATTTGGATGATATTGTTCCATATCATTATGTTTTAACGATTTTTGTTTCATACAATATTCATCAAAACTTTCCGATTCTATTGAATGTAATGGTCTAATACAAATATCAATTGTATAATTAATATTTGTTGCACCATTTGATTCAAATATTAGTTCCATATTATGTTCCAATGTGCCACTATATGTTTGTTGACAATAAAATGTGGGCATCAATGTTGGTTTTGGTGGCCTAATGTATTGTTTTGTAGTGAATAACACTTGATTTTTAGTGAATGGACCAATAAAACCTTGATTACGAACGGCAATCGATACATTGTATGTTGTATTCGGTGTGAATTGATCCATTATTATTGACGATATATTTTGATTGATTGAATGTTCAATAATTGTATCCGGATTATTTATCGATTTTATTCGCAATATATAGCCTACAATTATGAATGATGAATGTAAATTCAAATGTTTAAAGTGTAAATATTTTATTAATGTTCAAACCTTTGAAATTTCCTTTTACATATTTAATTGGAACCGGTTTCCATTCAAAACGTACTGTATCACCATCAATAACGGTTGCATTCAGATTTTCTGGCCATGCAATTGGCATTGATTCAGGTAAATTGGCCAAAAATTTTTGCGGTTTATCATATGATTCACCATATTGATTACGAGATTGTACATTAACTAACCATTCGATTGATGTATCCAGATTTTCGATTGCAAGTGTTGTATCATTCGTATAGAATGGTCCAATAGTTTTTGATGAATTATTTGCAGCTATTGCTATAATTTTATAACGAAAATCCGGTCCACCGTATTCATAACGTTGTAATGGTTCCCAAACTACCGTTGTAGTATTAGATTCAGCACAACGATATGCTGATAATATTATTGGATTACGTATTGGTACATCATTTTTTGATCGACATGTTTCAATAGTAGAATTTTCACTTGTAATTGTTATGCCTTTATTATTCTTCCAAATTGCTTGGATTTTAAATGAATAACTACTTGATGGATATATTGGCTGTACATTTAATTGATTTCGACGTATTGGTTCAATAAAATCCAATTTTTCCCATTCTGATTCACCATTTTCATCCATATTTGAATATTGGTCATTGAAACGTTTATAAACAATAAAATGAACTGGATTATCAACATTGCTTATATAATCTGGCTGTTTATTATATGGCCAAGACAAATGTGCCATATGTCTACGGCAAATAAGTCTAATATTTTTCGGTGTTGGTAATCGTGGATTAATAGTTGTAGTTGTCGATATTGCTTGTGATGATAGCAATTGATCTGGACTACCAATATGTTGAATATTGATCGATGATGATAATGGTTTATTATTATCATTTTTTTCATCAATTTTTTTCATTTCATTTACATCATCATCATCATCATCATAATCATCACCGATATCAGCATCAGAATAATTATCAACATTTTTTGTCATCATTATTTTACTTGATTCAATTGACAATAATATTGTCAACAAAACAAAAAAAACGATGGACCATTTGGTCCATATGAAATGTTTTGGATTCATTTTGACCAGTGGGGAAAAAAAATTAACATGTAAATGTATCAAACACACTCATTCATACACACACACACACACACACACACACACAAAAAAAACACAGAGAAAAAAAGTCAAAAAATTTTCATTCAATATAATGATAAATTGATGAAAATGACAACGAAAATAAAAAACGGTTATTATAATAATCTAAACAAGAAAAAAAATGAAAACAATTTTTGTTTATTACAATCTGTGTGTGTGTGTGTGTGTGTGTCTACTCCTCATTGATAATTTTTTTTTCTCCTTTCTCGTTTAGGAAAGAAATTAATTTATCACTAGACAATTCATCTAGGTGTGTCCATAATAGTCTCTCTTTCTCTTTCTATCTTTATCTCTTAATCCATAATCTAGATTTCTGGTTACCATCGATACTATCGAATGTTTTCTCAATTATTAATGATGATGATGATGATGATGTTATTATTATTTTCTGATGTAAATACACTCATACACACATTTCATTAATGTTTGTTTGGTTTCTTTTTTTTTCTTCTTGGCGGTTTTATATATCCAAATAGAATGTGTGTGTTTGTGTATGTTTACTCATCATCATCATCATCATCGTCACCATCATCGTAATGATTTGATGGTTTTATTTGTGGCTGGATTCTTTGCATTTTGCGTTTATTTTTTGCTTGCTTGTTTAGTAAGCAATTATTTCACTGTTATCAGGAAAGAAAAAAAAATTTTTTTTTCTTCTAATTGATGATAATAATCATTGAATGATGATGATGATGATGATGATGATTGGTAACTATGGTTTAGCCGATTTTGATTGTTGGTAGGTTGGTTGGTCGGTTGGTTTGCTAGTTGGTTGATAGGTTAAACATTGGTTAATCTAATGTGTGTTGTTTGTTTGAGGCGTTTTTTTTATATATTGTTTGCAATAGCTAAAAATTGTAAATAAATAATTTTTCAAATCGATGTTATCATCATCAAACCATCAATAAACACATCAAATGTTTATTATTGGACACAAACATACTCACACACACAACATATGTGAAAATATTGCTTCAAAAACAAAACAAAACAAACCAAAAAAAAATTTCTATTTCCACCCACCCACCCATTCATTTCGTTCCAAAGATTATCATTTATTGAATTAGAAAAAATTTAGTGTCACATTATAAATAAAAAAAAAGAATTGAATATTCGCTGTTTTTTTTCTGTGTGCAGAAATAAATTTTGTTTGTTTGTTTGTTTGTTTTTTGGTTTTCATCGATTGATGCAATTGTTTTGTGTTTTTTTTTCATTATTACATTCAATGATGATGTAATGGTAGACCATGATGTGCAGGTAATGCCAATGGTAATGGCAATGGTGCTGGTACTGGTACTGGTGCTGCCACTGGCAATGCTAATGCAACAGGAATTTTCAATTTATGTTTATGACGAAGCAATGATTCGTCATTCAAATTATCCATAAATTTATCGCCTTCATTTTTTTTTTTTTTTTTAAACAAAAATAAATTCAAATTAAATTTTCATTGTTGAATGAATGAATGAATGAATGAATAAAATAATTTTACCATTTTCATTACGTTTTGACATATGACCAAGTTGTTGTTGTTCTAGTGGATCTTCTTGTTCCTGTTGTGTGGATTCAATGGGTCGACGTTTTTGCATTGTAGGAATATGTTCTTCATCTTAAATGATTGGAAGACAATAAAACAAAAAAATTCATATGATTTTTGCAAATTGATTGATTCATTTTATTCTTACTTGGTTCTGAACGCACTTGTTGTCGTTCATCACGTAAACCAAGAGCACCAAGTCCAGGTAATAATGGTGTTGGAACCGGTATTGGTCTTGGCAACGGCAATGGAAGTCTAATTGGTAATGGTAGTGGTACAGGAATAAATTCTGGTACTGGTATTGGTATTCGAACTGGTACTGGTACTGGACGTAATCGTGGTGTTGGTAATGGTATACGTAATGGTAATGGAACCGGTAATGCCACTGGTTCTGGTACTGGTAATCTCAATGGTAATGGTAATGGAACTGGTGTTATTATTGGTTTAGGCAATGGAATTCGAATCGGTAATGGCAATGGAAACGGTAAAGGTGATGGTTCCGGAATTGGTAATGGATAACGTTTATTTTTTTCATTTTTCACTAAAAAAAAGATAGTGTCAAAGGAATTTGAATCAAACAATTAATGAATTAATGATTGAAAAAAAAAACAAATGAATTTCTTTTTTTTTACCTTCCGATTCTGGTTTTTGCGTTTGATCTGGTTGTGATGATTCTGGTGGTGATCGTTTTGTCATTGAGGGCATAGATCGTCGATGAAAAACCCATGGTTCTTTTCGTGAATCTTTTTCATCATGACCATATACCATTAATACAATGCATGCAAATGCAGCTAATTGTAATAAATGGCCAAACATTTTCATTGATTTTTCGATCGTTGATTTGGATTATTGTCGACAAAATTTAATGAGAAAAAAAAATCGTGAATATGCATATCAAAATAATGATACGAATTGGTATTTATATCAATTTTTTTTTCTTCGTCATTCATTTTGTTTTCATTTAATTTCCAATCAATTCTGTAATGTTTTAATTTGTTTTTAAACATTAATTAATAAAAATTCCATATTTCTGTTTCATTGTTATTGATTGATTGATTGATGAATTGCAAAACTATGACCAAATCGATTAACCAAAATTGACCGATGATCAAAAATTAAACAGATAAAAAAAATTGATTTAATCAATCAATCAATGATCACGTTTTCTGGCTAAATGATGATGAAATCATCATTAAATTAATTAGAAATGGAAAAAAATTGCACCGAAGAAAGTGTTTGGTGCAAAAAAAAAAAATTCAAATCCGATTCCTTATTGAAATTGAAATTTGATTATTGCTTTTACGTCAACAAGAAAAAAAACTAGATGGATTGAACTTCTTAATTCCAAAACTATTTGCTAAACAATAATGTTTTCCAGTTTCAATGACCAAATCGATTCATTTATCGTGTGTAGGTCAAAAAAAAAAAAAAATTAACTTAATCAATCAATGATCACGTTTTAATGAATCACATAGAATGTGCAATAATATAAAATGAAATCAACCAATTGTGACAATGTGAAATCATCATCATTCAAGTTCAAATTCTTTTCTAATCAATCAATCGATCATCTCAATATATATATTTTTTTTTATTGATTGAAATGTATCAAACATAAGAGAAAACAAACAATTTTTTTTTATCTGTGCGTGAGTAAACTTTTATCACTTTTTTTCATATGGATATGCAATATGCAATAATAATATGTTTTTTATGCTGTAAATGATCAAAAAAAAATGTGTTTTTTGTTTCCATTTTTCTTAGACAGGTTTAGCAATTTATGACTTGCATGGTTGTTGATATATATTTTTTATTTTTGTTCATTAGTTAAGAGATGACATTGGATTGACTTTTTATTAAGAATGTAATTAATGTTGGTGAAAATATCTGGTTTTTTTCAACTTTCTATCGATTTAATTCCATTTTTTTTCATTTTTTTTTTGGATTAGTGTTGTTTTTTTTCCAACCAGACTACGTCGTTGTTGTTATTGTCAGATTGCATGGATCAAGTATTTTTTTCCATTTTTTTTTTTTTTATTTATATCCGATAAAATGTAAACTCGAGTTTTTCAATCTATATAACAGATGTTGTGTGTGTGTGTGTGTGAAATCGACTGGCTCCGTCTATCGGTGGATAAATTGGATAGAAAGTGGAAAAAAAATGAAATTTTTTAGTACAAAAAAAAAAAATGTCAAATGATTCGATTTTTCTCGATCGATCGATTGATTGATTGATTGATGATGATGATGAGGATATACGAATCGAAAAATTTGCACCGAAACAAAAACGAAAATTGCTTATTTTAAACTAAATCAAGTGCAAATTAAGTTCGTCCAATTACTCGATGCTATCTCGATAAAAAAAAATCTCGACTATGATCCATATATATTCAACATTTATGATAACAACATTGTATGTTTAATCATTTTTTCTGGTTTAATTTATTAATTGATATAAAAACTGTCGTTGTTGTTCAATCAATCAATCATTCAATATTCAAATTTTTTTTGTTTGCTTTTAACCAATTGATGTAAAAAAAATCAAAAATTATGGAACTTTTCCCATCATCATGGCTGTACGGAATTTTGGCCAATATTGTTCTATTGGTTCTCATATCGATTCCATTGGTGTATTTTTATTCACAATATAAATTCAGCTATTGGAAACGTAAAGGTATAAAAGGACCACCAACCTTACCATTTATTGGAAATTTTCTCCATCCAACTCGGCCTATTCCATTAATGCAAATGGATAATCTTCGTCAATATGGACATTTTTTTGGGTAAATATTTTCGTGTTTATATTTTCAACTCTGATTATCCTTTTTTTTTGTTAAATTTCAGAATGTTTCGTGGCCGTCAGCCGGTATTATCTATTTCAGATCCGGCCATTATTAAACGTATACTGGTACAGGATTTTCATCTATTCCACAATCGTATGCCAACAACAGATAGTAATGTAGTTTTATCTCAAAATTTAGTCTCTGCACGTTATGATAAATGGAAACGTGTTCGTTCAATATTGACACCAATGTTTACCACTTCAAAATTACGTAAAATGGAAGGACTTATGGGTCAATGTGTGGATTCATTGTATCAAGCATTGGATCGTTTAGCTAAAACAGAATCATCATTCCCAGTGCATAATGTTATGGGCAATTTTACTATGGACGTTATAGCTAAATGTGCATTTGCAACCGATACCGATGCTCACAATGAAAAGGAAAATAAATTCGTGGTCAATGCACGTAAATTATTGGAATTCAATTTCATCAGAGCATTGGGAACATTTTTAGTACCAATTTTTTTGAAAAACATTCTACAAACATTTCGTATCAAATATTTCTTGTCACCAGAACGAGATTTTTTCCTCAACATTTGTTTCCAATTGATTAAGCAACGAAAACAGAATACAACCGCCAAATATAGTGATATGCTTGAATTGATGATCAAAGCTAAACATGGTAAGGATCGATTGATGGAAGATGATGATAAATTTGATTCATATCATGTGAATGTCGGTGATGAAGAAAAACTACGGGAAGAGAAACTTTTAAGTGAAATTATTGGATCAAAATATCTAAGCGAAGAAGAAATTGTGGCACAGTCTTTTATTTTTTTTATTGCCGGCTATGAAACAACTGCTTCAACGTTGACATTTGCACTCTATGAATTGGCTACGAATCCTGACATACAGAATCGTTTATATGAAGAAGTTAAAGCCATTGTTGATAATGGTGAACCATTGGATTATGATCACGTTATGAAATTGCCTTATCTAGATGCAATTATTGCCGAAACATTGAGGTTACATTCTCCTGTTTTGACATTGAATCGTCAAGTTTCTGCTCGTTATCCTATTCCAGAATATAATTATACAATGGAAAAAGATGAATCTGTTTTCATACCTATTTATGCTATTCATCATAATCCAGAATTTCATCCGAATCCGCTACGTTTTAATCCTGAACGTTTTATGCCTGAAAATCGTGATAAAATCATACCATATTCATATCTTCCATTTGGCGGTGGTCCACGTAACTGTATCGGAATGCGTTTTGCAATGTCCGAAGCTAAATTAGGCCTTGCAAGATTGATTAAAGATTTTATATTCTTCAAATCATCGAAAACATGTGATGAATTGAAGATTAAGAATGGTTTATTTTTGTTGAAAACCACTCCCGTTTGGGTTGGTGTTAAACGTCGTTAAAAAAAATTAACTTTATCGTTTATCATTGAAATAGTTGTTTGATTTCTATCATCATCATTATATACATGATAATAAAATCGATTGACACAAAAAAAATCATTCACAAATCGAGTACAAAATTGGTGCAGGTTTTTATTGTCTACATTCAATCAATCAGACTAAAGACATCATCAATACAAATGTATGAACAAGTAAAAAAGTCAAAAATTCATAAAAATTGCCATTTTAATGCCAAAAAAAAAAAAAATCAAAAATCAGTCTATAGATGGTATATGAATCAAACAAACACACAAGCACAGAGAGAGAGAGGGTACAGAAAAAAAACTTGACAAACAAACAGAGGAAAAAATTTGAACGATGAATATTTCAAAAAACAATCAAGATCAATAATAATAATAATAATGAGGTATATATAAATCAATGTTTTTTTTTTGATTATCAATTCATTTTTGTTTGATTTGATGGTGAAAACTATTTGAATTTCTCAATCCTTTCTTTCTTTAATTTTTCTTCATATAACAGCAACAACAATTTTGTTCAAAATAATGCAAAAATTCACCGGATTACCATTGGATTATCCACGTTTTCGTTCATATGTTTATCATTTTATAATCAACAATCAAATGATTAGTGATCCATTCGAAAAATTGATGCTTATCAATCAATTATTACCAACAAATGATGGACATATTTTTGATCGACTTGGTTATTATAAACACGCCGATAATGATGATCAACAATATTCGATATTGATCAATTTAAATAATGTATTAAAAATAATGGATGATTATTATGGCGGTGAAACACGTTATGCATTGGAATTATGTTTATTATTTGAAAATCTTCCATATCTATCAACATGGCCATCATTAATGGCGATACGATCACATTTACATGCTGTACAGATATTTAATAATTTTCATCAAAATCAATGGATCTATTCTGACGATATGATTGAATTTCTTCAAGGAACATTATTATATAAAATTGCTGCATCACATATTCGACGAATATTGGTCAATCGTAAACCATGTATGAAACATTTGGAAATGGAACTTTTCCATTTACAATCATTACATCTGAATGTACGTACCGATACAGTACATCCAATTCATTCATTACAACGTAAAACAACTCTTGATGTTCATTATCAACAACAACAACAACAACAAAAGCGACAAAATGATTATCATCATCATCATTATCATTATTGTGATAATGTCGAAGATTTAGTTGATGATTATGATGGATATTCAATTCAATAGACGATGATTATTTTGAATATTTCTTTCTTTTTTTCGATTTTTATATTTATCAACAGTAATAATAATAATAATATGACAAATTTCAATTATGAAAAAAAATTTAATTAATATTCATTGGTTTCCAATGATTTTTATGTTCATTAATTGCGAATGGTGTTGGTCCACGTATATTTGGATGTAAACATCTGACATAAATATCATGATATAATTCTTCAGAATTTAATTCTGGATCCGTTTTTGCTGTTTGCATTGCTTGATCCATTCTTGCACGTATATCCTGATCAATTTGTTTCAATTCATCACTTGTAACCAATTCTGATTGTATAATACGTTCTTTAAACGATGTGATTGGATCACGTTTTTGTCGTACTTCTTGGATTTCTTCACGTGTACGATAACTAGTACCAGGATCAGAAACTGAATGACCAAAATAACGATATGTCATTGCTTCCATACAGAATGGTCCATGACCATCACGACATAATTGTGCTAAATATTTGGTTGCTTCCCGTACGGCTAATATATCCATACCATCCACAAAGATACCGGGTACGTAATCACCACGTGTATAATAATCGGAACAAGCAGCTGCACGTTCTGATGATGTGCCCATACCAAAGCCATTATTTTCCGTTATAAATATTATCGGTAATTTCCATAATGAAGCCATATTATATGCTTCAAATACTTGTCCTTGATTTGCGGCACCATCACCACATAATGCTAATGTTATTTCACCTGAATTTGTATATTTTTGTGCTAATGCTACACCGGCACCTAATGGAATCTGGGCACCAACAATTCCATTTCCACCATAAAATCTCTATATGATAATGTGCGAGAAAAAACAGTGAATATTCTTGTCAAAAAAAACCGGAAAACTTTACATACATCCGTATAAAGATGCATAGAACCACCTTTACCACGTGCACAACCTGTACTACGACCTGTAAGTTCAGCTAAAACTCCAACGGCATCAACACCACGTGTCCATACCCAACCATGTGCACGATATGCAGTGATGACGGCATCTTTTTTTCTAAAATAGAAAATGCAGATGAAAAAAAATCGAAGTGGGGAAAAAATAAACCATACTTACGTTATGGCATTTTCCATGCCGACAGCAACCGCTTCTTGTCCCGTATATAGATGACAGAATCCACGTATTGCTTTCTCTTTATACAACGTATTCGATGCTGCTTCTAGCCTTCGAATCGTGGACATTTGTTCATAGAATTTTAAGGCATCTTCACGTGTACATAAAACTTCTGTAGCTGGACCTTGTTCTAATCGATGTAATTTAAATGGTTTAATTTGAAATTTAGCTTCGTTAATGGTAGAAAAAAATTTTCCAATAGAATTCACCGGTTTTTTGAATAATAATTGCTGTTTCGAAGAATAGAGGCTGCGCATCATTGTCATCGTCATTATTAAATTCTTTTTTTTTTTTTTTTGTTCTGTTCAGGAATCGTGAGAATGATGATGCAGAAGAAAAAAAAAAAAAACACACAATCATTTAAAAAAAACTAGCTAAATGTAAAGACAAATCGGAACATTCGTCGATCACATGATTTTCATTTCGGTTTACTCTCTTTCTCCCTCTCTCTCTCTCTCTCTTCTGTTTATTTATTAAGATAAATTGAAGGACATGAAAAACAAAAAAAGAAAATTATCAACAAAAAAAAAAAAAAAAATCACATTGATCAACTATTTCGACCTAGATGGCGACACACAACAAACCCACACACACACACACACAAACATTGTTGCTCGAATTTCAATAATTTTCCAAAATTTAAAATGTAAAAATAAACAAATTCATCCATTTATATTAATGAATGAAATTAAATCTTAATCTTAATATATATGATGCAAAAAAGAATACTTGAAAAAACAATTCACATGCCAAGAAGATAATAGCTTTCATCAATCAATCATCAATAAATATAAATCCATAATTAATCAACAACAACAACAACAACAACCATCGATCGATTGATTGATTGATCGAATGCAAAATGCAATGAGCTGTTATTATTATGATTATCATAAGAAATCAAAAAAAAAAGTTTTTTTCTTTTCATTTTTGTTTTATATGTAAATATATAAAATAGGGTAAGAAATTGTGATTTTTTTTCAATTTATTATTGTTTTTTTTTTTCTATAAATTCAAACAGACAACAATTTAACGAATTTTTTAACGATATTCTGTGTATACCGGAATCTGAATCACATTTTTGAATAACCTTTATTAAAATATGGCCAAGTATATTGATTCTAAATCTACAATTACAACTATTTTGACAATAAACAATGTGCCTTTGACATATTCATCATCATTCTTAGTGATTATTATAATGATAATTTCAACAACAATAATAACGATAATACCAACATATGAAATGGCCATCATACCAACCCAACAACAAAGACAGAATCGTTTTAAACTTGTTGTATTTAGTTTTGATGGTTTTCGTCCCGATTATATTGATATAGAACGTACACCGAATCTTTATGCTGTCGCTAAAAATGGTGTCCAAGGTACGATTACAATTTTGTTGTTGTTGTTGTATCAAATTTCATTATTGAACACACGCGATAATTGATTAAATTTTCCATTTTTTTTCATTATCAAATCAAATCATGTCATATGATGATGATTGAATTGAAATAGGCGAAATGCGATCAACATTTGTAACGAAAACGTATCCAAATCATCAATCAATTGTCACTGGATTATATGAACCATATCATGGAATAATTAATAATTTATTTATCGATAATCAAGAAACAAAACAATTATTCAATGTGAATAATAATAGTATCTATTGGTGGGATCAGAATAATATTTCTGTGCCGATTTATATTGCAAATCAATATTATGAACCAAATCGTTATAGTATTTCAATACAATGGCCTGGATCAATATCAAATTATACCGATGGTTTTAATTTCAATCACCGGGAACGTGTTTATTATCTTGAAAATTACAACGCAAATTCTGATTGGTTTCATTTTATTGATCTTTTAATGAAATGGTTACTTGATCCAGTAAAACCAGCAAATGTTGCATTTGTTTATTTCCCTGAACCAGATAAACATGCACATCAATTTGGACCTTTCAGTGATGAAGTTTATGAACAAGTTAAACAATTGGATAAAGTAGTTGGATATTTTCGTAAACAATTATTAACAAATCATTTAGCACATATAACAAATGTTATTTATCTATCTGATCATGGTATGGCTGAAATTCGTTCTGAACGTTCATTATATATAGATCGATGTGATGAATATTATCCTGGATTAAAATATGAATTATATGGTTCAAGTCCAGTTTGGTCTGCGATACCAATATCGGCACCTAAATCATCCATATCAAATAATCAAAAATTATCATTAGCTGAATCTGTTCGTGATGCATTGAATAATTGTAGCCATGAATATTTTAATGGAAAATTCACTGCCTATTTACAGGAAGATATTGCTGATGAATTTCATTATAAAAATAATATTCGTATATTACCATTATTCATTATAGCTGATGAAGGTTATGATATAAACTACAAGGATGAAGGATGGCGGCCAAAAGGTTATCCAATATGGGGTAATCATGGTTATAATGCATCATTGCCATCAATGCGTCCATTATTTTTAGCACAAGGTCCAAGATTTAAATTTCAATATCGTCATCCAGTGCCATTTGAAAATATTGATCTCTATCCATTAATGTTGAATTTATTGGATATTCCACAAAAAAGTTTTCCTCGTACAAATGGTACATTTGAACGTGTTCATCAAATGTTATCGAATCGTCTTTATTTAAATGATAATGAATTTACAATGGGTCTTTACGATATGTTTGATCATAATGCCGATCACAATACATGGATGTTATGTAAGTATCTTGAATTGAATGATGATTGAGCCAATGAAAAAAAAATCCTAATCAATTCTTTCTTTTCTTTTAGTATTTCTTTATTTAATGACTGGATTTTTAATTCTATTTATGGCTGGTTTCTGTTTTGTATGTATTTCTGGACGATTAGAAAAGAACTATCTACGTAATTCTATTGATTCATCATCAACTACACGATCAAGATTGACAAATTATTTACGAAAAATTTCATACGGTCATCATAATAATAATCAAATGTCTAGTTATCGTATGTTTGCCAATGAAAGACCAACATCACATCTTGATTCATCGGATGATGATGATTCTGATGATGGTGGTGAAAATGAATTATACAATCGTCATAATCATCATAGTCATCAGCAGCAGCAGCAGCAACAACAACAACAACAATCACAAAAATCAAAAATAAATCAAAAAAATCAACTTACAGATATTGATTGGGATATATTGGGTACTGGGCTTGATATCGATCTTGTTGGACAATTGAATCAATCATCATCATCATCATTGCATATTACGAAACGTAATGAATATCTACAAGATTCTAGTAATGATGATGATGATGATTACATTAAATCATTGGAAACAAAAACGACATCTACAATGGCCAAACGAAATGAAGCCATTTCATTGTTAATTTCTGATGCTGATGACGATGATGATGATGAAAATGATGAAGAAATTAAAGCAAAAATTAATATAAAAGAATATGAAAATCTAATATCCGAATCCATGAATGTCAATGATGATGATGATAAAAAAATTGATAATAAATTGATTGATATTTAAAACAAAGTGTTTTTCACTTGTACTTTAATTCGTGATGAAAGTTAACAGAGAAAAGACATTAAAGTTGAATTAATTGAAAAAGTATCAAATTTTTGATTATAAAATGACATGACAAAATATATAATTGACAGTGTGTGTGTGTGTGTATGAGAGAGTGAGAATACATTCAATAAAATGACATTTTCTTTTGACAAATGTTCCAATAGAAAAAAAAGAGAGAAAGATTATTGTTTCTGAATGTTGGTTTGTTTGTATCACAAAAAACATTATGTTTATATAATTCACTGATGATTAATTGATGGTTTTGGCGTGCAAATATAAGTGTATGAAACAAAAGGAGAACAAAAAATTGATAAAATTTAAGAAAATTATTGAAAATGATCGAAAAAAAATGAAAGGAAAGGTAAGGAAATAAAATAGATCTATCATCGTTGTTGATGATCCGGACAATAGACGGTGAAATTATTATCATCAAATTGATAATTCAATTCGATAGCACATGGATAGTGTAATAACATTGGTACGATGGCCATATTTTGAAAATAATATTGATCCATACGATGATGACGATAAAAATGATTATGATGATAATGACGATCACATTGATTCATTAAACAAGCAATGGTTGCACCAATTTGATTACAATAATAACAGCACGATTTTAATGCTTCATTTATAATTGTTAATGAATGGCTATTTATTGGCCGATATGGTGTTGCCATCGGTATATTGGTCCATAGATAACATTGTTCATGAAACCATATTTCAATTTTCGCTACCATGAAGAAAAATTTAAATTATTAATCAATCACGAAAATTGAAAACAAAACTCACCGTTGAAGATAGTTCGGCGGTCACCATTATTATTTATCATTATGCCAAAATCATCATCAAAATAATAAGGCCCATAAAGATAGCCAAGATTATTAACGTTTGGCCGTTGTTGACAAAATATACAACACCAATCATCCACACGATCTTCAGTTTGAGCATCGATTAGATTTTGTTTTAATTTACGTAAACGTCCAGCTGATGATCGAAGATATGATGATACGGATGATGTGGCATTTGTTGCCGCTGATGCATTCATCAATTGATTATTCATTGTTTGATTCGCAGTCGTACTGGGTAATTCATCAATCTTATTGATCAAATGATATTGTAATCGACTATCCAACAAAATTCTTGTATAAAGATCATCATCTTCAATAGGATCAGAATGTTTACATTTTGATTTTTTCGATTTTTTACCATTATCGTTCATTTTGTTATTCAATAATTTATCGCGAATAATTCGTATGATTGGACCAATTATTCGTCTCTCGTTGAGCAAATTCAATGATTCTGAATTTGGTTGCTGCTGCTGTTGAATGTGACCATTATTTTTTAATGATAATTTTCGTCGCATTGAATCACTAAATAGATTAACAGTACGATTCATTTCCAAATCTTCACGTTTAGAATGTTCGGATGATTTTTCTATGGATTTTTTCTTTTTCAATTTTTGTTTATTTTTCGTTTTCATTATCATTTTCTTTGATTTAATTTTTTTAACTTTTACAGGTTCATAATCACCATCATCGTCGCTACTATCATCATTGATTTCAAGTAGTAAACTCTTGGTGCTGCCATCGGAAATTGATGTTTTCAATGATTTCGTTTTCTTATTAATCATATGATTGAGCACATTTTTATTGACAACATTATCATCATCATTCTGTTGTTGTTTTCGTCGATGATTGTTTTGACAATATTTATCTACAACAAATTCAATAATTTCATCAACAGATTGATGATCATCATTTGTATTCATTGCTAATGATGACGATGGCAACAGATTTTTAGATTTTTTCAACCGTTTTGTTTTGACTGGTGTCAATACATCATGAGACGATGATGGTATTTCAGGAATTATTTTATCACATTCATCATTTTTATCATTTAAATTTATCATTTCTGAATCACTGTTATTGTCATCTGTATTGATAACATTTGATGATGATGATGGTGAATGATTCGACACCACCATATTTGTAGCAGCTAATGATTCAGCACGTTTCTTTAGCCGAGCTAATCGTTTACGATAACGATTCTGTATTGGTAATTGTTTTTCTTTTTTTGATGTCTGTTGATTATTTGTTGATGATTTATTCATCGAATCTACCACCATCGTCGCCGTCGTCGATGATGATGATGGTGGTGGTTCTTTATTTGTTTGTTGTAATTGTTTTTTCATTACCGTAGTTTCTTCATTAGATGATGATTGATGTTGTGTGTCAGAATCGGACGATGAATCCGAATTGGGCATCTGATCTAATAATAATTGTGATACAGGTGTTAATCGTTGCCATTGTCCATTACGTTTATTATCAATGGACATTGGTTTCTGATTTGCTGTTACCACAATAGATTGATGATTTCGTGAATTATTTTTCAAATTTTGTTTAACATATCGAGTTTTATTTTTATTATTATCAGATGTTTTCTGTAATAAACTTATGCCATCATGTTCATTATTATTTTTCATAGATTTTTTACGTGCTCTTTTCATTATCTTCACAATATTAGTATCATTTTCATTCGAATCAATATTATCGATTTTTTCATCATTTAGATTTATTTCAGATTGTTTTTTTTCTTCTTCTTCTTCTTCCAAATGTATAGGTGATGATGGTGGTGATTTTCGTAAGCAAATCTGTTGTTTTCTTTGCCTTCTACGAACAATCTGTGGTTCATTTAATGATTGTTGTTGTTGTTCTAGTGATGTTGGTGGCAGTGTTTCATTATTATTGATTGTCATTAATGTTGTTGTTTCTGTTTCTTTTGATGATGATGTTTGTTCATTATTGTCATTACTATTTTTGTTGTTGTTGTTGTTGTTGATCAACAATTATCGTTGTATTTACATCATCATTATCATTAGATGAATGTTGAACAATATTTTTCGAACCATTATTATCATCTTCATCACCAGAAGCATCATTTGTGCTTTTGTTGGAATTTAAACTAATTGAATCACCCATCGAATCATCAATTGTTATAGAGCTAGAAGATTGTTGCTGTTGTTGTTGAATAATCGAGGATGATAATTTTGGTGGCTGATATTTACGTGGTCTACCTCGACCACGTTTTACTGTTGGTGCTTTTTTCAATAAATGTTTAAGTGTAACAGCCGATACTTTTGTTGTCGCTTCTTGTATTATCGATATCGATGGTAAAGTGGATTCAAGAATTTTTTCTATTGTTGCCGCTGTAATTGATGTTGATACATTTGAGGATGATGCGGCTGTTGTTGTGGTGTTTGTCGTGGTTGTTGTTGTAGTTGTTGTTTGAGTCGATGTTAATGTTGTAGTTAATGGTAATGAGGAATTTTTCGTTGTTATCATCGTTTGATTTGTTTCCAACGATGATGATGATGATGACGATGATGTCGATGATGATGATGATGATGACAAATAATGTTCTGTCATCGATCGACGTAATTGTGTTTCAATTATTAATGAATTTATATTAAAACGATTTTTACGTCGGTGTCTTCTTGTACCAGGTAATGGACGTTGTTGTTGTTCTTTATGGGCAGCTATTTCTTTTTGTAATTCAATTAAATCATCATCATTTAATGGCGGTAATAATGTTTCATCTATACAATCATTATCATCGTTATTATTATAATGATGATCATCATCCAATTGATAAGTCTGTTCATTAATTTTTTGTATATTATTTTCCTTGTGATTATTCTGTTGATTCTTATTATTTATTATTATTTGTTCATTATTATCATTTTCTACAATTTCTTGTTTATCATCATTATCATTGACAATTGATTTATTATTCTCATCATTATTATTATGACATTTTGAGGCATCATCTGTTAATGATATTTCAATCACATTTGATGAAGATGAGGATGTACAAGATAATGGTGATATAGATCTACAAGTAGATATTATAGGTAATGTCGTTGTCGTTGTCGTTGTTTTATTTGAAATTTTTTCAAATTTATCATCGTCATTAATGTTTACATTGGAATTTAAATCCGTAGAAGATATCTGTAATGGTGGTGAATAATGTTTACGTTTTAATTGTCGTGTATAATGATTATTATTACCATAACGTGTTTTAAAAAATTTTTTCGTCGTCGATGATGATGATAAAGAAAGGCTACCGTTAGAATCTTCTTCTAGAATTGAATTAAGATTGTAGAAAAAAAAATAAATAAATATAAATCCAATTAAAACTATTCAATCATACTCACCTGGTTTAATTGGTGGTATGAATTTATTTACGGTTATAGCAGATATTGAATGTAATTTTGGCTCAAATAACATCGATGTTGCAGATGTGGATGTTACAATTATGTTATGATGATGATGTGATATAGGTGTAAATATGTTTGTAGATAAAGATGTTGTTGCTGTTGTCGTTGTAGTTGTTGTTTTTGTTGATGATAATAATGTAGAATAATTTGATAACGTCGATGTTGATGCTGATGCTATTGATGATATCGTATGAGGCATATTGACATTATCGATCGCAAAAAAGAAAAAAATTCCAAAATTTAATTTCATGGATAAAAATTAGAATTTTTTTTTCTTCTTTTTGAAATATAGAGTGATGATTGGCAGATTGGATGAAATTTTCACATTTTTTCTTTTTGAAAAAATATATAAATGTCAAATTGAAACACAAACACAAACAAGCACAAACAAACAAAAAAAACGTCGATTTGAGGATATTGTTGATTGATGAGTACAAAATTAGTCGAGCAATTTTTTAAATTCAAACATTAGTAATTGATGATCAATCACAATGTTCGAATTTTACAGTATACGCACACACACATACACACACAGTCATGATTCATTCGAATGATGATTATTTTTTTCTGTTGACTGATAATAATAAACTGATTTATATATCTGTATATAAGCATCGTATGGGAAAAACAAAAAAGATGTGGATCAAATTTTATCAAATTTATGTGAAAAATAAAATAGAAAAAAAAATTTATTTCAAAAAAAAAAAAAAATCCAAAATCCAAAATTGCAGATGTAGATATCGGAAAAGATTAGTAGACATAGAGAGATAATAAAGATATATACAGGGATCAAAATATTGTTGATAGGAAATAGATAATGGGACAGAATGACATTTCAATCAATCAATCAATCAGACAAAAAAAATCATTTCAAATTTCAGACATGCGATGCTAAAAAAAACCCTACACTTCATTTATTTATTGACAGGGATAATTTACATCAGGCAAACAGGAATCGGAAATGAAAAAATAAATTCATTTTCATTTTTTTTCTGTAAATTACATACCAGGAATGACAACAACAACAAAAAAAAATCTTCACGAAAAAGGAATCTGAGGAATTTCACATGTTCATATCAGATTGGATCGGATAGAATTACGAATATTCATTCATTGACCGGAATCATCAGCATCTATTCGCCATAATCGCGCCACCATCGTCGTCGATTGAAATGGTAATACACATCAGATGATGTGATTACCATTTAAATTTGAATTTTTCTTTCATTCATTCATAATGAACAATCATCATATCAATTATAATCATTCGAAAAAAAAAATTTTAATTTTAATTAAAAAAAATTTCTTCTTCATCAATATGATATCATCAGTTGAATAATGCTGTGGTAGAAAGACCAGAGAAAACAAAAAAAATTGATCCACGATTCTTCAAGAGAATTTTTTTTTCCATTTAAATACCTTAATTTCATGAATGAATTACTGAAAAAAAATTTGTAAACACAAACATCGACTGTGTGTGTGTACGTGTTGTTGTACGTTTACACAAGCAAACATCTCAAATTTAAACAACTACATTTTGCACTGATTAAATTTTATCATTATAGCCAATAAAAAATAAAAGTAGCGATGATAATCAGCGACCACCATCAGCGATCAATCATAAATCACGCTACTACTATAGCGTGTGGGTAATGTGATTCGAATGATTATAGCGCCACACGCGTTGCTCATTGTGTTAAATATAATATTATGTAAGACAGCATTTCCCAAACTTTGGTCCATGACCCAATGCTGATCCGCACGAAAAATTTAAAGTTTTTGCATTATTCTACGAAAATTTCAATTAAAATTTGGATTTCTCTTGACCGAAATGTTTTTTCGGTAATTGTCCAATTACTAATTTGTGTAATTTTTTATGCATTTTTAAAAAAGTGGTCCGCAAAAAAATTTTACTGCTAACGCTGGTCCGCGTCCAAAAAGTTTGGGAAACACTGATCTGAGAGATTTACACACCCCCAAAATCGTAGTAAAATTATTACAGTAATACCCCGCTTAATGCTGCCCCGATTAGCGCTGTTTCGATATTACGCTGTGCAATTACATTACATTACAAAAATACATTGTTACATTGTATATGAAGGGTAAAAATGAATTATGTAAAAATAGCCCCACTTAGCGCTGTTTCGCTTTACGCTCAAAATTTTTGGAACGTACCCTCGCGTTAAGCGGGGTATTACTGTACTACTACTACAACTTTTTTTTTACCTCTACCTCTACGAAAAATTCTTTCATCTTATTTTCATTTTCATTCTTTACTTTTTTTTTCTAACTCATACTCTGTACAACACACACACACACACACACATACAATATATACGTACTACTACCATTATTCGTGATGTTTATAAATCTGACTAGCCCGGTAGAGGCGCTTCACGCCTGTCCCATGATTGGCGCGCGCGCGCTTCTTTGCTGCGTCAATTTTTGTTTATACAATGCAAGCACTTGCAGAGTGTAAACATACTTATTTAAAAATGGAAAATTTTTTCCACTAAAAAACATTCCTCTTAAAATTTTTTCCAAAACTTTTTAATTTAATCAATAGATGGCGCATTATAATCGACAAGTAACTAATAAATAGACCGATAGATGGCGATCAATATACTAATTTTTAAAAATATTTTTTTTTTTAATCCAACAAATTCGAATAATATATTTTGATAATAATTAAAAAAAAATCAAACATTTATGGAAAGAATTTAAAAAAGATATAATTAATTAATTAATTAAACAGACAGAATGATAGCGAAATAGAAATAAAATCAATCAAAATTACAAATTTTACATACTCACATACCAATTGAAAAAATGAATGAAAAAGAAAACAAATCACATGTCCAATAGAGATGATTGAATTGAATCATGGTGGTGATAGCCAGGTTTTTCACATAAGAAAGTATTCAATTTTTTTCTGTTTTGTTTTAAAAACTAATCTCTTTTTCTTGTTGTTGTTGTTATGTTTGTAACAATAAATTCTATCAAATATGAATATAGAATAATAAAAATATCCTAAAATTAACATTAAATCTATTTTTAGCAGTGTTGATTGTGTTTTTTTTTTATCAAAAAAAAATTGATTGAGAAAGTAAAAGTGAAAGAGAGAGGCCAAAGGTTAAAAGGTCTAAAAAAAACACCACAAATAAACACATGCAAACATATCACAGTGACACCAAATTCTTTTTTTTTTTGTAGATGTCCTATATAAATTGATTGATTATCGATTATTGTTTTGAGAGAAAAAAAATGGAAGAATTTTGTTGCTATTGCTGCTGCTGTTGTTGTTGTTGTTGTTGTATTGATTGTTCAATCAAATCAATCATATCGGTTATACGGGTTTCAAAATCATAAAATTGTTTCAATATTGTTATATTGAAACAAATTATGATTAGTAATAAAAAAAATACAATTTTCAATACAATTGTATCCGATAATGATGATAATGTTTGCGAAAGAAAATCAATTAAAAATTGTATAATAGTTACAATCATTTCAATTAAATTCATTGATAATAATGATAATCCTGTCTCTTCTGCATCATCATCATCACCATTACCACCATTTTCATGATTACGGTTCCTAGTAACATCAAATGATTCTTGCATAAATGCTTCAATTGATTCATCACTATTTTGATTTGTATCAATCATTAAATCATCATCTTCATCATTGATTTTATGATATTTTTCATTTTTAGATTTTGTCGATGACGATGATGATGATGTTGTAGTAGTCATTGTTGATTTTGATACATTTATTGATTGTTTCGGTTGTTGTTGTTGTTGCTGCTGTTGTTGTTTAGCAGTTGTTGTTGTTGTTGTTGTTGTTGATTCATTAAAAAGCATGGATTGTGCTGCATAATCAAAACGATTTGTACGTAATAATTTCAAAATATCACCAATAAGATCTTGAAATCCTTGTACGGAATTTTTTTCAATTGATGATTTCATCAATGATAATGAAAAACTTTGTTTAATGTAATGGATATTTTGATAGATACGTAATTTTGTATGCGTCGGTAATCGTATAGCTGTTGTCGTTGTTGATTGTTGTTGTTGTTGTTGATCAGCCGGTAAACATGAATTTAGACACCATGTTGCACTAACTAGAAATGAATCTGAATATGGTATATCTTGATTTCGAATCTCTGTAAATAGACAATAAGCACGATTTAGATCACTTTGTAAAATGTATTGACTTTCCAACACGGTTGCCGATTTTATCAATGGCATACCGGTCAATTTAATCGTATATTTCATGGTACGATATCCACTACGACGTATATCATAATCACCATCCGGTAATTGTGTTTGTGGCCGATTTTTCTCTTCAAATGGCATCCATGCTGATATTTTCATACCGGTGGTTTGTCGTGTTTTATGCAAATAACGCATGAAATTTTGATCAATAAATATTAATTCAAATAAATAATCCACTGGAAATGGAAGAATCTTTTCAATAATCAATGTTCCTTGATGACGTGAACAACGACATGAACCTTCAACCATTGATAATGAAGCAGCCTGAAAGAAACGATTCAATGATTTCATTTCATTTGATGATTGTGATGATGATGGAATTGTCGGTTTTGTTGTTGTTGTTGTTGTTGGTGCAGGAATCATTTGATCATCAACACGATCAACAATTTCATCATCTGGTACATTAGTATCCGATTGTTGTTTCTTTTGTTCAATCATTTCATTTGAAACATAAGATGATTCAGATGATGAAATGGTCATTGATCGGGCACCGGACAGAATTGGTGTGGATGAATTGATTGGAATTATTGATTTAAAATCATCAATATCAGGATCGATAATTGATTCATTGGAAGAAACATGAGCAATTGACACTTGTTGTTTTTGTTTTTGTTGTTGTTGTTGTTGTTGCTGTAAAGCATCATCAGCTGATTTTGTTGAATCATCATTTTTGCTATTTATCATAATTCGATCTTGTTGATCATTCGATTCATTCAATATTTTTACATGATCATTAATGGCCATCTGATGATTGATTGAATCATCATTATTATTGTCATCACCATTATTATTATCGCAACCACTACTGGCAGCATCAATACCAACAACATTATCATTATTATTATTTGTATGATTTGCCATCAAATTTTTTGTTGAACAACAAATTTTTTCAGCAAAAAATTCTCTTTCTTCTTTATCGTTCATGAAACCAAGATCTTCACCATAGAATCGATGTACTAGATCGGATATTTCCTGATTCGATAATGAACGACATTGATTCGAACGTTTCCAAACTGTTTCCATTAATGCAAATGTTTTATCACGTTGTGTGAATGATGTGAATAAATATCTTTGATTTTGTTGTTGTTGTGGTTGTTGATCAACATTATTATTATTATTATTGTTGATAGCAAATGTTGATGTTGATGATAATGAAATCGATGCATCTTTATCATCTTTATTTTCCATTATACCATTATTAGTCGATGATTGTGGCTGTTTTACAATCAATTGTATTGCATTCGGTATAACTAATGCAGTGTTTGCTTTATTTATAGCCACTATATTTGAACAATTCCATATCTATATCAGGTTTTTTTAAATGAGAAAATTTCAAAAACAAAAAAGAAAAAATAAATTTCATTGATAATCAATCAATAATCAAAATATTGATCAATGAATTTTGTTTGTTACATTTGTCGTGTATTATATCAATTATATAAAGACATATGTAAGATAAATTTTTTAAATGTTACAAACTTACCAAACTTTTAGCAAACATTCCCATAATATTATAATGGAATGCAAAATGATCTTTTGATATATAAATTCGTCCTTGTATTGCATTCAATGCACAATAAAAATCACCAATCAATAATTCATTATTATTACCAATATCTTTTTGAAATAAACGATTAAATTCTATTGATTTTTGTCGATAGGAAGCGGATATTATATTTGAAAGGAAATTATTTGATCTTCGTTTACGATTCATGGTTGTTGTTGTTGATGTTGACGGTAACTGTTTTGATATTATTGTCTGTGTTGTTGTTGTTGTTGTTGTGGTCGTTGTCGTTGTTGTTGTTGTTGTTGCCGATGTCGTCGTAGTGGCCAGTGATATTTGAGTCTCAGATTTAATCATTTGATCATTAGAATTTTCGTTGTTGTCGTTATTCTCAGATAATGAAACAACATCTTTAAATGAAATTTGATATAAAAAATGTCAAATAAAAATCAACAATCAAAACAAACATACCAGGAATATTTGTTGAATTTATTAAATCAAAAGATGATCTTCTATTTGTTTTCAGATCATCACAATCGTTATTATGTTTCTTTTTAGAAATTCCTGATGATTGTTGCCTTGAAAATCTTCCACCACATGCTGATGATGATGATGATAATGATTGACTATCAAAAGATTTTATTTGCTGTAATTTGTTCACTACTGTTATTACATCATTGGAATCTGATGCATGAACATTTTCATCATCATCATCATCATCATCAGCTGCAGCAGCAATAGCATCGGCATCGGTATTATTAACCACTAGAACATTGTCCGCTGTGGATGGTGGACATTTCATTTCATAATCAACATTGACAACATTATCAATGATTGAAACCGGTACAATAGCATCATCATTACCAGTATGAGATTTCATCATCATATTTAAATCAACATTGCCAAATGATGACGTTGATGATGGTGATGATGATGATGATGATGATGAATTCAATAAATCCCCATCTATTATCATATCGACTAGATTATTATCACTATTATTTGGTCGAATCATCGAATTTGAATTCTTTATTGTATTCAAAAGATTTGGTGTTGAATTTTGTCGACAACAATGGTGCTGATGACGTAATCCGATTGAATGAACATTCATTACTTTTTGTTCTAATTTGAACGAATCATTATTATCGATTTGTTTATTTATTGCTGCTGATAATGATGATGATGATGAAGGAACACCATTATCATCATCATCATCTTGATCGTCTTCAACATTATAATTATGAATCATTTTGATACGATGATCTTTTAGATATTCAGTTGCTTCTTCAACATCGGAATCGATATGAAAATTTGTTTGATTATCACGTTTATTTGCATCGCCATCATCATCATTATCATTATTATCGTGATCATGATGATTATCGATGATTATGACAGGAAATTGTAGCATTTTTTTTTCGTCACTATTGCATTGAATTTATATGGAAATTTTTCAATTTTTTTTTCATTATTATTGAAAGCAGTCTATTTGAACAAAAAAAAATGGAAAAAATGGAAATTGAAATTAGAAAAAAAATTGAAGCAAATTAAATCTTGACAACTAGAGTATTTTATTGGTGGTTGTTGTCAAATGAATACAACGCAAATTTTAAAATATAATAATCTCTCACTCTCTCTCTGTGTGTGTGTTGTACGATTTAATCGAGGATTAGATTATCACCATCATCACTTTTTTTAAATCCAGAAATAAAAGATTAATTGATGATAAAAGTGGATCACCTGCTCTTATTTTTTTCTATGAACTTTTTTTTTAACAAACGTCATTGTCTCATTTCATATTTGTTTTTTTTAAATTAATTTTTGCTGATTTATCATCAATTAATCGAAAACTACCGGGTTCGACACACACACACACACACACACACACACCTACCTTGTGTAGTTGATAATTGAACACAAAAATGATTCAGAAACAATGAAAAATTCATCATCATCATTGATATTATTGCTGATTAGTATACTGATATCGACACACACACAAAAAACACTTAATCAATCAATCAATATTTTTTTGTTATTAAATCATGGAATAATGTTTTTCTTTTCATTTCTTATTGATTTTCTTTTCTGATAATAATTGATGGCGATGATGATAAGCTAAATTGAACATAAACAATCAATGATTGATTGATGATTGACAAGTGATGATTCAAAATAAACACACACAAAAAAGACAAGTGAAGAAAAAAAAAATTTCAAAATTTTTAAATCACAATAACAATGAAAAGAATTTGATTTGTGATGAATTTTGGGAATAAATCCAGAATCGGTGCAAAAAAATGGTGAGAATTGGTGATTGTCTAGAAAAGGAATTTTATTATAAGTAGATTATGATGATCATTAAATGATGAGAATCTGGAATTTTACACTATTTTAAAAATAATAACGATAATCTTGGATCTTTTCGGATAATCGGATTCTTGGAATCATTACGAATTTTTTTTTTAATAATCATAGCGATTATTTATAACGAGTGTGATGATTTGTTCTCTTTCTCTCTATCTCTGGTTGTTTGTCCAACAACCTTCGATCTTTATAAACCAACACCAACACCAACACCACCACCACCATCATCATCATCATCATCGACAACAACAATACAAACCAACCATAATCATCATCATCATCATCATCATCACAAGAGTTATAAAATGACCAAGTTGCGCATATTCCATTTTTTTTTCATTACATTTGATATACAAAATGATGATGATTTTGAAACAAATACCGATAGATGGCCATAGAATACAATGTTTTTGTTTATCATTTTTTTTCGCATCCATTTAATTATTTGATTACGTCAGTTTTTTTTTTATTTTTTTTCCTGAAAAAAATATTTTTCATTTTTAGTTTTTTTTGAAAATTGAATATTTTGTAATGTGAAAAGCGATGATGACGATCGATAATAATACTAATAATAATGGTCCTGTTAAACAATGGGAAGGTTCGTTTGTTTGGTTTGTTTGTTTGTTGTTGAGATTTTTTAAATATTTTTCATTCATTTTTGTTTTCTAAAAAATTCATTTGAAAAGAATTACGACGTTTAGCAAGACAATATGAAACTGATATTGATACAAAATTGGTTTCATTATCAAAATTAATGTCATTACGTAATGACCGTAAATATTATCCATCATCATCATCAACAAAAGTAGCTGGTGTGAGATTTCATCAAAATAAACAACAACTACAACAACAACAACAGGATGATGATGAAGAACCATTGATTAGTTCAAAAGAAACATTTGATCATTTAACATTTGAAATTGATTCATTAATTAATACGGTATGTTTATTATTGATGATGAAATGGAAATTATTTTTCAAATTTTTTTTTATCTTCTTTTCCCGAAACATACAAAATAGCTACAAAATGTAAACAGTCAAATGGATCAATGTATACAACAATTGCCCAATAATAATTCCATTCTATATACATTGCAAAGACATCAAGATATATTGAATGATTATCGTAAAGAATTTTATAAATTACGTACAAACATTGGTGAACAATTGAATCGTGATCTTTTGTTTCTGAAACAAAATCAAACAAAAAATGATTACAAGTAAGTTTTGTTTTTGGTCATTGAAAATTGAACAAAAAAAAATATTGAAAATATTTTTCTCTCTCTCTCCCTTTAATAACATAGTAATGATGATTATCATGGCCAATTGAATCGTAAAACAGATTTTCTTCATAAAGAACATGATCATATCCGTAATTCAGAGATTATGATCGATGATCAGATTAATATAGCCATTCGTACTAGAGATACGTTACGTAATCAACGTTCAACGATGAAAGCCATTCAAACACAGTTGACAACTTTGGCAAGTAAGTTGAATGAATTTTCAAAATAAACAGAGAGAGAAAAAAATTTCATCTATTTTCATCTACTAGACAAATTTCCAATGATCAATAATGTGATACATCGAATTGGTATTAAAAAACGTAAAGATTCAATCATTTTGGCCATAGTAATTGCCATTTGTATTTTTCTGTTATTACTTTGGATATTCTGAAGAAAAAAAAACTTGAATCAATCAATCAATCAATCAATTGATGATTCACAATCGTCGTTAAATAATTATTCACAGTTTTAAAATTTTTAACAAAAAAAAACTTGCCGTTATTTTTTTTTCTTGTTTGCTGCATCTTGAACAACAATTATATTTATATATTTTATCATTTTAAAATGAAATAAAAAATTTTATAACTTTCTTCTATTTACTTATACCACTTTTTTTTATCAAATAAATCAATTAATCCATCCATTTCATTATTATTACAGATAAAGATTTGTAGAGATTTACAATTTTACAATAATCATAAAAACAACAACAACAATAACAACAAAATTTAAAAAATTAGAAAAAAAATAAATGTTCTGATGATGATAAATGTGTGACCGGTGAATATAATTTGAAAAGGCGCTAAAGGCAAATAAAATAAGTTGTTGATGTGTGTGTGTCGTGACGATCAAGGTATTTACCAAGTATTTAAATTAAGAAAATAATTAATAAAAAATTGTTCTGGTGTTAGTGTATCGATTTTGTATTTTTCATTATTGCCGATGCTGCCACTATTCATTGGTTGACCACTAAAACAAGACATCTGTTGATGTGCTGTTGCTATTGTTGTTGATGATAATGATGATGATGATGACGAAGATGATGATGATGATTTTATTGTTCCATATGGTTGCTGTAGTAGTAGTTGTTGTTGTTGTTGATGACCAGATTGATGAATATCGATTAATAATTGATTATTATCTGAATTATTATTATTGAATGTATAAAATGATTCCGGTGGCCTGCGTATTAATATTGGTCCAAATAATTTTGCTTCATTTTTTTTGAGAACAAAACAAAAAACGTGAGAAAAAATTGTTTTTTGGAACAAAAACTTACAGATATAAAGTTTATTCAATGGTTTATCAATGCCAGAATTATTACACATTTCCTGCAAAAACATCATCAAATAATGGAATGCTGAACGATGAATTTCGGATAATTCATTATAAATCTAGAAACAAAAACGAACGAAAAAAATTTTTTTTTATTGATTTTATAAAGAATCATCAATCACTTTATTGCTAACCTGTTTACATTCACTATGGTTTTTATTTGCACGTTGTACACGATCATAAAAAATGAACGGTATAATTGATTCAGGTAATGTTTCAAGAAATAATAATAATGCTTCAGCTAATGAATGTTCAGATACATTTGCTATTCTATTCGGATCACTTGAATCCAATGAATCACGTATGATGAAAAATTCATTTTCCATACCAGAACTTTGAAATATATTAACATTAACATAACCATTACGATAAAGATGATCAATGAGAATGAATAATTCTTTCGGCAATGGAAGACCATCATCATTATTATTATCATTGACATTCATTGTTGACATTGATTCAGTTATAATATCAATTAATCGTTCTTTATAATTAGGTAATTTTGAAACATGATGATCACCAAATTTTTGTTGAAATTCTTTCAATGTCATCGTTGCTATTGGTTGTTCCAATTGAACCAATGTTTGCAATGAACAGCCAAAACAACTGAGACGATAATCACCAGAAATTGTGATGAAAATATCTTTTCCACCAATCAAACTTAATACTAATGTATCGGCCAATGTTTCTAAGCCATAATTAAAACGATATGCCATTGATATATCATCGAAATTCAATTCAAATACAATGATAATTTCTTCTTTCACTTTAATCATACCAGTAGCTGGTGTTACACGTAACCATTGTTTACAGAAATTTTTATCATTTGGTTTATTTATAAAACGATAACGGATACGACTTTGTCCAGTATTTGTCAATGTTAACATACGACATGAATTATCTTTAAATGACACGGTACCGAAATTAATTTCCGTTGTATCAATGGAAACTTGTGGTAATAATTCATTTTCAACTTTATCCAATTTTTTCATCACATCTTCATATACTTTACGTTTAAGTTGATGGTCAATTAATAATACTTGTGATTCAAATAATGCTGATACTGGTTTATGATCACTATCTTTCAATTCAGGATGTGATCTATATACCGTTTGATGGATATTTTCACCACGCCACAATATACGATCACACCATGCAGGTGGCCGCCGTTTTTCCGATGAATCCCATTCATTTGTACCAGTATTATATTTATATGATGGCATATGACGTATAATGGATTCATTGAAACCTTGAAAACAATTTTTCTCAAGCATTTGATTACGTAATTGATCAATAGCTAATAATTTATCAAATTCTTGAAGATTTAATAATTTTTTCACATAATCAGTATCTGATGTCATTATACGATAGTTTAAATCACCAAACCAATAAATTTGACTAGATTTAAATTCAAATAAAATTTTCATTTTCTTTTTTTTTAGAAAAAAAACAAACTACTAGAAACTTACTCATGATCATAAATCCGTTTTGGTGTTTTAAGATTCATAAATTGTAAACGTGAATTAATTTCACGAAAATCCTGATTACGTCGTTCAAATTGTTCAACATGCGCTGCTAGATGACAATTGACAAAACAAATACTTGTATCATGTAGCTCAAAACGAATAGCGACACCGCCTTTATTTCCCTGTAAATATATTTTGCAATGAGAAAACAAAAATGTCACAAAGAAAATACCTGACAAAACGAATCAAACTTACCATTTTTCCAAGAATCCCAGTGCCAACAGTTTCGGCTGCAACATTTTTAATAAATTGCCGAAATTCTCTTGCAGCAAATATAATCAACATCATACCGATGAGGCGGATTTTTTTCAACAAAAAATATTGCCTCTCCGGATGTAATGATTGTTCACAAATCTGTAACCAATAATCTTCTTTTTTATTATCATTAAAAAGAAATGCTTCTTTACTTAGATCTAATTCTTGAAAACCGATTGCATAAAAATCTGGTGCATTAGCGTCTATCGATAAAAAATGTGTACGCATCACATCGGTATTCAACATTATCTGGCCATTTACATTCCATGTACCAATAAACAGTGTATAATTAACATAACGTACATATTCATTTCTACGTTCTTCTGTTGCGGTTTGTATTTGCAATTCACGATTAAAATCACTATTAAGAAAATTATCCGTATCATAATCACCAAAATGTTCCGGTGATTCTGGTTCAATATAATTATTATTATTTATAATTGATTTCATTTGATGATTTTCATATTGTTGCTGCTGTTGATTCATATCGTCAAACAGATTGATTAATTTATTTGAAAAATTTGAATTTTTTAATTTATTTTCAGATGATGATGATGATGGTGATGGATTTGAAATTGATCGTAAATTATCATTATTACCACCATTTGATGATACTAATTCAACCAAAAGAGAGAGAGGGAGGGAGGGAGAAAAATAAAAAACGATTAGAAAAAAAAATGTCCAACAAATGATTAATAGTGTTGTTGTTGTTGTAGCTGTTGTTTATGGCCATCATCATCATTTTTTTTTTGTGTTTGTTTTGATCTGTCAAAACATATAAACATAAAACACCCATCCCCATTAATATGATAAGAACACCTGTTGTTGTTGTTGTTGTTGTTTTAAATGTCACTTTTTCATATATGTCATATATAATTATTATAATTAATATTTATTACAAGTGCGCATTCATTATATGATTTGTGTGTGTGTGTGTGTGTGTGTGTGTGTGTGTGTGTGTGTACGTGAATGACATTCATGTCAATCATAAGATAATGAAAATCAATAGATTGACAAAAAAAAAGTAAAACCGACAACTTACAATAAAACTGGTCATTGGATTGTAATGGAATTTGTTGAATATATTGTTTGATCCATATAAAATCGATTGAATCGGTAAATGTACGATGTGATACTTTTTTTTCCCCATAAGTATGTGAGTCAGGTAGCGGGAAAATGAAAAAAAAAATTTGAAAAAATTCATTTCAATTCAATTGACAAAACAAAACAAAAACATACCCGAAACAATATGTTGTAATTGTGAAATAAATTTTTCAGTCATTTCATTATATGATAATATAAAACGATATGATGATGATGATGATGATGATTGTTTATTAATGATTTTTTCATCATCATCATCATCATCATTATTGGATTCAATCTTATCATCAACAATCATTAAAGGATCATATTCTAAAAGTATTGAATCTTTAACCGATATTGTTTTATCATTTTCAGTCTCCAAGTTCAATGTCATTGATTTGTTGATTGTTTTTGTTGTCGTTGTTGTTGTTGTTGTTAGTGGTGAGCATTCATCATAGGTTATAAAAAGAGCAAGATCAGTACCGTTTTCTTGTTGTTTTAATTAAAAAAAAAAATGAGATTCAATTAAAATTCAAATTAAAAACATAAACAGAAACATACCGGATATTTGTAATAGAATTGGATCAAGTGTCACTGTGTGTGTGTGTGTGTGTGTGTGTGTGTGTAACAAAAAAAGGATAAAAATGAATAAATAAATCATCAAAACATTTTAAAAAAAACATTCTATATACCAAGTTGATAATGAAATCTTTGATCAATTGGAATGATTGTTTCGATTGGAATATTTTCATTTTGGTCATTTTGATTATTATTATTATTGTTCCATATGAATAAACCATATGAACCATAATCAGCTTGTATAAGGCCTATTAAACGTGATGATTGTATTTTATTATTATCATCATCATCATCATCACCAAGTATAATTGTTACATTTAATTTCTGGGAAAAAAATGGTGGTGTTTTAGTTTTTGTACAAAGAAAAAAAAAAAGAAAGAAAAACTTACAGCCAAACATTTATGATTTGATTTCAATGTAGTGGCCATTTTATTATCAGTCTGATGATTTGTTTTTGTTGTTTCACCATTATTCAGTGTTTTTTTCCTATTATTATTATCATCATCATCATCATCATCTTTAATGGTTTGTAGAAAAAATCTTGAATTCATTCTTGTTATTGTTTTATTGATTAATCATTGAATTGATGATCGAAATTTTTTCTTCTTCTTCTTCTTCTAAATTCCAAACAAACACAAGTAATGAACAGAGAGAGAGAGAGAGAGAGAGAGAGAGAGAGAGAGAAAAAATTTATAAATAAAGCAACCAACCAAAACATACCTTGTACAACAATCAATCGATGAATATGAAAATTGAAAAAAAAAATAAATAAATCACCGGAAATGTAATAGGTTTTTCGTTTCAGTTTTTTCCCGAAAGATCTTGGTTTTGATATTTTTTTTTATCCAATAGAGACAGAGAGAGAAATTTTTGTTATTCTAGATGAGTATAATGATTATTGCTGCCATGTTATCGTTGTTTTTGTTGTTGTTGTTGTTATTGGTGATCAAAAACCACACCGACATTTTATGATTTTGTATACAAATTTCATTTTTTTCACTGGCCAAAAATAAAAATAAAAATTCAATGAATTTTTTGCATGTCGATTCACAACAACGAATCAATCGATCAATCAATCAATCATTTAGATTGCAATCGAAATTACAGGTTTTTTTTTCTTTGTACTCAATACCGGGAATTTTCGATTATATATGAAAATGTTTACAATTTGCCAATGATGTTTGTGATGAATGTTTGATTCTTGTATGTTTTTTTTCCTGTTCATGTATGTATTTATGTCGATGTCAATCAATCAATCAATCAATCGAATGATGATGATGAATACAATACGGCAAAAATGATGTTTTTCTTTTATATTTTAAATGACAAAAAACGGCCACAAAATCCTGTGAATAAAAAACGTTTAGAATTTATTCAAATTTGTTTGTTGTTGTTTTTTTGCTGAAACAAACCTATTTTGGTCATAAATTATAAAAATATATATTCACATATCGTCGATTGAATGGAGTTTATTTTTGTTTCTGTTTTTATTTAGCTGTAATATATAAAAATTTAGGGCGTCACTATTTTACAAATTTTTTTTTTTCTATTTTCGTTGTTGTTATTATCAATCAATCGATTGATTGATTGATTGAATCATCATCAAAATTTGATTTTATATACAAAATATTTAAAATCTACTGATTTGTTGTTGTTGTTGTTTTGTTTTCTGGATATCAAATACATACACACACACACACACACGATCAATCATTATCACCGGATAAACCAAAAAAAAAAAAATTCATCGCACTAAATAAAATATATTCGATTCATACAAAGACGATAAGAAAAAAAAATTCTTATTGATGATTAACCTCAAGTGTTTGGATTTGGATGACGATGATGATGATGATGATGAAATAATAACCACAAAATATCTTACATTCATTTACTGACAACAACAACAACAACAACAAACAACAACAACAACGATTGTCAATCTATTGCCATCTATCGAATGGCAATGATGATAAATGAAAAAAAAAAAAATTTCGAAATTTTGTTTTATTTGTATATATTGAGTTGAAATTTCAAATGATTAAATGTAACAAATTAACAGGAAATTTTTTTTTTAAAGAATAAACAAAAACAGAAAAACAAAAAAAAATGAGAATCATGATTATGGTCATTCATACATTGATTTTTTGGTCAAAATAAAAATAATTTTTTTTGTAGGATTTTGCACACACACACACAGGAAAATGGATAGACAAAAATATTTTGTACCGGGTAATATAATCAGGCTATGGTTATTACATATGGGCCATCCAATCAATCCATTCATTGTTGTATCAATCAACGTTTAACATTTGTTGATGATGATTCATTAAAATCACAACAAATTTTAATCGTTTTCTGTATGGCATTTATTGCATAGATTAATTGTGCTGCACATTGCATTACAAGCTTTTCGCTATATATATAATGATGATGAAACGAAATGGAATGAAATTGAATTTAAAAATATGAAAAACAAAAACAAAACAAAAACTTACTCATTATTTTTAATAAAATCTTTTAATGATTGGCTAAAATTTTTTGAATCACGTATAAATTCTCGACGACGATTATCCACTGATCGTCGATCTTGTTCATTGGCAAGATAACCATTTAGATTATTTTGATGGATACAATCAAGCAATTTTTTAATTGCACTAGCAATTTTTCTAATTTTTCATCAAATAAATCAATATATAAGGATGATTGATGAATTTCAAGAGAAAAAATTCAATTAAACAACAATAACAACAAAAAACGTACCTGATTGTTTCTAAAAATAATTGTCGATTATAGATAACATCAGGTATTCGTGCTAGAATCCGTTTCAATGTAATTGTACGACGATTCAATTCTTGAAATGTTTCTTCTGGTCGTCGACAACGTTGTTCTACGTATAACAAAAATAAAAGCAAAAATTTTTGAAAAAAAACAATCAATCAATATCAATCACATACCATCAGCTTCAGGAATGCTTGCTTGTAATCGTAACAATGATTGAATCATATTAATTGAATCATAATTATGTATGGCCAGTATTTTTTGACAGAATTGTAAAAGAAAACCTGGTTCACGATGTTCTGCTTTTGCTAATGCATGTAATAATATGATGGCTGCATTTTGATCATATTTTTGTATCTTATGCAATAATGGACGTATTACAATTGGCCAAACAAGTGCAGCAGTTACAGATGTATAACGAAAAACTTCACCATTACCATTACGGCTACCATTTTCTGTATTCATCGAAAATGATGATGATGATGGACCAGAAATTTTGGAATTCATTTTTGTTTTCAGATTCAGAAACTAAAAAAAAATAAAATACAAGATAATTAATTTAAAAAAAAAAATTTGAAATGTAAATTTACTAATAATCCAATTACAATATATTATTGTTATGAATGTGGTGTGATGATAATCACTATGGTATAATAATCGATAAGAGCAGCAATCTACGATATGTATTGTTGATTAAATTATAAATTTTATGGCACTTGATTAATACAGATTCATGATTATATTGCACGATTTTTTTTGTGATGTTTCGAAATATTTGATTTGGTTTTGTTTCGAAATCAAAGCGAATAATAGAAAAATGTATAAAGAATAATGACGAAAAAGAAACCCAATGAAACGATTACGACAAGGGCAAATTGATTATAAACAATGTTTAATAATAATAATATGAATTCGTTTAAATTCATTTGGATTGTTTTTTTTTTTGGCGATTTTGTTGTTTTGGTCACTTTTGTTTATGTTTTCAATATTTGATCGGATCGAACCTTGATCATTTGATACTATTTATACACAAACGATTCTTTTGGTGTTTTTTTTGTCAAAAATAAACTCAACAATGGCGACATCTTGTGATTATTTTAAAAATTAAAATCAAAAAAAATGATCAAAATTCCAATTTTAAACAAACAAACAAACAAAAAAAACTTGAATTTACATAGAAAAAAAGGGCGATGATCGACCATGAGAAAATGATGACATCATCCATCGCAATATAAAACAACAAGTTTTTTTTTCATCCAAATTCATAATAGCTGTTGTTGTTGTTGTTGTCTTCAATACTTATATTTTACTGTTGTAGCTACAAGTTTTTTAGATACATTTTACTGTGTGTGAACTGAACTAAACTGAACACACACACATACACACACAGACACAGAATGTGGTAACAGAAATTCGAGTGATAATAATAAATTCAAAAATGGTAATTCTATCCATGGAGTGGAAATCAAACAGAAAGAAAAATATATGAGTGAGCCACAAACACACACACACACACACACACACACACCTTTAACACAAATTAGCCAGTGTGTTATAGTGGACTTTTGATTGATTGAATGTGGTCACATTAATTTTTTTTTTTAAACATCTTCACCATACAATGGCCAGAATAATAATAATTATTAAATGGTGGTCATATTTTTCATCTTTATTTTTGTTGTTGTTGTTTGATAATTTTTATTTATGCCAAACAACAACAACAACTGCAACAACAAATTCATCGTCATTATGTCCTGAACAATTTGAAAATAAATGCTATTGTGGCCATCTAGATTATTATCATCATAATAATCATAATACATATCCATTATCCAGATATTTTGGTAAAAATCGTAATACATTCATTACAAATTGTACGGATACAAATTTCAATGATTCAATAATATTATCATTGGTGCCATATGAGACTGAGATACTTATTTTTAATGGTAATAATTTTTCTAAATTAACTGGACAACAATATCAAATGAATATGAATATGAATAATACAAAATCATCAAGGTAAATTCATTAATTTGACATTGATTGTTGATTTATTCATTTTTCCATCCAATAGATATGATAAATTATTAATGGTTGATTTATCAAGAAATGGAATCAAACAAATCGATCGTAATGCATTTAATCATTTGCAAACTATTGAAACATTGATTCTAAATGATAATCCAATTGATTTCAATCATAATGTTGATGATGATGGAAAATTAATTTTCAATAAATTAATTAAACTTGAAGAACTTCATTTACGTAATGTCACTATTGATCATCGATCATCATCACCGCTAATATCGGCAATATTCAATAAACAATTAAAACAATTGAAAATAATAAATCTTGAATCAAATCAAATTGTTCAAATAGATAATGGTGATAATGATCGATTATTTTGTTCAACACCACAATTACGACGAATATTATTACGTGATAATCGATTGGAAAAATTTCATCAAAATCTATCATGTTTAACGGAATTATCATCAATTGATATTAGTAATAATCAAATAAAACATGTTGATAATCAAACAATTGAATCACTATTATCATCAACATCATTATTATATCATATAAATATTAGTGAAAATCCATTCCATTGTGATTGTCAATTACGTGATTTTTATCGATTCATACGCCAACAATCACAACAAAATATTGTTGATCATGATAATCATTATCATAAACCAACATTTGATTGGATTGAAGAATATCAATGTCATAATAATAATGGTAGTTTAATGAACAAATATCTTGATGATCTAAATGAAAATGATTTCATTTGTGATAATAAATCATCATCATCATCATCAAAAATGATGATGATGACAATGATGGAAAATGATAATGAAATATCAATGATCAATATAATCGGTACTGAACCATCAATGAATGAAATGGAAAAAAAACTTGCTATCGAACGTTATCGTTTCTATGTAACATTATCATATTTAGTATTAACATTTCTATTATTATTACTTACCATATTGATTATTGTATTGATTTATACGAATCGTAATTATATACAAACAATTTGTTCATTTTGTTTGGCTGATTGTTGTAATTATAATAATAAAAATGATTATACAGCATTGGATAAAAATGATCAACCACAACAACAACAACAGCAACAACAACAACAACGACGAAGACAATCATCATCAAGAATTGGTGAATGGTGGCAACGAATACAAAAAAGATCATCATCTAGATCGACAACAAAAATATTTGTAAATGATCGACAACATCGTAATTATTGTGATGATCATCATGATGATAATTTTGGAAAAAATAATCATCGATTTTTTATACGCCATAATAATAGTAGCCATAATCATCATGATCATCCAATGGATATTGCTGAAGAACAACTTTAACTACAGCCTTTTTTATCATTTTAATATTTTTAAAATTTAAATTTAAAATAAGATGAGAATTTTGATAAATAAATAAATTTTTTGCCATTTTTTACTACTCATTTGTTTAACAATCAAACAAAATTTCCCAATACTAATGCAACACCCATCTCAAGCCATCGTTCATTTGAATTTTGAGTGGTGGTTGTCGCTGTTGTTGTTTTTGTTGTTGTTGAACATGGTAATTGCCATTGTTCTAATAATGTTTGCCTTTTTGAACATGAATATAATGGTATTTTTATCATTGTTTTTCGCTGCTGTTGATTACTGCTAAACGATGACGACGACGACGATGATGATGATGATGATTGTGATTGATTATCAATGACATTATCTTTTGATTTTGAAAAAATCATCAATAATGATGGCATTAAACTAGTGAATGGTGAATCTGATTGACATTCTCGTAGTTGACCATTTTGAAATTGTGCTGCTTCAATCCAAATGCCATCTAATTTTATTATCATAATTTGATTTTGTCGTTGTCGCTGTTGATCAGTATCATTTTCATCATCATCATTCCAATGATATTGAATGGATAAACAATCAATACTTGTTGATAATTTTTTTGCTACAAATTGTTTCAATGAATTTAGAAATAATTTTGGATGAAAACAATGTGTCATATCGAATGTGGCACCAAATGTATCGGATGATTGATGTTCATCACCATTCATTGTGATTATTGTTGATAATTTCATATAAATTCTTGCTAAATTAATAAGAAAATCTTGTGCAATTTCTGAACCATTAAGCCATACATTTAACCATGATTCTGGTGTATGATTAATTTGAATACAGGAATCTAAATTCACTGCTATTGGTTCTGAATGTAATTCACGATCAATTTGTAGTATTAATCTTTTAGCGAAATCAAATTCAAATAAAACAAATTGTCGTATGAATAAATCGATGGTTGGCGCGTCCAAAAAACTTGATTCCACTACAATATTATTGGCCATTTCTTCACGAAGATCATCAATTTGATCAATACGACACTTGCCTAGAATACGTAGCCATAATTTACGAAAATAACGAATTCCCGATGGATTTAATGATAATGTTTTTTGTTTTGATTCCGTTGATGATTCCGATTGTTGTTCTTCTTGTTGTTTGATGGCCGGCAATGATGATGATGTAGTTATGGATAATAATTGTAAATTCTGTTTCAAACGTTTTTCCAATAAACGATCACGAAAATCATTTGCATTTGATGGTAATCCGAGCATTTTAAAATCATTTGTTGATGATGACATTAACGATTGATCCATATTTGGATGAAAACATTTTCTGATCAAAATGCCAAGAACAATTTCGTCGATATTAAAATCAATTTTACCACCATAGATAACTTGATGAAATAATCCTTCTAAATATTGATAAATTTTAAATTTTTGATTTTTCATCGATTCTTTCTTGGCTGATGACAGTGAAGTTTTTTTCGTCATTTCCACAATCATCTTGTCAATAATATTATGTCCAAAATGAAATTCATTGAAACCAAATTCATAATTTTTATTCCAACCAAATGGAATATAGAAACGACGTTCACAGCAAATGGCATGAAAATATTCAAGCAATTCATAAAGTTTACCAAAATCATGATCATTTTGGTTATGATTATTGATTTAGGCCTCTGCGATTGTGATCGTAATCGACGTAAATGTGCACGTAATCCAGGTGCAGATTCATGTGCAAATTTTATACAAATTTCCAATAATGTACGTGGAAAATGTTCACTTGACTCGGTGACTAGAATCAATGGCGGTTTTGTTGCCGTTGTCGTCTTGTGATTAGTTAGAATTTCGAACAATTTTGGTAGCCAACCAATAACTAAATGTAAATTATTCAGACACAATACTTTTGGTTGTGGTTGTGATTGTTTAGATTTGCTAATAATCGATTGTTGTGTCATTTGAATTATTGATGAAACCTTATCAATAGTGTCATTACCCATTGAAATCATTTGTAAATCATAGCCTAATTTTTCTATTGAATTTTTAATTTCCGTATTTGGATCTGAACCAGGCATTGTTATTATTAGAGCAATTTTTGCATTCATACGTGAAGATTGTTGTTGTTGTTGTTGAAATATTTCAGCCAAAAATTCACCAATATTCTGCGTATTGATGTCATTATTATCCGATGTAATGAACAATTGTGTTGATTGTTTTGGAAAACGATTTTTTACAAATTGTCTAAATGTTCGTCGATGTTCAGCAAATAATGCACGTGATATATAATGATAAAATGCTGCACAAACATCATCTTCATTGAATTCGGATTTCGCTCGTAATGAATCGATAAATAATTGTTCAAATTCTCCATAACCAAAATAATACATTGGACAAAGTTTTGGCAGATTTTCCATTGAAAAATAAAGATTAGCCGCAAATTGTGAAAGATCTTTATATTGAATTCTTTCACGTTCCAGATCGGATTTTAATCTATCGGATTCTTTTAATGAACATTCTACTTGTGCAGCAGATTTTTTCAAAAATTTCAATTGTTCAATAAGTGATGAATTTTCTAGAATATTACCCGTTCCTTCTTTCGATGATAATTTGGCCAATAATTCATTTTCCAATTGTTTTAATTGTTTTTGTAGATCACGTACACGATCATCAATACGGATTTTTTCCGTTTCTAATTCTGGTTTTTTTACATCAATTATATGGCCAAGTAATTGTGATGAAATGCTGCCAAAACTTGGTGATAAATTTACCACACGTATATTGGCCATTGTTAATGGCGATATTGATTGCAAATTATTTGTCATCAAATACAACGCGAAACGTGGATTATAATCCACTTTTTTCTCACCAATAAATGTCCAAAATCTTGTATCCGATGAACCATGTATTGTGCCCATTATTAATGGCACAAGACGAATATCAAATTGATTGAAATCGGTTATGATTACCGTACGACCAAAACGTATGCCAAGTTCGAGAATTTTTAGCCAATCTTTTGCATTAAAATCTATGATTTTTTCCCCGATGGTGGTCGTAATAATGATTAGTGAAAGTGATCAAAAAAAAAAAAAAAAGAAAAATCAAACTTACTTGTTATTTCAGCATTTTTAAAATGATTCAATGCTTTATGTGCTGGATCACATATCAACGGTATCATCATCGGCCGTATCATTGTTGCCGAATTCGATGATGATGGTGATGATAAAGATGAACCAAATAGAAGAGTTTCTTCTTCAGTTTCAAATCCAAGAAATTCCATCAAATCAAATGAATTGATTTGATGAAATTTTTCAAACGATTGTTCAAAAATTTCTGTTCGCCGTTGATAGCTTGATTCACGACATGCCTGTGTTAGATATGCTGCAGCGATCATACATTTATATGGCATTTGTTTTCGTTCAATTTCAATTTGTAATAATTTTTCATTCCATCTTTGATGTTCATCACTAAGATCATTGACAATTGATTCACTTTGTTCCAAAACTTTTGTTGATTTTTTCAAATTAATTTCAATTTGTGCCGCTTCCACTGTGACCGCTTGCATTCGTTCACGTAAAGTATCCACTTCGGTATCAACATCATGTAGCTGTGTGTCTAATGTACGAATTCGTGTCTGTGCACGATGTAAATTGGTTTCCAATTTTTTCAATTCCATTTCTAATGGTTCGATTTTATGTAAAACACTTGAATATTCGACATTTGCTTTCACCCATTCAGCTAATGGTGCTGCTGCAGCTGATGCACGTTTTGCTGTTGTCGATTGAAAACTTTCACTACGTTTTCGTAGCAATTGTTCCACTTTTATTCGAATTTCAGGAGTAATTTTATGACAATCAAAATTCATTATATCTTCTTTAACACCTCTTTTCGATAGAAATGTTTTCATCGATGCCCATGATGTATCATTGACACCCATCAACCGTAGAACACCTTCAAGTATATCACGTATAACTTCTGGCGGTGCACGTAATGATCGTATTTCTGATAATGAATCTGAACGTATACCACCGATTGCTGCTTTAGCTGCTTGCAACATTGGTTCAATTTCACTTAGTTCTTCATCGATTTTTGATTTTCTTTCATGCAAATTTTCTGTCTCTACGCGAATTCTTTGTTGCACATCTTCTAATTCCAATTTTTTATCCTCTGATTGATGCATTGAATTCATTATCAATTGAAATGCATCATCAGCTTCTTGTCGTTTATTATCAAGAAGTTTTTTCTGTTCCATTGCTTCATCTTTCAAAATTTTTACCTGTGTCGATACCTGATCTAAACGTTCAACGCCTAATTTCATACGTTCATTTTCTTCATTTGATTTTGCCGATTGATAATAAAAAAGTTGTAAAAAAGTTTGCAAAAAATCCGTATATGAACGTATATTCTCTGTATTCAAATCAATGACTTTTTGATCCTGTTGTTGTTGTTGTTGTTGTTGTTGAAAATGTTGATAAATTGGATAAAACATTTTAATGATTGAATCAAACGATGATTCATCATCAATAATATGTTTATCAATCTGTGGACGAATTAATCCAGCCGTTAGACTATTGTAATCATCCATTGTGAATGAATCTGAACGATGTATTTGTGATGCTTTACGTAGCCACATTAAATGATCCATAGATGTTAATCGTGTTGTTGTCATTATTAATCTTATAGTCATTATATTCGAAGCTTGTTGCTGCTGTTGTTGTTGTTGATTATAAGAATTAATCTGTGTGTAAATTTGATCACGTAAATATGGTAAAATTTCCAAATGAATTTCATCAATCAATAATAATAATCGTCGTTGATTATTATTATCATCATCCATAGCCGTATTATCATCATTTGATAATAATGCAGATAGTTCATTGCGTAAATGTCGTTCTGATTGTATGGAATCTGGTGTCCATATTCTATCATAACCAAAATTATGTGCAATTGTTTTAATGAGAAATTTTCTTCCATTACCATTATGGCCAATAATTAACATTATTGGTATCGATGATGATTGACCATTACACTGATTATTAATAGCCAGAAATGAACATAAATCAGCCACTAATGTTAATGTATGATTCAATTGTGGCCATTCCTGTTGATGATTGTTATTCAAATCATTTTCTTGACAATAATTTCTAATCCATTTTTGTATTTGTAATTGAAATTGTTCATAATTTATTTGCTGATATCGTTGTTGACCATCAAGACTTGTGAAATATAAACGATTATCATTATCATTGTTGTTGTCATCATCACCATCATTCATTAATGTTTTCAATAAATTACGATAAGATTTCTGTGATAAATGATTCATTAATGTACGATAAATTTCATAATCAATACATTTTTCATTCAAACAATCATAATGATTCAATGAATCAATAATATTGATACCAATTTTAAGAAAATTATTAATCTTTTCTTCGCCACCATCATCATCATTATTATTTTTAAATATAATTGTCTGATTATATCGATATAATGGCTAGCAAAATATTCATGTTCATTTGGATTAATATTCGTACATGATTGTTGTATTTTTGTATGTAAAATTTCTTTAATTTCTTCCAATGAATAATGTTCAAATTGTATTAAATGCAATCGAGTTAGTAAACGTTTATCAATCTGTCGTACATCTGTACATGATAATATTAATTGAAAATTTGTCACATCCACTGTAATCCATTCGAATGTTTCTGGATGATAGAAACCATTATGTTTTAACATTAATGTTAATAATGATACCAATGAATTTGATGACCATTTATCATATGATAATAATTCAAAATGACGTATAAATAACCAAATTTGTTGTTGTTGAACATTTTGTGCACGTAACATACGATTTGTACCTGAATGAACAATAGTTGTTGTATTCATTAAAAGTTTCAACAATGTTTCAGCATTAGTGGTTGGTGTACAATCGACAATTAAAAGATGACCATTCATCATTGATGTAAATAATAATTCTTGTGCCAGAATCGTTTTACCACAACCAATTGGACCAATCAAACAGATATGTTGTCCAATTAATGGTTTTAACATTTCTATATAACGTCTTACTGAATCGGTTATTATTAGATTCGTATTATTAGCTACCATTGTTTCAATATTACCAACGTGATGATGCCCAGAAATACGATCAATAGCACGTGATTCATCTTCATGATTTAATTGACAATAATGTAAATGTTTCAATAATGAACGTGCTGTTGATATTGGTAAGAATAATTGTTGATGATTTAGATTTAAATAATTCTGTATAATTGAAATGGCTGTAAATGATAATTGATTCTGGGCAACAAAACATTGTACCATTTCATTAATCATAATCATATCGATCGATACGACGCCCAATCTTGATATAGTTGCTGGTGATGCATTTTTCAATGATGTTGTTTCAAACAATATACGGCAATGATTTAAATCAAAATCAATCCTCTCACCAGATGGTAATGTCAGTACACGATTATCATCTAGAACTGAATTTAATGCTTCCACCCAATCTGGATCAATATCACCATCGAATATTATCCAATTCATTGTATGTGAAACATTATTATCATTGCCGCCATCATCATTATTACGTGTTATTTCGCGTGATTTGGCTGAAAATAGACCATCATGCCATTCACGTGTATCATCATCAATATAACCGAATAATCGTGATCTTGGCATTGATTTTGGATTAATAATGATCACATCGATTATGCTCGATTTATTCATTGTTGATGTTTTTGACAACTGTTCCAATGAATGACGTAACATTTGCCATATTGTAGTTTTACCTGAACCGGATGGTCCAATCAATACAACACCAAAACGTGTTTGAATCTGTTCATAAAGTTGAAGAATTTTTTCCATTTGATATTCATTATGTATAAGATTATTATCATTGAAACATTTTTCCACAATATCCACAAGCAAATCGTTTGATTCGGAATTCATTTGTATTGGTTGAGTTTGTTTTGAATTAAAATCTACGATATATTCTGAACCAAAAACAGCTTCAATTAGGCCATCAAATTTCAATGCATCCGTATCGACTAATTTGGATTTAATCTGTTGTCTAAGCGTATCGATCACTAAAGCAATTTCCATTTGATATTCATTTGAATTTGATGTTGCATCCATTTTCATTGCCACACGATTCTGATTCAATCGTCGACCACTTGATTCAAGACATGCTTTTATTGTACGTAAACCCCAATCATAATGTTTCTGTTGTGACATACTACCCTGTGCAAATTCAAACCAACATGGTATTTTATCACCAAGAATTTTTGTGGCCATATCGGAAAATCCTTCAGCTAATGATAAAAATCGTACAATTGTTTTGATTTCCGGCACAGTCATTGCTACTGGTAAAAATAATGATTTCAAATTATCCGGTATACGATTACGGCCACCATATTCTTTACCGGCTGGATTCAATGTTATGAATATTGCTGCATTATTATTTATTGCCACATGACCATATTCATTTAAATTCACTGTTTTTGATTCATTTTTAATTGCATATTGTATTTCTTGTATCTGTGATGATAACACTGATAAAACATCCAATTGAAGACGATTAAATTCATCGAAACAACCCCAATTTCCACATTTAAGTAGGCCAACAATAATACGTGTCATTGATTTAACATCAATAGCTTCATCACAATTGAATACAAGTACTTGACGTCCAAAATATTGTCCTAATGCTTTAACACTTTCAGTTTTACCGGTTCCAGCCGGTCCATATGGATTACCACCAAGACCAAGATCCATTGCTTGTGTCAAGGTCAAGAAACATTTATTCGTTAATGTTGTTGAAACTAATTTTGAATCACCTAAACAGCCAAGATATTCAAATGAATAATCAAACGATGCTAATCCCATACATATTTTTATATTAGCTGATTGTTGTTGTTGTTGTTGTTGATTTATCACATAGAAACGTAATTGTGATTGCCATAGCCAATGTTTTTGATCTTTTACATCGGCATCGATCAATGATTGAATAACATTTAAATAATGAATCAGATCCAATACAACTTGTTTGATTTTGATTTTTGATAAATTTTCATTAATTGAATTTGAATGATTTGAATTAGTTGTTGATAATGATTCGAATAATTTTTGATGAAATTCAGTGCCATCTTTAGTCATTGTTGAAAGTATTTGTTCATAATGTTTTCGTAGATCAATGAGATGATTTTTATTGATTGCCATTTCTACTGATTCAGTAAAATCAATATAACAATATAAACTTAATATCTGTGATGGTAATGTAGCAAATAAATCAAAATCATTATAAATGGTTTGTTTTATGGACAATTTATCCATGAAAATAAATTTCAATGTCGATTTAATCTGTTCGTCTAAATTTTGAAGCCATTTTTCAATCGCTGATGGTCCATTATTATTATCCATTTGAATCGAATGCCGTAATCTTATACGTTCACCTTGAATGGATTCAATTGCCTCAATCAGATAATCATTGTTTTGTGTATGTGTGTTCTGATATACTAAACAACCGATTGTATTGACAAATAATTTTTTCACCAAACCAGATTGATTTAAATCAACTTTACCCGATAATATTAGCAGTAAATCTTCATCGGCTAAAAAATAAAATCTTGGAAATCGTTGCCTTGATTCTTCAATAAATGTACGTAATTTTTTCTGTGTATTCGTAAAATTCTGATCAATCGTACGCAGTCGATTTTCCCAATCATTTTTCATTTGTAATAAATATACAAATCGACCGCTATTTCGATGAATTGATTTCATTAATTCTTGAAAATCATTTGAATATCTTATGAATGTAGTATCGTGAAAAAAACTTGGCCCATTTGACGATGATCCACGATGATCATGATATATTGGTTCCAATGAAATCCATTTTCGTTGTATTGAATTCAATAAAATGATCAATGATTCAAATCTCACCAATTTCATTTCCCATTCCTGATATTGGTCCAGATATTCATTGGAAATTTCTTCATTATCCATATTACGTATAGTTTGTATAAGTAAAAAACAATCTGATATTTGATTATAACATTGATACCAATCTTTTATCAACATAATTTCATGATCATCTTTTGTACGATATGGATATAATATAAAATGGCCATCCAATGCAAATTGATTCAAATCGTTCAATGATTCACGTAATAAATTATCATTATAAGCACGTTTATTAATGTCCAAAATTTCTGTACGACAATCACGTAATTTGTCCTGATAAATCCATAAATCAGATAGTTTTAGATTTTCATAACTTAAATTTTTATGACCAATAATTTGTCCAATAAATTGATTCCAATGTAATTGTTGATAATTATCACCGCGACAGATTTCGATTAAATTAAGAAATTTTTGCCATCGTTCAATATATAATTGTAGATAGCCATCATTGGATGGATGTTGTTCCAGCCAATCATTAATGTATTGATTAATTTTCTGCAATTTATTACGCGAAACAATCCATTCCATTTCTTGATATTGTGATAGACCTTTTTCAAATTCATAAAGTATATGAAATTTTTCATACAATTCACGTATCTCAACATTAATTTGTTGTATCTGTTCAAATGATTTTGGTCGTTGTACATGAAAATATTCACAACTTGTTGACAATTCTGTCATTTTCATCATCAATTGATTGGAATTTATTTGAAAATCATTTATTATTTCCGGTGTTTGTCGCATTTGATCATTCAATTGAATCCAACGATTTAGAAAATTATCAATTTCTTCATCAATTGTATTCAATTCTATTGATAATTTTGATTGCAATTGTTCACGATAATTTTCCAACAATTCCATACGATTATTATAGATATTTTCAAATTCATTTATAATCAATTTTGTTTGATCAAATTTTTGTGCCAATTCTTTTATATCGGCTGTAAGCGGTGTGGCCAATGTTGACCATGATCGAAAAAAATGTATCTTTTCACGTAATGTTACATTATCGACATTTAATCTTGTATAAATTGGTTCCAATTTTTCCATAATCATTTGATCAAATTCAATCAATTCATTAATATTGATTGGACAATGTTTAAGCTGTTCAATTGTTTGCCGGCAAATTGTTTCAATTCTATCAATCTCCTGTTGACATTGATCACGAAATGTGTGTAATAATACGGTTTCCGTTTCATTGAATAACCATTCAATGAACATTTTGATCGGTATTATATTTACGACGAAAATACTATTTTCACAATGAATTTCATTGATCATTGAATATTCATTTGAAAATTTTAACGATAAATTTCTGATTAATTCAAGATTATATTGATAATCTTCTAATGTTTTACAGGAAAACATTTTCGATTTTCCATCACCATTATCATCAATAACAGTCGGTTGTTGATGAGTCATACGATTATAATTGCTGGATTTTATCATTTTAATTAAATTATAAATAGCTGTCCACCGGGCAAATTGTTCACGAATCCGGATCAATTCATCGATGGCATCGAAAACTTTATGATAAATTGCCGTAAAATTCGTAGCATTTCGATAATAAATATTATGAAATAATGTTCGCGGTGCTGAAGTGGTTGTAGTTGCACCACTAATACCATTCATCGATGATGATGATGACGATGATGGATTAATCTGTGCATCTAATGACCAATCAACAAATGCATGAAATATTGATGGAAATCTTATGAAATATTGAAAACGTTCGAATAATGATTTTTTTATTATTTCAAATGATGGTTCATATACCAAATAGCCAGATGGATTGAATTGTAATTCAATTGTATTGTCAATTGGATTCATCATTGGATGTTGTTTCCATTGTATAAATTCTTGATCCATAAACATGATAATCATTTCATTATGATGATTATCATCATTTGATGATGATTTTATTGATTTTGCTGTTTTTATACGATTCAATTGTTTAGAATTCTGTTGTTGTTGTTGCTGTTGTTGCTGTTTTCGATTCATACGTATAATTTGATTGAAATAATATTCAAGAATCTTATATAGCTGATAATCCCAATGTTTACGCCATACATATGTATATTGATATGAATGATTCACGGATACTTCGCTAATAATCAGACGAACTTTTTCAATTAAATGTTGCCATTGTGATAATGATGCATCAATCATCCATTTAATTGTTTCCAATATTTTTTGATGTAATCGTTGTAAATGTTTATTTTGTTTTTGAAATTCACTCATAAATTGTTTCAATTCATCAATCCAACCGCTAATTGCATCCGATCCATCTGACCATTTTAATTGTTGTCGACTTTCCAATAAAGTGGTGAATGCACGTGCACGATCAATCAACATTGGCCGCTGACTGGGCAGTATTTGTTCAGCCACATTCATATAGAAACGTACAATTTTCCTTAAATCATGTACAAAATCAATATATGTGGATATTTGTGATTCCATACGATCAATATCATCGGGTATTATGAAACGATATTGACGTAATTTACGTACATTCGTCGCTAATTTCTCTAGATTTTGACTTAACGTTATTCTTGGACGTTGTGTTTGTTCATCAATCACAATACATTGTTTGGTTAGATCATAATGAATATTTTTCGAAACATTCGTTGACCAACGATGAAACAATTGTTTGGATTCTGATTCCAACATTTGTGTTGTTTCCGTTAGATTTATACGATACATGTTTAAATCTGAAACATCACGAAACATTAGCGGTATATTGGCAACAATATTTGCCAATAATTGTTGCCGTTCTTTAAATGTTAATATTTTCATCGCCATACGATTTAATTCACGCCCAATTTGTCGTTCTTCTTGGTCATTGTCATCAATAACATTACCACTACCACCTAGCGGTTGTGTTTCATCATCATCATCATCATCATTTGAACTTTGACTGGATGATAGATTTTTCTCCAACAAATCATCTGATGATGAATATTCTAATAATGTTTCTGACCATTCGCTTAATTTTCGAAGAAATTCTGTTCGTTCCTCTAGAAGATTCTAAAGAAAGAGAATAATGAATTTTTTTCTCCAAAAAAAAATAAATAAATAAAAACTAACCTGAAGAACTTTATCACGATCAATAAAACGTTCCAATTGATTATATGCCGATATGATTTCATCATTTGATATTGAACATGATTTAAGAATTTCAGATAAATGTTTAATTGCTTCATCATCTGTTACCAATCGTATCTGTACGGTTGATCGATGTGTTGTATTGTTGGAAATTTGATTACATTCATCATCAGTTTGATTATCGGCCAAACGTATAAATAGAATCGATTGTCGATAATTTGATTCATCCGTTGATTTTTGTTGTTTTTGTTTAAAATTATTACTATTTTTACGTCGACTACGAATATCATCTAATGAAACAATTTCGAATTTTGGTTCAAAACGTTTCAGATACATTCGTCCATCGTCATCATTTTTATTATCATCATTTGTAAGCTGTACTAATAATGATGATTTTTTTGTCGATTTCTTCCCACTGTTGGATATTTGTTTTGATGAATCAATGATAAAATCACGTATTAATTGTTCATCTTTTTCCGTTAGATCAAACCATGGTGTTTGAAAATAATTTCGTACAATATCACGTATCAATGATAATGATGATTCATTTGAATGGCCATCATTTTTACGGATTTTCTTATCATTCGATAATTTGCCACGAAAAGATTCCATTATCGTTGCAACCAAGAAAAAAAAACCACAGAGCACAATACACAACACACACACAGAGAGAGCAAAGATAATGATTTCATTTGATCTATCGATCCATGATGATTCGCGCGACAAACAAAACAAAACCGAGAATTAGAAGAGAAAAAAAAACATATCACCATGGTTACCAGCATAATGAAATATTTTAGCTGCCGAATTTTTTTATTATTATTATTATCAAGAAAATAAACTGGAATATTATTGATTCATCATTTTTGTAGTAAAAAAAACTGGTGTAAATGTAATATATTTAACAACATTGAAAACAGACTGATTTTATCAAAAGAAAGCTCTCTCTGTGGATCAAAGAAAATTATTTTTGTTCAAAAATTCAACATATGATTCAATCACGTCATCTGGTGCTTCCATTTGTGGATAATGGCCAATATTTGTGTCTAAAACTTTAATGTTTGGTTGATTAATAATATTCCTATAGAATTCATCAAATGGCGGTGGATTCACAGGATCAGCTGGCCCATATATGAAATGTAATGGAACTGGTCGTGAATCACTAATAGCATCAATCCATTCATTTTCATTTTCAAAACGTTCATCAATATATGAAAGCAATGGGCCAAGAACAAGATAACCATCATTCAATCGGATTAATTTCCACATATCATATAATTCTGGTATTGTTGGTGGATTTTTATGGCCAAACACTTTAGTTATAGCAATATAAAAAAGATAACGATTTAAAAGACGACTTGCCACACTGCCAATGATTGGCATACGTAATATTCGTTGAAATAAAACTGGACGATGATGTGATGGAAATATACCGCCATTCATCATACAAACAGAATTGATTTGAAATTTAAGTGATTTTTTTCTATTTTTTTTGTCGTGGAAAAAACAAAAATTTTAATAAAAAAAGTGATAATGATAATGAATACAAACTTGTTTAATGATAATAAATGCTGTGCAACTGAATCACCATAATCATGTGATAAAATATGAACATTATCAATATTGAGATGATCCAATAATGATTGTATTAATTCAGCTTGATCTTTTATTGAATATTGATAGGATTTCTAATGATAAAAAAGGAAGCGACAATAATTATTCAATCAATCATTCAATCAATCAATTGATACATACTGGTTTACTACTGAAACCGAATCCAATAAAATCTGGTGCAATTATACGACCAAAATGATTTGTTAATTGTGGAAGAATTTTATACATATCAACATTGGATGTAGGAAATCCATGTAGATATAACAATGTTGGACCATTGGTTTTATTGGTCATTTTATCTATTAAAATTAGATGAAAAAAAAAAATTTCAAATCATTTTTGTGATGGAATAAATCATGTGTATGTTTACCAATATAGAAAATATCATATTGTGATCGATAAATAAATTGTTTGCCCATCTCTTGCCAGCCATGCAAAAATGGTGATATTGCCGGTTCAGGATAATGTGTAAACCACGTATAAATTATTGCCAATATTACAACCAAAACAGTTATTGTATTACGAACAAAACGATAACACGATTCATTATTAACATGTTTATTGTGTTTTTCTTTACGATTCATAAAACGTTCCAATTCTTTACGTTTTTTCATCAACATTTCATTCGATTTACTTTGATTATAATCAAATCTTGTACGTAAATTATCTTTGGTTGCCATTTGGTTTTTTCTTTTTTTTTCTTTGAACTCAAACAATTCAAACAATTCAAATTTCAAATTTTTTTTTGTCCAATGTGTAAATTATTATAAACAACAAAATAAACAGGTTCTATAATGTGGATGACCATTTCCACAAGCAATAGTTGTGATTATGTCGAAATAGGCATGATCATGATTTCAGCATACACGCACATGGATACAATATAATGGGATTCTAGCAACATTTTCTCTCTATCTCGTATCTTCTTTTTTTTTTGCTAATGGGTGCCGAGTGTATATATTTCTATAGAACAAGAGAAAAAAACAGAGAGAATCCAATTGCGTAGGATAATACAAAAAAAAATTCATTATTCTGCGCAATGCAACATAGTGGCATATAAATTAATGAAAAAAAAACTATGAGAAAAAAAAATTTATCTAAAACAGACAAATGGACAATTTTTCAATAAGAAATGCAACAATTTGTAGTAGCATTGATTGATGAAATAATAATTTTCAATGTTCTCTTCAAATGTATTCATACATTACTTGCATGCTTGATCAAGGATGATGATGATGATACCAGACTTTGGGAAAGGTAACGAAAAGACGAAAAAAGTTTGTTACGTGTCAATGTGTGTGTGTGTGTGAACAACACAGTGGATTTTTGGCTTTCGTTTGTCGTGTGCACGCGTTGGTTTTTCTTTTTTAAACTTTTCAATCAATTTTGGAAAATTCTTCAAATCGTGTGTTTTTACACAATTTTTTTTACTTATTTTTCTTGATTTTTTTTCGGTTAACGTATCCTTTACCGGTGTTGTCAAGTGGAAATTTTTTTTTTTTCGATTTCAGGTATGAAATTATCATTTATCCATATATTAAATTTAATTTTAATTTCGGTTTCGAATTCGAATTCGAATTTTTTTTCCTTCTATTATTTCTTATGATAATCTTTAAAAGTTTTGTGGTTACGTTATAGTTTTTTTCCCGAAACAAAATGTCTAATAATAATCCATCGGGACGACGTCCTGGAAAACGAATTTATTTTAATTCAAATCGAAATCAGTTGCGTAATAATGATCGCAATACACAACAACGGCGTGATCGACGTGAAGATAATGATGATCAACCTGATGCTGTTTCACAACAATCACGTGGGCATACTAATGAACAACAAATGCCAACTGCTTCACGTAATGTAATTGAAGGAGATTATAATAACAAGACGGGAAATTTTCCACGTGATCGTTCGAATGGCACTCATCGTCGTAATGATGGTAATGAAGAAAATGTTCCACAACAACCGCGGGATCGATATGACAATTATCATAGACGTCGTAATAATTATAAAGGTTATCAAAGACAACCTAATCGTCGCCAAGATAATAATAATAATGGTAGCAGTGAACAATCGGAATCTGTTTCACAACAATCACGTGGACATAATGATGAACAACAAATACGAACTGCTTCACGTAATGTAATTGGATCAGATTTTCCATTACGTGATCGTTCGGATGGTACTCATCATCGTCGTAATGATGATGGTCATGAAAATAATGTTACACAACAGCCAAGTGATCGACATGAAGAAAATGATGGCATCACTCAACAACATCAACAAAAACAAAATCCACGACGAAGAAATCAAAATAGACAACCTACTGGTCATCGTAATAATAATCAACAACGTACTACTGGTAATCGTGATGATCAACGGCCTGTTTATGATTCAAATCAATTAAAAATTGCCGATACAACAAAACAATCGAAAGAATATTTGATTATATCTCGTAGTGATCGTGATGATGATGATAATGTTTTTGCATTGTTCAATTTGCAAGCAACGTATACATTTCCACGATCATCTAAACCAAAAATACCATTTTTACGTTTATATAATCCACAATGGAATTTATTCAATAAAACGGCACAATCATCGTCAAAAAATAAATTTGATACAGACATCGCTTATCGACAATATGAAGAGGAAGAATTCTATAAAAAAAATTGTAATGAGAGTCCTGAATTTTGGAACAATTTTTACAAAACTGGATCAACCATCGGTGTTCGTAAACAACCGGCTGAAAATCTGATTGAATGTCCAATATGTAAACGGAATTTTGATCCAAATGAAGAATGTATTGCTTATACAGAATGTTCACATATGATGTGTATTGATTGTTGTGTAAAATGCATTGGACTTTATCAATCATGTCCAGTTTGTAGACATTCAAGTGAAAAAGTAAGTTTTACATTTCAAATCTATTTTATTTTGTTACAATAATTATATTCTTAATTAATTATTATTATAATAGTTGATAATGTCCTCAAAACAATTGGATTATGATCAATTAATAGATCATTCAAATTTCAATTTCGAAACAACTGAAATTGGACTTGTTGCATTCCATTTGATGGATGCTCAACAGATTGAAAAATATTTTCGTTCATTATTGTTTGTTGGTTGTACAAAAGATGGTGATGGTGATGATGATGATGACTGTCGTAAATTTAATGTATATCGTTTTGAAAAAAATTATCAAGATTATTTCCAAAAAATTCAGGATCTTTTTCGTCATATTCAGTAAGTTTTTTTTGTATTGATTTGTTTTGTGTGAAAAAAAATGTAAAATTTTTTTCTTTCTTTCTTGATTCATTCATTCATTTATAGTGTCAAACATAATCGTTACATTTGTATGATCTGCATTACAACATTACGTTCATGTATCAAATATATGATTGAATATAAACCAAATGATTTTTATCAACATTTAACCATTGGTAATCGTTTGATTGATGGTACACCGATTGAACATGTTTATTGTCATCTTTGTGGCTATTATTTATTTGACAATGATCAACTCTGGGAACATTGTAAACGTGATCATTTAAGCTGTTATCTTTGTAATTCATTTTTTGCAATTGATATGTCCAATATGATTGTACATTATCGTCAAGAACATTGTTATTGTAGTATTTGTAATTTGGCATTTCAGAAAAAAGATTTGGAACAACATAAACGTTTACATCCTGATGATCAAGATATTGAATATTGTCATGGATCGACTATTGTAGATGATGAGGAATCACCATCATCACAACAACAACAGCAGCAGCTGCAGCAGTTACAGCAACAACAACAACAGACTACAACAACAACAGTTGCTAGCCGTGGTTATATTGACCAAATTGATTTACAATTTCGACGTCAATATAAAAATGCACAATCCATGGATAAATGTGCACCAATTGCTGGCCCATCAATTGAAAGTTATATGATTAATTTTCCGGCAATATCATCAAATGTTGTGCCTAGTTATCCAAGTATAGAGCCAATTCAACAAAAGCCAGGAAATGTATATGATCAAGATTTTCCATCTTTGATTCCAGAATGTAAGATTTTAAAAATGAATATAATTTGATTATTGAAATAACCGAAACGAAATTTATTTCATTTTTATATAGCATCATCAACCGCTAATATAATGACCAAAACCAGTTTTGCTCACGCCAGTGTTGGACTATTAGCTCGTAAAGAACAACCAAAATCTACAATGAAAAACCACCGACCAGTAAAACCATCGTCAAATAAAGAATGGAAAAAACTGGAGAATGATAAAATGAAATCTAAAATGAATGAACCAAAATATTCGGAAATACAAACCACAATACCGGAAGATGAAACAATACCACCATCATCAATATTGAAAAAAACGGTAACTAAAAATGATAAAAAACAAACATCAAGTGGTAAGCAAAAATTGGACACTATTTTTGATGATTTTCCACCATTAACTTCTACTAATGCTTGCTCCAATCATCATCAAAACAACAACAACAACAACAGTCAAATAAAGAACAATTAAATAAATTGGAATCATATAAAGAAGTTTTGAAAGATAAATTTCAACAAAGTGGTGAATCAAAACCAAAAAAAGTTGATACAAAACCACGTCAGAAACAAGACGAATGGCCAACACTTGATGATGTTTATTATCCACCACCATCATCAACATCAAAACAGAAATTGAAAAAAGATAGGCCATTCGATGATCAACGAAGATGATGATCATTCATAACACTATTTCTTATTCAACCATTTCCAAATATGCAACAACGACAAGATAAATTGTATCGATCAATTGGATAGGAATTTTTTGTTAAAAATGATCGTTATCAAGAATTTGTTTTATAAAAATTGAAGATACGTGTTTTTATGTGTTCCTGTCAATATATGCGAACTTTAATGCTGCATCTTTTTAGTTGAGTGACAACTAAAACGCGTGCCATTGTGCAAACCATTTTGTGGTTCAATTTCGGTTGTACAAATTCTACCACTTTTTTTGGGTTCTTCACTTGATATTTATCAGACGTTATCTCATTTCAAATATTTTAACAAACACATTTCTAATGATCTATTTTTGAATTTTTTGGCTTTCATTCATCACATTTCTCACTCTTTTTTTTTGGTAATATCCAAAAAATGTGTACGAACTTTGAACTAAGTCATCATTTTTTTTTTATATTTATAATTTGTAATCCACTTTAATCCAAGTGTTTTTGTTCAAATTCAATTTTTCATTTCATTTGTGTTTTGTGAATTTGTGTAAAAAAATGTGATTTTTTTATAATCATCATTTATAATTAAATAGTTAATTGAAAAAAAATAATTGGTTAACTTGTGTCCTTTCAATTCATTTGAATTTAAATTTTGTTTTCTTCTTCTATCCAAATTGATTCGGTCGTTGAAACTATTGGTGATGATTCGGAATCGATTGGATAATCTGAACGAATTTGATTGAAAATCCAATGAATATATTTAGCAACACGTGTATAAACACCTGGTTGATCAGGACGTGCACAACCACGACCCCATGATACAATACCAATTTGATAGAATCGTTGTTTATCATTATCGCCATTAGGATTACCATTGATAATCATTGGACCACCTGAATCACCTTGACATGAATCACGGCCACCCATTTCATATGCAGCACACAATTGTCGTGCATCAATACGTTTTTCACCATAAATTTTTCTACATTTTTCATTACTTATAATCGGTATTTGTACTTCATGTAAACGATTCGTTATAATGCCACCTTCACGTTGATGGCCCCATCCAATAATAGTGGTATTATGACCGGCAAGAATTTTTTCATCAATTCTCGTAGTTGGTAAACAAATTGGATATAATGTTTGCGTGAATTTGAGTGTTTCATTCAATTTTAATAATGCAATATCATTCATTATAAATCGTGGTGCATACGATTCATGTGGAATTACCTTTTCTATGGACAATAACTGACCAATTGATGATTCGCTTTGATTATTTTTTCTCAATAAAATATCGTCCAAATTAATATCCGGTTTCGTTGTTGTTGTTGTTGTCGTCGTCATCGTCGTCGTCACCGTTGATGATGTTGAATTCAATTTTTTATTATTAATCGGTAATCGATTAGAACCGATAAAGACTTTTAAATTTTCAGCCAATGTTGTTGTATTGACACTACCACGTGTAATACAATGTGCAGCTGTCAATATATATTTTGTACCGATGATACTACCACCACAAATGAAACGTTGATGACGATAAATACCGACCATCCATGGCCATGAATTTGATTTGGATTCATGACCACCAACAATATATGGATCAAAAGTTTCGGTTTCTAGTTTTATTTTATTTTTTCCATATGAATCAGAAACATGTAAACCACCACAGTTTGCTTTAAATATTGAATTATTATTATTACATTTAATGGAAAAAATAAATGAAATAAAGTGAGAAAAACATACTTATGTTTAGAATTTGTTGAACAATTAATTCATCATCATCATCATCGTTGTTGTTGTTGTCATCAATATCGTGGCTATACAATGATGATGAAATGATGAAAAATGATAAAAATATCCAAATAATAAGTGGATGAAAATTCAAAAACCAAATACTATTTGTTGTATGCATTTCTGTTCAAACACTGAAATCACATTACTGTATTCTTTGTCGATTTCATTATATATATTTATTATATACCAAACTAAACGAACTGAATGTCCACTAAAATGTGCAATCATGCATTTCAATTCAATAATTTTGCTGGTCAAATTGAATCGCATCAGCTGCAACAACAAAAGAACCACAGGTCACAACAACCTACCAACATATCCATCCATCCATCCATCCATCTATTTATAACTACAGTGACAAGAACCAATAATGATGATGATGAACGTCCTTCGGGTCAAGGTTGATGAACCAAAAATTGCACACACACACACACACACACACCTGGTGGTGGTGGTGGATAGGTAAGACAAACTTATTTTTTTGTATCATTGAAAATAGAAAAAAAAATTGAACATATTCAAGCCTTGTTGTTGTTGTTGTTGTTGTTGTCGTTGTATATATAATTATAATTGATCAAATTTTAATTTTTTTCTTTTTTTTCATTAATAATAATAAAAATGAATGATGATAATTTGTGTTGTTGATGAATATAATTTTGAATGCCTATATAAATATTTTTTCATATTCACACTCAGCTCGCTTGTCACTTGTCACTTGTCGCTCGTTCTCTCTCTCTCTCTCTCTCTCATCGTTCAATCGTCGTCGTTTCATTATGATTGTAGTTGTATCTCTGCAAATATATTATATATTATTATATGTATGGTGTTCAATAATCCAATAATTATTGTGTAATCAATCAATTGAAATAAAATACATGATGATACATGAAATAGATTAATGATAATGAAAAGCTGTGCTTTGGTATGACGATGATAATGATGATGATGATGATGATAATGATGGTGAATGCATTATATTTAATAAGATGAAAATTGAAAAATTGGATTAAAGAAAAAGAAAAATTTTTAAAAAATGAGAAAAAAAAATTCAAATGTTTTTCTTTTCTTGGTAAATGTCATCGGTGTGTTTGGTTATTATTATTATAAATAATGCTGATGATTTGGTCAATTTTTTTTTCTCTTTGTTTTTCCATTTGGTGTGTGTGTGTGTGTGTGTGTATGTGTGTTTGTGGTCCAGTCGTTTTGGTTGGTTGGTTGGTTTTGTTTTGTTTTATTTTTCTTAAGATTTCTGATTCCTTTGTTTTATTTTGTTTTGTTTTGTGTTTTGTTTTGCTTTTTTTTTGGTTTTTTTTGTTTGATTTTTTTTTGGAATGTTAAAAATTACATTTTTTGTTTTGCTCAAGATTTTCGATGCCGTAATGTTCGTGTTGTCGATGATGATGATGATGATGATGCACTAATGGAACGTTTTTTATTATTACTACCACTACTACTACCACCACCACCACCACTTCCGGTTGTATTTGATACATTTTTAGCTATAGCCGCTGTCGATGATGATGATGTGTTTAATGGATCGCTTTGTGAATTTGTTTTTGAACAATTTTTTTTCGTACGTTTTAATGAATTTTTCATTTTTTTCGTCGTATTTCCATCATCAACATTATCATTAGATGTTGATTCAGATGATGATGGATCAGAATCTGAATCCGAATCATCATTCGAATCAGAATCAGATGAATTTGAAGAATCATCATCATCATCAATTTCTTCATCATCATCATCATCATCCTGCTCATAATCTTCATCATAATCATCTAAATCATCATCATCGTCATCGTCATCGTCATCATCGAAATCATCATAAACCATATTATCTTGTTGTTTATTTCCTTTTTTATTGGTTGATTTTGATTTTGTTGATAATGATCGTTTATTACCTGTTGTTTGTTTATTATTATTATTCATCATTTTATTTGATTTATTATTGGATGTTGTAGATTTTTTCATTGTATTTGATGATGATGATTTGGATGATTTTTTCGTTGTAACAGTATTTGTGGATTTTTTCCCAGATTTCGATTTTTTTGATGATGATGTTGTTGTTGTTGTTGTTGATTCATTTGTTGATTTCATTAATGTTTGATCATTAATCGTTACTGTATCATTGATTATAGTGGTGGTGGCGTTGGTGGATGAATAATTCATCATAACTGTATCATCCATTGTACGTTCTTCATCATCATCATCATCAATAATATTATCATTAGCAGTAGAAGCAGCAGAATTATCATTTGTATTTTGATTAATCGAATTTCCTATCATTAAATTTGATGAATTAATTATTGATCGATTTTTTGTTGTATTTGATTTTGTCGTAGACATCGATTGCTGTTGTTGTTGTTGTTGTTGTTGTTGATCATTATTATTATTATTATTATTATCATCACCAATCATTGATGTTGATTCACGAATAGCTGGTGGTGGACTCATTATTGTTGTTTCATTATCGGTATCTACTTCGGTTACATCCGATTTATCTTTTTCATCATCATCATCACTTTTTTTACTACTACTACTATTACTGTTACTGTTACTATTGCTATTACTATTACTATTACTGTTATTATTTCCATTTCCTATTTGTTTATTTTTACTATTTTTATTATTCATTGATGATTGTGATTTTTGCTGTTTTTGTTGCTTTTGTTGTTTTTGTTTTTGCTGTATTGGTTGTGATTGTTGTTGTTGTTGTTGTTGTTGTTGTTGATATATACCGGCCATCGTTGTTGCTGATGATTGTTGTTGTTGTTGTAATGATTTAGCCATCTGTAAATGAGGAGGAGGCTGATGTTGTTGTTGTTGATGATGATGATGATGTTGACCATCCGGAAGGGGATATTGTTGTTGTGGTAGTATAGGCGGTTGTTGTTGTTGTTGTGATGGATGTTCCTGTTGATGACGATGATGATGATGTGGTGGTAATGGTGGCGGTACACCCGAAGGTATTCCACCATATCTTTGTTGTTGTTGATGATAATGAAGTTGTTGTTGTTGTTGCAGTGATAATGGTGGCGGCGGTGGGTGATGAGGATGATGTGATGGATGGCCATGTAGATGATGTTGTTGTGATGATTGATTCTGCGGATGCGATTGTGGTGGAAGTGATGGCGGCGGTGGATATTGTTGATAATGTTGTGAATGATGTGAATATTGATGAGGATGATGTGGATGTTGTTGTGAATGATGAAGATGTGGAGGTGGTGGTGGTGGGGGTGGACCATGATGTGGATGTTGATGATGATGATGGTAACCCATCGTAGCCATCATTGATAATGAATCCGATGCTAATGTCGATGATGGTGGTGGCGGTGGTTGTTGTTGCGTTGCTGTTGAACCGGAAATGGCTTGAGCTTGTGCTTGAGCTTGAGCAGCGGCAGCTGCAGCTGCAGCTTTGGATTTTTTCGAATTTGATTTAGTTTCTGATTTTTCTTTCGCTGCTTTCTTTGCACCGTTTGCTTTTGAACCACCAGCTGCTTTTTTCGTTGAACCCCCACCACAGGTTGATTTGGATTTTTTTCCATTACCACCAGTTGGATTGGTAGGTGGTGTTCCGGGTATATTGTTCATATGTTGTGGATTAGATTTTGATGTAACAGAACCAGTCGATGTCATTGGTGGCATACTACCATGTGGTGGTGTTTGCATATGAGGAGGCGGTATTGGTTGTCCTGGTGGTACACCCGGGGGCATACCACCATATCGTTGCTGTTGTTGTGGTTGTTGAGGATGCATAGATCCTTGAGGTGGGGGATGTGGCGGAATCATTGATTGTTGTGTATGTTGATGATGACCATGATACATATTGGTATGATGATTCATACCACCAACACCACTACTTCCTTGATGTGAGGGTGGTCCATAATTTATAGGCATATTACTACCTGGGTTAGCTACCGGTGGTCGCCTATGATGATGTTGTTGTTGTTGTGAATGATGTGTATGATGCGGATGTTGTTGAGATGATGATGGTGGTGGCGGGGGTGGTGGTCCAGTATTACTACCACCAACAGCATGAGGATGATGTGGATTATATGATACTGTAGTTGTAGATGATGTTGGTCCACTTAATGCATTACGCAGATTATAATTCATATCAACATGATGTGGATGATGTGCTGAATGTGATGGCAATGTTGATGTTGATGATGATGCTGATGGTAGTGGTGGTGGTGGCAATGGTCCATGTGGATGATGTGGAACACCAGTATGATGTAAATGTGGTGGTAATGGCGGCGGTGGTGGTTGTGGTAGTGTTGGCTGCCCATGATGATGATGATGATGATTACCACCCGGATAATTACTCGGACTATTATTATTAGAAATTGTATGTGACATTTTACCACTCATTGGTCCATATTGGTTAACGGTTGCCGATGATAATGTTGTACCATATTCCATTGCTGCTGATGATTGTATACCACCACTAGTTGTTGATGAATGTTGTATAGAAATTGTTGTTGCCGTTGATGATATTGATTGGCTAACATTTGATCCCATCGATTGTTGTTGCTGTTGTCCATGATGTCCATGGTATGATACCGATGTTGATGATGATGATATTGGTCCTGGAACATTAGATATTTGTGATCCATGTTGATAAGAATGTTGTTGTTGTTGTTGATGATGATGATGATGATGTGATTGTGGTGGTGGTGGTGGTTGACTACTTTGTTGTTGTGGACCTTGTTGAGGATGATGACCACCACCAGCAGTATGATGATGATAGCCAATTGCATTTGGTTGATTATTATAATTTAAATGTGCAGGAATATTAGATGTTGATGATTGTTGTGATGAAATTGTTGCCACTGCAGCAGTCGTCGTTATCGTTGTTGTCGTCGATGATGATTGCGTTTGAGAATTATTATTATTATTATTATGATTGAAGCTCGTTATATTCTGTGTATTTTGGTGTTGTTGTTGTATCATGGTTGTATGGCTATTATTTGAATTTGAATTTGAATTCAATGATGATGTATGATGATTGGTCAAATTACTTCCACCATATTGCACCATTTTATTATTATTATTATTTGGCTGCGTTAATTGATTTTGGCTTGTTTGATATGATGATAAATTATCATTTTTATTTGGCTGCATTGAATTTATTATTGGCGATGATGATCGATCATTATTATTATTATTCGTTATTGTTGTTGCCATCATTTCTTGTGAATTTTCATTCAAATTTAAATTACGATTATTATTCATTGATAATGGTGGCGATTTAGTTGTTGTTGTTATTGTTGTTGTTGTTGTTGACGGTGGTGGTGTTGTTGTTGCAGTTGTTGACGATGAAACATTTAATTTCACATTTTCCATACCAATTGATTGTTGTTGTCCATTGCACTGTAATTGCTGTTGTGACGATTGTTGCTTTATAGTATGGCTATTTACATTTGTTATTGCTGTGGTGGTAGAATTTTTCTGATTTCCATCTTTAATCGTATCATTACCATTAATCAATAATTTATCATTTTCCTGTTGTTGTTGTTGTTGTTGCTGTTGATGTTTTTGATCACTATATTGTTGTCGAATCTGTTCCATAGCTGTATCAATCATTTTTTGATACATTTCTGTATCAAATGCAGGCTGTTTACTATAACGTTGTAATTGGCGATTAAATTCTTCACTTGATTCAAGTAATTTACGTTTTTTCTCTTTAAATAATTGTTCCATATTTGCCAATTCACTGAGTGATCTTTCTTGATGTAGGATTAATGAATCAGCCTGTTTACGTAATACTTCTAAACGACTATTCGTGACGATTGTACGTACATCGGGCATAACTTTATCGGAAAATACTTCAGATATCAATATATTATTACGATGATAACGTGTTGCAGCCATTTGTTTATTACTATTTGTTAATCCAATGCCAACCATATTGCCACCACCAGCAGCACCACCGATGGCCATGCTGCTAATACTACAACCACCACCACCACCACCACCTATATCATCATCAATAGTTGAATTGATTAATTCATCTTCCGGATAATAACCGAATTGATGATATGGTGAATCATATTGATGTGATGATGATGTTGATGATGATGATGAATTTCGATCATCTTTCATATTCATTTGTTTCTACAATTTTTTTTTTTTGTTCAATTAGTTCAATCAATTAGTAATCAATTTAACAAAAAACAAATTATCTTACTTTTCGATTTGATTTATTTGGTTTTTCATTTTTCGATTTTGTTGATCGATTTGAATGTGATTCCTGTTTGAAATTCAAGAATTAAATGATTTTTTTTTTGCCATTTATAAAACAAAAACAAACCGTTCGATGTTGTGTCGGTATATGTACAACCACCGGTTTTGTTGGATTAAAATTTGGATGTCCACGATTTGAATGATAAATGAATGGTGAACCACCATGATTACCACCACCACCACCAACACCACCGGATGATGATGATGAATGATTGGAAGTAGCTGCAGCAGCAACGGCAGCAGCAGCAGCAGCAGTTGCTACCGATGATGATGATGATGAGGATGAATTAGATGATGATAATGTTGTTGATGATGTTGTTATTATTGAACCAGATCCAGAATTCATATTACCGTTATTGATATTATTATTATTAATAGAACCGGAATTTGTAATGCCAGCACCAACCATTGTGTAATATGCCGGTTATTATTATGGTACCAGTAGTTTTATAATGTAACCACCGGTATTACAATGATGATTAATTGATGAAATATTTGAGATCATAATAAAACCAAAATTTGAACGAACAAAAAAAAATCACAAACACATAAACACACACACACACACACACATAGAGAAAGAGAGAGAGAGACAGCAAAATTTCTTTGAAAATTTAAAATTGAAATTCTTGAAATTTTATCAAATAAAAATATTCAAATCGATTATCATACAATCGAAGAATGAATTCGTCATCATCATCATCATTTAAATATTGAATTCTGCTTTTTCTTCTTCTTTGATGTTTTCTATCGTGGTCGTCGTCGTCGTCTTCGTTTTCATCATCATAGTCGTCGTTTGTTGTTTAGTTTTTTCTAACTTTGTTCAATAATAATTTATTATTAGTGGCATCAAAGTAGTAGCAAAAAAAAAATTTCTTTATTTGAAACACAGACACATACACAACGAAACATTTTTTGTTCGAATTGAATTGAATTGAATGATGATGATCGTGTAGCAGGAGAGCACCAATGAATTTTTTTTTCTTCTTTCAAAATAGCTAAAGCAAAACTTGAATCATCATCATTTGATTATTATCGTCGAATCGAATAAAAGATGTTTTTGAATGGAAACACACACACACATTCACTTTAATTCTCAAAATGAATACCACCATATATACAAAAATACATAGAAATAAGCAAAATGCGAGTAAGAGAGATGCAGTGAGGGGCTAGGTTTTTTCTAGACTAGTTTATTATCTTTTTTTTTCTCTTTCTCTCCCTCTTTATTTCATGTTTAGCATCTATTCCACATTCTTATTAAAATAACAACAACAACAAAAAAACATCCACAACAACCACCACCACCATCACCACCGCATTCAATTGATTAAAGCTGAATATTTTTCTTTATTTTTTCGTTTCTTAAATTCTCGTTTTTTGTTGTTGTTGTTGTTGATTTTCTATAGATATTTTCTCTTCATGTGTTTAATGGATATGGAAGGCTGTCAGGCTACTTCGAAGAGAAAAAAAATGCTGGTTAACTGGCTGGCTGGATGGCTGATTGATTCGTATCTTTCGTACAATTTTTTTTCGGGTTTTTTTTTTCGTTGGTTGGTTGATTGGTTGGTTGGTTGGTTGGTTGGTTGGTTGGTTGGTTGGTTGGTTGTTCGGTTGGTTGACGCTGGTGGCACTCTCGGATATTCACAGCCACAGAGAAAATTGGTCTCCTCATTTGAGGGTGAGAATACCAAAATTTTTGCAAATTCTTCCCCTCAAAATTTGCGCTACTTACGCTTTATAAATTTTTTGCCCATTTTTTTTTTTCTTCTCCGTGAACATAGTTGTGATGTGTTTGTGTGTGAGATGTAGACATCCCAAACATACATGAATCCAGTGTGTGTGTGTGTGTGAATGGCTCAATTCTTTTTCTTTTCATTTTTTTTTTTTTTTTTGTTTTGTTCTTGGAGCCCAACCACCGCTGGTGGTGGTAGTGGCAAGTAAATTTTTTTTGTTTTGTTGTTTTCTTATTGTTTATTTTTTTTTCGTCGATTCTAAATCTCTTTTTATCTAAGATTTTTGTTTTGTTGTTTTTTTTGACCACTATCTCCATCCACACATTTTGTTTTTGTTTTTGTTTTTTCAGCAGAGGAAGAAATATATTCATGGGTCCCTATTATTTTGGTTGACGATTAACTAAAATTATTACCACTACCATTCATCATTGTGTGAATATTTTTCCGTTTTTTATTGTGTTTCATTATCCAGATACTACTACTACTACTACTACTATCCACCACTATTGCTGCTATATATATTATATATTATATGCTTTTTCATTTCACAAAATATATGTATTCTATGAATGGATCATACCCGCCTAGTAGCTATTATGTGGTAGTGGTGATTAGTGGTATGGGTAATATTAACAAATGGTCGATAGGTGGTGTTTTTTCAAAAAAAAAAAAAAAAAAAATTCTATGAAAAAAATTAATTAATGTTCATTTTAAGTTTCAAGTTACAAATAATTCCAAAAAAAAAAAAAATGTTTGTTGTTTGGTTTCACGTTAAATCGAAACAAACATATTTTTTTTTCGTTGCCGGTAATTCTAATGTCTGAAAAAAAGAGGCATATGATCATTTTTTTTCTTGTTCATCCAAATGAAATGTGATGTGTCCCTGTCAAACAAACAAACAAAAAAAAAACAAAAAAAAACCAGATGAAAGAGACAAAAAAAAATTTCAACCCATGTCATTTGTTGTTCATAGAATTTACAATTTTCTCTCTTTATCTCTCTCTCAGTGTGTGTGTGTGTGTGTGTGTGTGTCTGTGTCTGAGATACAGACACAGATAATAAATACATTCAGCATTGAGAATGTATGGTAAAAGCAAATGGAAGAAACAAAAAAAAAATATAAATTCTTTTACCCCAGAGTCCACAAACGTCAAATGATTGACGAATCCTACCCAATATATGGTGTGTGTGTGTGTCTGTGTGTTGTGTATGCATTTAAAGAAAAAGAGAGTTCAAGTTAAGCTCGATAAATTTTTTTTTTTTTTTTGCTTTCTACCATCAAACTTCGTGTACCTGTTTGTAATTTGATGATGATGATTATTATTGTTGCAAAAATCAAATTTCAACATTTTTTGAGAAGAAAAAAAAATGAGAAATTCAAAATTCCCAAATGAAAATAAAATTAAATTTATGTTCAAGAAAAAGTGTTTCTTTTGTAAACAGGAGAAAATGAAAATCTTTTTCAGAATTCAAGAGAAAAGAATATTCGAGTTTCGACTGTATATATAGCGAGAGTGAGAGAGAGAGAGAGAGAACGATCAACATAATACAACACATTCGTGTGTGTGTGTGTGTGTGTATCCCATTCACTAATGCCACATATACAGATATTTTGAATTGAAAAAAAGGGAATAATATCCCGGTTCTATTATACTGCCAATACTGCTGATATGTTATCTTTATCATTTAAGAATTCATCATTGTTGAATTTGGATTGTGGTATCGATTTCAAAACAAGAAAAAAAAATATATTCCCTTTTTTTCATGTTTTCAAATTATTCACCATCAATCAAATTGGCGACAACGGCGCCATCTTGTGATGAACAACATCACCATTTCTCTCTATTTTTGTTTTGTTCATTTGAATTATCACGTTATTTATTTCAAATCAAAAAAAAAAAAAAAACTACAATTCATAAGCCAGTCAAAAAAAAATTTATCAATAATAAAAGACAGATTAATCAGATTTCTTCATAATTGATCCATTATCATTAGTGCTTATAGTATCGATTAAATAGAAACAAATTGTACCGCCAAACACAATCAATGTACCGTTCCAATGCCAAATTGTGAATGGATTGCCAAAATAAAATATTGAAAATAATAATGATAAAAATTTTCGATTTGTCAAACACAATGTAACGGATAATGAATTACAATGCATAATTAAATCATATACTGAACATATACATAGATATTGTGTTAAAACAGTCAACAATAGATAAAATGGTAGATCAAATAATGTATTAACATTCAATCGTTCGATGAATAATTGAAAATGTAAATGAATATCATCGATGGATGTAATCACGAAAATCGGTATGGACAATATATGCTGCATATGTGGAAAAAAAAGATTTGATTTAAAAAAAAGTGGAGATTTTTTTATAAAAAAAAAATAAAAATTCCAACTTACAACATAGAATAATGCTTCATTTGAATTTTTAACAAAATTTTTTGCCAAATATTCTTGATAAATACCGACAGCAGCTGATGATAGAAATGATGCCGCCAATAATGTTATGCCGATTGTTGTTGTTGATGTAGTGGTGGTAATTGAATGATTATTTGTAAATTTAAAAAACAAAAATGATGAAAATATGTCCACATAATCTAGTGAATATTTTAAACGATAATCTTCAATTGTACACAATATTAGACCAATGGTAATGGCAATAACTGAAAAGAATTTATTCATTGAATAACGATGACGTAGTATTAACATTCCTAATAACATATTGGCCACTAGACTAGACTGAAATGAATAATCAGAATAATTAATTGAAACAAAGAAAAAAAACAAACAAACATACCGATTTAAATATCATCATCAATGGTATTGAAATGCCATAATTTAATGATAAATTATTGGTGAAAATTGTAAAAAAACTTAGAAATACCAATGGCAAATAATATCTGATGATTGATGAGTTTTTTTTTTAATTAAAATCCAATTAAATCAATCAATCAAAATTCAATTACCTAATGGGCACTTGTGGCCGATGAACACCTAAACCAAATGGTAGACCAATAGTAAACAATAGGCCACATATTGTAATGAATAAATGTTGAATAAATGAAATGAAATTTGATGATTTTGGTGCCAATCTGTAGTCAAAGTTAAAACAAACAAAAACAAGTTAATTAATAAACACACATATACACACAATGAATGAATTACCTGAGTGTTTGTTCTTGTAGTGCCATATTGATGAAACAAAATGTTGTACATTTTATCATTAACCATGCTTTTTTCCATTCAAATGATGATGATGGTGAATTTTGTTCATTTCTTTGTTGAGCATTATTTTTCATCATTGTTTCATTTGTTGTTGATTGCTGTTGATCAACTTTGTTGATCATCGAATTAATTGATTTATTGGAATTTCGTTTTCGCATTGTTGTTAATTATGATTGAAAATAAAAATTATAACATAATAAAAAACGTATACAAAAATCAATGAGAGACACAAAAGGTTAAAATAGTTGAAATTTTATTTTTAAAAAATTTTTCCATTCATTCATTTCATTCATCATCATTTGATCATCATCGTGGACACATAGCATGACGACCACCATCAACCGGTAATGATGCACCGGTAATAAATGTAGCTGAATCTGATGCCAAATATGTAATTGCCGATGCAATTTCAGCAACATCACCAACACGTCCAATTGCATGGGTGGTTTTTGAATGTTCCAAAAATCGTTGATATTGTTCATCATTAAGGCCACTTGCTTTATGTATATTTGTAACGACAACACCTGGATTAACTGAATTAACACGTACACCTTTACTGGCCAATTCCAATGCTGTACAACGTGTTAATTGATCGAGGCCAGCTTTTGAGATATTATAAGCCAATACACCTGGGAAACTACGTATACCATTCACTGAGCTTACATTAACAATATTGCCTTTTGATTGGATCAAATATGGTACAGCCAACATTGTTAAATGATAAATAGCCCGAAGATTTAGATTCATAACACGATCATATTGATCCAATGATGTGGTTTCAATTGTTCCCATTTCAATGATACCGGCATTATTGACCAATACATCTAAACGATTATATTCGGCAATCGTTTTATCCATCAATTCTTTAACAGCTTTTTGATCATTGCTACCAATATCGCCAACATGGCTGATAATTTTCTGTTCTGAATTCTGTCGTTGTTGACGACATGCTTCAATGGTTTGTTGTAAACGTTCATTATTACGACCAGTAAGACAAAGATGTGCACCAAGACGACTAAAATGTATGGCTGTTTCACGACCAATACCACTGCTTGCACCTGTGTGTGAGTGTATGATTTTTTTTTGATGAAAATAATTAAACCAAAGAGTCCAAAGATTTACCTGTTATAAGCACAACTTTACTGGCAAATGAAATGTTGGACAAAAGTTTCGACATTCTTTTATTTTTGCTCTGTTTATTGTGGAAAGCAATAAAAATGGCGCTGTGAAATGATTGAAAAAAAGAAAAATAGAAAAAAAAACGTTCGATTTGTTTAAATAAATGAAAAAAAACTCACCAGTTTTTTTTCTTTCAATAAAAAACAATCAATCAGTCGATGTTTTTTCTTTCTCCTGATTATTATATCGAATAAAATATCGTTGTCTGTCGAGATGAGATGTTGTGTCAATCCAAAAATGGGCAGAAAAAAAATTGAGCAACAAACAAACAAACAATGATAAAGAGAGAAAAAAAACAAGCAAATTGAATGACAACGCAAAGACAAATTACCTTATCAATTTGTTGTTGTACGACCATCAATTTCTGGCCTGATCATTGATACCGTTTGGATCTGTGTCTAAGATGACATCATCATCATCATCATCAACATATTCATCGGGCGTGATGAACATGGAAAAGAAAAAACTTACAGTGATACATTGAATATATGATGATGATGATAATTGGTGATTATCATCAAATAGTATGTGTGTGAGAAAGAAACCAAAAAAAACAACAATAAAACATCGATATAATCGATAGCTTTTTTTCTCAAAAAATAAAATAAAAAATACAGTCATTATTCGATTGTTATACAGTGTATCATCAATAGTTTTCCAATTATGAATCGATCAATTCTCAAAATAATCCAAATGTTGACTGTATTTTTTTTTCTACTTTCGTTTCGTTCCGTTTCGTCCATTCTCTAATATTGTTATAACAACGAACAAATGGCTTGAGTTTGCGCAATAAACATTAATCACACACAAGTACCAATTACAATTTTTTTTTCTATTTAACAACAATTTTCACATCGTCGTCACTCAGGAATTTTGGAATTGATTTTTTGTTGAAAAGAATTTTTAACTTGACAACAACAACGACAACAACAACAACGGAAAACAAAATAAAAAATGAATTGAATCTTTGGATATATTTTTTTTTCACTCCTGAATATTCGTATTGATACAGAATTTTTTTTTTATTATTACTAATTTTTCATCATATAACCAACAGCAATAAAATAAAAGAATCATGAATGAAGAAGCAGAAGATTTTCCACAAAATATACGAGGTTTGAAGTGTTTTTTTTTGTCTTTTTTTTCAAGTTTTAAATGTTTCGATTTTCTTTTTCATTTTTTTTTTGTTCCAAAAACAAATAATTAAATAAATAAATGAATGACCATTATATATATTATATAAAGGTTTAAAAGGTTTACAGAATTTAGGCAATACATGCTATATAAATGCAACATTACAAGCATTATTACATATACGGCCATTACGTTTATATTTTACTGAAACCTATTATCGTCGTTTACGTTTACAATGGGATAATAGTATTGATTCGTTATTCCATCAATTTATGATGACATTATGGACAATGCCATCATCATCATCATCATCATTAAATAATCATCATCATCATCATCAATCTAAAAATCATTCATCAATGAATGATACATCGACAACAACAACGGCATCATCTAGTAAAAATGTAAATTATGCACAAGATTCATTGGTCATTCTACGAGCATTAGTATCATTCATTTGGAAAAGATATTCATTTTTTAGTCCAGGTGATCAACATGATTCGCAAGAATTTCTTCAATGTTTACTTGGTGATTTACATGATGCATTGAAGATACCATTCTATCCTGAATCTCAATTTTTACATTATAAATTAAGAAATTGTGATTATCAACTTAGAAAATTGGCTAAATATCTAATTGGTAAATATGAAAATATTTGATTTATTTATTTCTATCCTGTTTGTGTCGAATTCACTTTTTTACTCTCTTTTTTTTTCGCTATAAATAGAACACGATTTTGATTGCAATGAATATGATGCTGATCATGAATATTATAAAAAAATTGACGAATTCATACAACAATCACGATTAGTTAATTATTATCATTCAAAAAATTATCAGCCAATTACATCAATGGATAATCAACACGACATATCAATTGATCATGATGGTGATCATACGGATGAACCAATTTTATATAATTTATTCAATCAAAATCCGTCCCATAATCAAGACAATGATCATAATTGTAATTCTAATTCTAATCATGGTGATCATCAACATCTTAAATATCGTAGCATTATAAGTGATTTATTTGCCGGTGAATTAGAGAACACTATACGTTGTACAAATTGTGGCCGTACATCAATTTTAACGGAAACATTTCTTAATCTTTCTATACCGATTACGGCTATTGATCGTGCTATACAAAGTAAAATACAAAATTCAATGGTTTTTCGTAAGTTTTTTTTCTGTTTATAATTTCAAAAAAATCTTATAAAAAAATGTTTTTTTTTCTTTGAAAATCAATAGCCAATATACGATTAAGCGTTCCATTCAATAATCAACAACAACAACAACATCAATCGGCGACAAATCAATCATCATTGATTGAAAAATCATTAAATTATGCATTTGAAACAATACGTTTCTATTATGATTATCTATGGAATTGGTTCGATTGGTTTATGTCATTTTTATCAAATCCATCTGTAGATCTAATGGATTGTTTGGAAACATTTTTCAATCCTGAATTATTGGAAAATGAAAATCGTTATCATTGTGATAATTGTAAAAAATTATGTAATGGCATCAAATGTATACGTATCAAACGATTGCCAGAAATATTGATCGTACATCTTAATCGTTATCAAAATGTTAATTCCGTCGTGCGTAAAATAACATCACAATTAACATTTCCATTGAATGATTTTTCATTGAAATCATTTCTATCGGAAACTACGACCAATGTAACATATTCGGCCGATGCACAATATGATTTAGTTGCCGTTGTTTGTCATAATGGTACACAAGTTACGAATGGCCATTATATTTGTTATGCATTGAATGAAATCAATTTAGATTGGTATGAATTTGATGATACATATGTAACATATGTAAGTAAAGATCGTATATTATCGATGGCATCCAGTGCATACATCTTGTTCTATCAACGTGTGGATCCAAAATCAATAATGACCCGTACCATGAATATTATTTATGATATTGAACATCGTTGGATGGAATCCTGTACAGATAATTCATATCTAAAACGTTTGAATTTAAATCTTCAAGATTATTATTTCTTCACTACACAATCATCATCATCATCATCATCATATAAAGTAAATGTTGATGATGCATTTATTAATCTGAAAAGTGTTCCATTAAGTAAACAATGGTTAATGGCATTTCAATCATTACAATATCCTGGTCCTATCGATAATTCTGATATATTCTGTATACATGGACTAATACGTCCAACTGAATATTTATTTTTCAATAATTTATCATTACCAGTTATTGAACCAGTTGGACAATTTTTATGGCTTTTATATGGTGGTGGGCCATTGTTTCGTTGTTCCGGTTTTATTGAAAATCGAAATAATGAACAACAACAGCAGCAACAATATGCCGTATGTTTACAATGTAGTTCATTATTAGATATGTATGATGAACGTCGTAAAAGTGAATTTAATGAATTTATTCAATTACAATCAATGCATGTACACATGTTTCGTAAATTGAAATTGAAAACAAGTGAATTGACAATTATTATTGATAAATGTAATGATCAAAATCATCAAGATGATGGACAAGTACAACAACAACAACAAAGTGATCAAGAAGATAATTTATTAATTATATCGAATGATGATGATGATGATGATGATGATGATGATGATGAAAAGAAAGAATTGGATGAAAATGGTGCCATTATTACAACTGCCGATGATGATGATGATGATGATGATGATGATGATGATGATGGTGATGGTAATGAGAATGAAACAAACAACAAAACGAAATCGAAAAAATCATCAATTGAAATGAAAATGTTGGATACAATGATGATGACAATTGATGATGAACAATCAGCATATTATTATCTAATCTCGGCTGAATGGATTATAAAATGGTTAAGTTTTGTTAATGTACGTTTTGATCAATCAACTGTAACGGCACGTGATCGACAATTATTTAGTCATTATGAACAGATATTTAAAAAACAAGAAGAAAGACAACAAAATCCACAACCATATGATGAACAATATCATCGTATGATTTATTTACGTACAAAGACTATTCATCCACCATTAGCATCATTATTACGTTCAATAATGAATACAATGAATAAAAATCAATTTCAGATCGATACAGAAGATATGTTGAAACAGATTGATCTGGATCTACATACGGTATTACCACCTGGTCCTATTGATAATTGGTCAATATTTGGTATAAAAAGAAAAATTTTAACCGAAAACCGTAATCGTGAAAATATGAATAATAAAGATCCACTAAAACAAAAATCAATGACAATCGATATGGCAACTAAATATGATGATCTTTGTAAATTGTTTGCCGAAATTCTTGCCGGTCAATCATCAGCGAATGATTTTGTTTCAAATAATAATGTTGAATATTCATCTGATAATCAAACGATAAAATGTCAATATCGATTTGCATTCCATTCACGTTATGGTGGCTTATATGAAGAGAATAGTTCATGTGTATTCTATTTAGTATCCAGTGATTATTGGAATCTTTTCTCACAGACCTATGGTGGTGGTCCAACAATTCGTTTTAATTATTTATTGAATAAATTTGAAGCCAATATCACTGTGAATGATATTGAATTTTTTATACGTGAACATTATCGTAGCCGTCAAACAATGGTCAATAATAATGGTGATAATGATAATAATAATGATCATGATGATGGTCATTCAGAAACAGAAAATAATGATGGCGATGATGATGGCAATGATGATAAAAATGATCAACAACAACAACAACAACAGCAAAAACGGAACAAATAGACTTGATGCAAAAACAACAAAACGATGAACCAGTATTGATTGAAAGTTTAGAAAATAATGATATTCTTATCAATAATAATGATTCTCATCAAACTGAAATTGAGACAAACATCTGTAGACGACGACGACGACGACGACAACAGAGACAACGGCGTAACAACAGTGGCAATAATAATAATCAACCAGTAAAATCATCAACTACAACAGCGCCAGAAACAATGAATGATGATGATCATGACAAAATGGATTGATTGATTGAAATATTTAGTATATTATATTTTGTTTATTTTTAAAAAAATTTACAAAATTTTTTTTGATAATTTCATTCAAAATTCAGTTCATCATGGACCATTGATGGAATCTAGTCTTCTTTTTTTTTTGTTTGTTTACGTACTTACTTATTACACCTATTCACACACTGAATGTTCTTTTTTTTTCTTTTCTTTTTCTCTTTCATTTTCGTTAATTTTCATTTCTTTTTTCATTCAAAATTATTATATATCACAATAATTTTCATCACTCATTCTCTCTACTTTCAACTATATTTCTGGTCATTTTGATGTGCATTTATAATAAGCTCGTTTATTATTTCTTTTTCAATAAAATTTTTAAAAAACTGGTCATTTTTAAACGTTGTTGATTGATTTTCAACCAAGCGAGAGAGAGAGAGAGAAAAAAAAAAATGGAAATGAATTTTATTGGTTTATAATTTATGGTAAAAACTACAGAATTTTCAGGTTTTTTTTTTTAAAAAACAAGATTGATAATCATATAAATTGGAATATGAGTAAATGAATATTTGTTGTTGTTTGAATAATAATAATAAAAAAAATGGCTGGAATTCATGTTTGTCAAAATTGAATTTTTTTTTCACTAACTAAACGATGATGATTACGATGATGATGATGATTACGATAATGATGATAATGAAAATGGCCAGATTATAAATCACAATCATCATTTTTATGCTTATATGTGTGTGTGTATGTTTGATTACGATCGATTTTGATTGATTGATTGAAAAATCATGATGATGATGATGATGATGATTAAATGTATAAGATGATGATGATGATGATGATTCACAAAAAGAAGAAAAATGTTAATCTCTTCATTCATAGGTATATTATTTAATTATTTTCGTCAATCAATTTCAAATGTTTTTACGTTGCCTAATTTTTTTTAAATGTTTTAAATCTGTGTAAGCATATAATATGTAGATGGCTGATTATTATTATTATTATTGTTGTTGTTGTTGTTGTTGCTGCTGCTATCGCTGTTGTTGTTGTTATTATTAAATGAAACAATATTTTCATTATGATCTATAATTGGACTAGTTGTTGTCGTAAGAATTTCATTAAATTGTTGATGATGATTATGATGTATAGATGGTGATGATACAGATGTTGATGATGCATCGTCATCGTCATCATCATCCATACAATCAACATTATCATCATCATCGATACAATCCATAAAATCTGAATTTTCATAATCAACATTGTTGTTGTTGTTATTATTATTATTGGCTGTTGTTGTTGTTGTTGTTGTTTGTGGCAACATTGAACGATAATCATGTAAATCAAATTCAACAAAATCTACTGCCGTTGATTTACCACCACCACCATTACCAGCACCAAATACAAAATCATCATTCAGATTTGGTGTCGATATTGAACGTAATATACGTGGTACTTGTATATTGTCCAATCTTTCAAGAATCTGTTTTGAAAAATTAAATTTGAAAAAAATCAATAATATTTTAACAATATTCACTAACCTTATTAAATAATGGCCGCCGTTGTATATCATAATCGATACAATTTTCAATAAGTTTGATAAATTTTTTCGGTATACCATCACGTGTCTTTCTGAAATCCGGTCGTAAATGGCCACAACCAACCATATAAAGAATTTGATGTGGATTATTTATCTGCTGATATGGTAATGTACCGGTGGCTATTTCATATAATACAATACCATAACCATAAACATCACTTTGAAATGTATATGGATTCAATCCGGTCATACGTATTACTTCTGGTGCCATCCACAATATCGATCCAGTTGGTTGATTAATACGTTGTGAACCATCCCATTGTGCTTTCACAGTGGCCAGACCAAAATCACCAATTTTTACTGTATAATCTTTGTGTAGAAATATATCTATTGGAATAAAAAAAAAATTAGAACAATTAATTTCAATTTCAACAACAGAAAAACAAAACAATTTACTATTAGATTTAAGATCACGATGAATAATTTTTTTTGCATGTAAATAATCCATTCCTTGGGCTGTTTGTCGTGAAATGTTGAGCATTTGTATCATTTCCAATTTTGTATCCATAACATGTAAATGTTTATATAATGATGAACCTTCACACCATTGTGTGACAATCGTTAGATGTGGTTTCGATACATAACCCATGAATAATATTATATTCACATGACGTGTTTTACGTAACACGGCAATTTCATTTTTAAATTCCTGGAAAAAGGAAAAATTTTTAAAAGAAATTAACATTACAAAAAAACACTCACTAAAAGCTGTGCCTGTGTTGGTTCAGCCACTTTAAGTTTTTTCAATGCAACCGGTCCATGCCAATGGCCACGAAATACGGTACCATATGAACCAGATCCAATACATTCACGTACAAGAATTTCTGATTGTGGTATCTCCCAATCACGTATCGATTCACGATTAGAATCGATATGTAATTTTTCATCAGCTGATCTTGGACGATTATTTGTTATTGGATCATTATTATTATTGTTATTATTATTATTATGGTTATGATTATTTTGTTGTTCAATTTTACTCGTTTGATCAGTAGTATTGATTATATTAATACGATCAGGTTCAGAATTCGTACGTTTAATGTCTTGTTTACCGCCGCCGCCGCCGCTTATTGTATTATTATTATTACCACCAGAAACATTATTATTACCGACTCCGTTATCATTATTATTATTGCCATTCATATCAATTATACTAGATTGATGATTTTTATGATGCTGATGATGATGATGATGATGGTGATGATGTGGATGACTGCCCATTTTATGTATAATATTATATTGGCGAGCAAGACAAATTGGTGAGATCAATTGTCCACAACGTAAATGATATTTAATACCACATGCTTGACAACGAAGACCAGTAAATATTAATTTATGGCATAGATCACAATTGGCTAATGAAAAAAATTCACGACGAGTTTCATGAGCTATGATTCGTACTTCAATATTACGGCTTTGTAAACGTGATACTTCTGTATCCCAATCGATTGGTTGGCTGGTTTTTTTTGTACCAAAAAAAAAAAAAAAAAAAAAAATGGATCAATTTTTCTCATGGAATTACAAAATTAAACAAACAAAAACATACCCATTATCAGTATAACAAACATAACAAACATCGGTTGTAAGACGACGTTTTTTCATTGCTCTCATCAATACATCACGAATTGTTTGCTGTTTATTTTGTTGTTGTCCATGTCCATCGTTAATGCCACTAAATCCATCATCACCATTTTGATTTCGATGATGATGATTAATTTCAACAATTGTACGTTGTTGATTTGGCATATAAACATTTAATAACATTTTATTCGGCAATAATAATGAATTTGTATCTTGTGGCTGCTGCTGCTGCTGTTGTAAAATTGTTTGTGATGTTTGCATTGTTGATGAAGATGAAGATGTTGTCATTGTTTCATTTGTTGTTGTTGATGCTTCTGTTGTTTGTTTTAAATGGCCATGGTTTAATAATGAAGATGATGATGATGATGGTGGTGCTGGTGGTGGTGGTGGTGGTGATGATAATGGTGATGATGATTTTGAATTCATCATCATCATTAAATTATTATTATTATTAGCATTAGCATTAGCATTATTCTGGCTATTTGTTGTAGTCAAATTGTTGTTTGTATTATCCATTGTTACAAATTGTACCATGATTGATTAAATGATGCAAATTGAAAATCAACAGGTGAATGGCATTTTTTTTTTGTTCTTTTGGCTGAATTGTTTTTGGAATGAAGAACAATTTATTTCTTCTTCTTAAATCCAACCAGAATGTTTACGAAATGCGAAAAAAAACTTGTGTGTGTGTGTTTGTGATCTTCTCATCAAACGAACAAATATCAAACAAATGAACCCACACGCACCAAAAAAAAAACATATATAGATCACACAAACACCTTTCTTTTCAACAATCAAAAAAAAACACAACACAAACGTATCACGTAAATATTTTGTGTGTGTGTGTGTAAGTGGGAAAGACATCAAGTAAATCACACAACATTTATAAAAATCTTCATCATCATCATCATTGGATTGATGAAAAAATCAAAAAAAAAAAAAAAAAAAATTCAATGTTATTGTCAAGTCACATTACCATCACACATCAACTCTATCATCTCATTTAATAATACACATTGAATATACAACAAGTGTATATATAAATATATATATCAATCAGTAAAATCAGAAACAAAAAAACATTAAGTAAAAAATCACTTTGTGTTTATGCGTGTGAGTTGAGTTAATTGAGCAATCAATTATCATCAATTATCATCATCATCATCATCATCATCAGTTATTTTATTTCATTTAAAAAAACGAATCGAACAAGTTGAATAAATTTTTTTTTCACTTTTCAACACATTTACATCTTTTTTATTTTATTTTTTATTATTCATTTTTCTTTTGTTGCAAAAAACAAAATTTCATTTTCATAGGTTAATGTCGATATATTTGATGATGATGGTAATGAATGGGTTGATTTATCGATTGATTGATTGATTGATCAATAAAAACCAATCAATCAATCGAATAAACAAACAAACAAAATAACAATGAAAAAAAACCGCATCACTTTTGTTAATTTTGATTTTATTATTATGTATTAAAATGTGGATTTTTTTTTTTTTTCATAATTTTTCATGGTTTATCGTCGATGGTGGTAGCCGTGGTGGTGGTGGTGGTGGTATTGAGCCATTTTTCTTTTTATATTTTTTTTTTGTTATTTGAGTTGTGATTCACAATTGGATTTTTTGTCGTTGTTGTTGTTGTTGTTGTTGTTGTATCTGGAGCTCAAACAACTCGTCATTATTTTAGTTTTTTTTTTTTTTTTTTTGTGTGTTTGTATAGACTCTACAAGTGTCTTTCTATGTCCATTTTTTTCTCTTTCTCTCTCTCTCTCACTGTCTATGTGTGTGTGTGGTTGGTTGGTTAATTTTGTGGATGATGAAAATTGTAGTAGAGGTTTATGTGTGTGTGTGTGTGTGTTTGTGGATAATTTTTGAAAGAAGACGACGACGACGACGAAGACGAAGACGAAGACGATTTTTTTTGTTTTGTTGTTGATAATAATGGCGAATGAAGATTTTTTTTGTTCGTCAATTTCGTTGATTGTGGTGATGGTGGTGGTGGTGGTGGTGGTAATGGTTGTCGATGTCATTGAATATCGTGCTAGTTGTTGTTGTTGTTGTTGTTGTTGTTGATCATGATCATGATGATGATAATGGTGGTGGGTGGATGGCTGTTTTTTTTTTTTATTACAATATGGCCATAAAAAAAAAGAGGAGGAACAAGAATTTTAGACACTATTTACAAACGCACACACACACACACACACAAACACACTATAGTGCACACATATCGAGATAAATTTAAAAATGAAAAAAAAATTTCCGTTTCCTATTTAGAAATAATCACAAATCAATGAATGTTTTGTATTTTTTGGCCTTGGTCCAAAATGAATGAATGAATGAATGAATTTTTTTTTTGATTTATTGATTTCTGATCGATATCAATCGAATAAAATAAATATAACAAAAAAAAAATTGAAAAATAATCTTTCTTGATAATCGATTATCAATCAATCGATTTTCATTCATTCATTCATTTACACATTCTTTTATGTAGGAAAACATAAAATTATCATATCCATTTCATTTGATGTTGATGATAATGATGATATTCTATTGATATTTCTTTCTTTTTTTTCCGTGTATGATGTGCAATAACAAAATAACAGAAAAGAAAACAAAATGAAATAAATTGTACAAAAAAAAAAAATTTCAAAAAGATTTTTTCGTCATTTGATCACAATACAGTTGGTTGTAGTAAATGTTTGTTTTTTTTATGAATGTAGAAATCAAATAAAAATCATCAATCAATCAAAAATGTCGAAATCATCATCATCATCATCATCATCATCATCGGCAAGACCATTCTGTCTGATGAATGATGGTCCAAATAATAATAATAATTCATGGTGGTGGTCGATAATAATGGATTTTTTTCATCTATTCATCGATGATAATAATAATCGACCATCATCGATTGAATCAATCAAACAGCCATCATTACCATCATCATCGGCATTGATAAATTCAACAATTAAAAATATATTTGGTTCATTTGAATCAAATTCAGCAATTATCATGTTGAATAAAACAAAAACAAAAACAACAACAACAACAACAACAACGATGACAATGGAAACATCAGCAACATCGGCAACAAAATCAATATTTAGCTACGGTAAAACATGTACAGAGGATACAATATTTGTTTGGTTACCATTTCTATTATTATTGATTGGTATTTTGATTGAATTTTTATGGATAAATGGATCATCATCAAATAATAAATATCGTTCAATTAATAATCAACAGCAGCAGCAACAACAACAACAAAAACAAATAAAATCACCACTTTCAATGACTATATTTTATATGTCAAAAATGGTTTGTTTGTTTGGTATTTTTAAATCCAAATATATCAACAGGTGTTTGAACTTTTTATCATTTTTTTTATTGATTTTTTTCCAAATGCAAATAAATTGATAGTTGGCTGCAAGTATTTTATATGTAATAAGTTTAGCACGTATAATCTATTGGTATCTATATGCTGATCATAATCAATTGGAATTAAAAGATCCATGGTCATCGGTTATGGCCGATTCTATACGTGCTTTAGCATGGGTATGTTGAACTTTTCATTGGTTGTTTTTTGATAATTCAACTTTTCCATTCAGTTTATCATCATATTATTATCATTATTCAATCACCGTAATCGAATACTATCATCTGGTTCGATATTTATATTCACAATACTTGAATCATTGGCAAATATTTACACCTTAGTAGGCATTATGATTGATTTATTCTCAACGGAATTAATTGTAACTGAATTATGGATGATCAATAATGATTCGTTGATGATTTCATTCAAATTGATCTATATTGCATCATTATTACATTTTCTTCTGATTGAATGTCATTCGGATTTGGATTCAATGAAACAAAAATCACCACTATTAATTGGAGCAAAATTATTGAAATATAAAGTATTTATTTATATATGAATAATTAGAATTTGAATTCAATCAAATTTTTTAAATTTTGTATAAAACACAGCTAACAAATCCTGAATGTTCGGCATCATTTTTATCAAAAATTACATTTTCATGGTTCGGCATTCTAGTCAGACAAACATGGCAACGAAAATCATTACATCAAGAAGATTTATGGTTATTAAGTTTTGAAAATACAACTAGTTCATTATTGCAAACATTTCGTCAAACATTTGATAATTATCGTGAACATAATGGTGATAAAAGAAAATTCAATTTAATGACAATATTGATACGATTATATATCAAAGAATTAATTTGGATTGCCGGATTGAAATTGATTGCAAGCATTTTTCTATTCATCAATCCAATCATGTTGAATAGAATAATAACATTTTTAAATCCAACAAACCATGAACCATATTGGCGTGGTTTTTTCTATGCATCCATAATGTTCATATCACCATTATTAGAATCATTATTTACAAATCAACATGAATATCATTTAAATATGATAACTATGCGTATGAAAACCTGTGTAACTGGTATTGTTTATCATAAAAGTTTACGTCTATCACAGACGGCTAAACAACAATTTTCTACCGGTGAAATTGTCAATCTAATTTCAGTGGACACATTAAGAATTGTTGATTTGATTAATAATATCAATACATTATGGTCAGCACCATTACAAATATCCATTGGTCTATATCTTGTTTGGCAACAATTAAGTTATGCATCATTAGCCGGTTTTAGTTATATGTTATTAATCATACCGATAAATATAATGTTAACGAATAAAATTCGTTCATTACAATTACATCTAATGCAACGTAAAGATGAACGTTCCAAATTGATGAATGAAATATTGGATGGTATTAAAGTGATCAAATTGAATGCATGGGAACGATATTTTGAAAAGAAAATCAATCATTTACGTTCATTGGAAATGAAACAATTAAAATGGATTGCCTATTGTAATGCATTTATGACCACATTTTTCAGTTCCAGTGCCATTTTTGTTGCATTATTCAGTTTTATTGCCTATACAATGATTTCGATGGATAATGTTTTGGATGCAAATCGTGCATTTGTTTCATTATCATTATTCAATATAATACGTGTACCATTAACATTTTTACCAATGTTTTTCTCATTCGCTGGCATTGCATTTGTATCGATTGATCGTTTGAATAAATATCTTAATGCACCGGAATTGATTGATTATTGTGAAACATTATCATTATCACCAACATCAACACCGGAACCATCATCATCCGGTACAACAGTAACAACGGAAGAAAATGATTTTGCCATACGTATACATGATGGAAATTTCAATTGGATTAAAGATGATCCAATACCGACAATAAATAGTGTTAATCTGACTGTACGAAGACATAGTTTAATTGCCATTGTTGGCGGTGTCGGTTGTGGTAAATCATCATTATTATCAGCCATATTAGGAGAAATGGAAAAATTAAGCGGTCAGGTGAAAATTTCTGGCCGCATTGCATATGTACCACAAGAAGCATGGATATTGAATGCAACGATTCGTGATAATATTTTATTGAATAAAAAATATGATGAAAAAAAATATAAAAAAGTTCTTGAATCATGTGCATTACAATTGGATATGGCAATGTTTGCTGCCGGCGATATGACTGAAGTTGGTGAAAAAGGTATCAATCTTTCTGGTGGCCAAAAACAACGTATATCGTTAGCAAGAGCCGTTTATTCCAATTCCGATATCTATCTATTGGATAATCCATTGAGGTGAGTAGAATGCGAATACGAATTTTGAAATTTAAAAAATTTTTTAAAATTTATTCAAAAAAAAGCGCATTAGATGCACATGTTAGTCAACATATTTATTCACATGTAATCGGACCAAAAGGTTGTCTACGAAATAAGACAAGAATTTTGGTTACAACCAAATTATCACTATTACCCGAAATGGATCAAATTGTTTATATGTCAAGAGGTGAAATAAAAGATTATGGCCAATTTGAACAATTAATCGATACACGTGGTCCATTCTCTGAATATGTGGCTGAATATTTTCTTGACCAACAAAATGGTCTGGAAACCAATCTAGATCAACCGGATACAGAATTCATTAATCAAATGGTTGTACCGAAAATTCAACGTGTTATTGAACGTGTACAATTATCACGTAGTATTTCTTTGAATCGTAATATATCAATGAATGAACAACGTTATCATAGTACAATTGCTAGCCAATCGGTTACTATTAATCAATCACAATCGATTGCTAGATCACAACTGCAACAACAATCGATAATTGAATCGGATGAAATATTTGCCGAAAACATTCAAATAACTCAAGGACGATTAATTCAAGCAGAAGAAATGGCTGAAGGTTCAGTGAACATGATTAATTATAAAATCTATATGCAAACAATTGGTTGGTGTATTTGTTTCACCGTTATGATTACATTATTATTATCGAATATATTTCAAGTGATGGGCAGTTTATGGTTAACCGATTGGTCAAATGATTCATTGTTATCACCAAATGAATTGACCAAAAATTTACGTATTCAACGTATACTAGTATTCACCGTACTAGGAATAATTGAAGTATTTTTCACATTTCTTGGTACACTTGAAGTCTGTTTAGGTTGTGTACGTGCATCACGTATTCTACATAATCAAATGATTACCCGAATAATACGTGCACCAATGTCATTTTTTGATACAACACCATTGGGTAGAATATTGAATAGATTTACACGTGATATTGATGTTATTGATTTACGTATATCGATAAATGTACGTCTGTTTATTATGCAAATTTATCGTACATTTGTTGCATTTGGTCTGATTGGTTTTGAAGCGCCAATTATTTTGGCTTTCATGTTACCATTAACGATTGGTTATTATGTTTTACAAAAATTATTCATACAAACATCAAGACAATTAAAACGTATTGAAGCTGTCAGTAGATCACCAATGAATAATCATCTTAGGTATGTTTATTTTTTTTTTTCTGTGATGATATGAAAAACAATTTTTTTCATATGATGATATGAAATAGTGAAACAGTAAATGGTGCAACAAGTATACGTGCATATGGATTGATGAAAAAATTTACACGTGGTATGCTTAAACGTATCGATGATAATAATCAAAGTTATTGGCTTGGATTTACAGCCTCAAGATGGTTAGCAATACGATTAGAATTTATTAGCTATTCAATTGTATTTTTGGCCACATTGTTTGCTGTATTATCACGTGGATCATTAAGTCCAGGTGTTGCCGGTCTTGCCATTAGTTATTCATTGAATATAACCGCTATACTTAATCTATTGATACGTGGTTATTCTGAATTGGAAACAAATTTTGTTTCTGTTGAACGTATTGTTGAATATCTGCAAACACCTAAAGAGGTAAGTGTGTGTGTGTGTTTGAATTTGGAATTTTAAAAAAATTTTTGAATTTAAAATTTCAAAAAAAAACCAATAGAAACAAATGATTAGCAATGAATTGGCACGTATACCATTTGATTGGCCAAATAAAGGTGAAATTTCATTTGAAAATTATAGTACACAATATAGACCTGGTTTAAAACTTTGTTTGAAACGAATCAATCTATTAATACCTGGCGGTAGTAAAGTGGCTATTGTTGGCCGAACCGGATCAGGTAAATCATCATTTTCATTGGCATTATTTTGTATATTAGAACCAGTTGAAGGTACTATTTATATTGATAATATCGATATACGCAAGATAACATTGGAAACATTGAGAAAATCGTTAACAATTGTTCCACAAGATCCAGTAATATTTACGGCTACATTACGTGAAAATATTGATACATTATCACAATTTAGTGATGAACAATGTATCCAATCATTGAAAGATGCTAATATGACAGAATTTTTAGAAAAATCAACTATAATCTTGGCTATATATTGACCAGTGGTGATAATCTAAGTGCTGGACAACGACAATTAATCTGTCTAGCACGTGCATTACTCAAACAAAGTCCGGTGATTGTATTTGATGAAGCGACTGCATGTAAGTTTATTTTATTTTTTTGGTTTGAATTTCAATTCAAATTATTATTCCATTTTCATTTGATTCATTCACAACAAACAAACCGGGGATAACATTAAAAAAAACAGCTGTAGATCATGAAACCGATAGCCATATACATGATACAATATTTTCACAATCATTTAAAACAAAAACGGTATTCATGATTGCACATCGTTTGGATCGTATCATGGATTATGATTACATACTTGTCATGGATAATGGTGAAATAGCTGAATTTGATCATCCAAATCGATTAGTATTGGATACGGATGGACAATTCTATTCATTGGCTAAAGAAGCAAAAATTATTTAGAATTTTTTTTTTTTTAGTAGAAATAAAATTTTTTCAATTTTCAATTTTCAAAAAAAAAATTGCTCTATTCATATACGTACTATATTGACGGATTTTGTTTTGTTTTGTTTTGTTTTCGCAAACACACACACAAACACACACAAACAGCGGCAGCGGTTGCCAACCAGTCTCAATAACAATAAACAACAACAACAAGCGCTGTTTTTTTTTGCTGACAAACCTTGAAAGTTGTTGTTGTTGTTGTTGTGGTTTCACATTTGTTTTTTTTTTTTTTTTTGGTTTTTTATTTGTCATTCCATTTCAATATAAAAAAAGATTCGATTGTATCAAAGTTGAAAAAAATCGAAAAATTGGCCGGTATTCAAATTATCATCGGCAACGGCAACGGCAACAACAATGACAATCATATCGAATTTAATAATGGCCAATAATTATCGGCCAACAAATCATTCAACAAAAATGTTAATGACAATAATGTTACGTTCAATGATTCGTCGTAATATGATTATGATGAACAATAATCATCAACAATTTAAACGTAGATCATTATTTATATTGAATTCTTGTCCATTTCCATCGTCATCATCATCATCATCATCACGATTAGTGTTTCAAAATAATCATCAATATAGATCATTCATAGTAAACACACCATCACAACAACATTATCGATTGGTTAATAATTATTGGTTACAATTAACACGAACATTGTCGAATACAACAACTGGTTCGAAATCTGAAGATATTCATGGTATTTATTTATTTTTATTGATAATTGATTTATATTGATTTCTTTAATTTAATTTCTTTCTCATTCTATAGTGATACCTAAAGTAAAAACAATAAATACAAAAGAACGTAATAAAGATTTAACATTGGGTCGTAATTTTATAACAACAACACGTGCAATGCGTGAATATGCATTGGATATATCGGATCTAGTCGATCTAAGAAAATTCCAAAGACGTAGCCCATATAATGATGAACCTCCTATTACTGTTTATTTACGTAAAGATGTTGAAGCAAAGTAAGTTGGATCGAAATGGAATGGAATAAATAATTTTTTTCCTCGATTCAAACCATAGAGCTCTTGAAGTATGGAAAAATTGGGACTGTCTTAATGAAGAATTACGACGTCGTAAAGAGAAAGAAGAAACCTATAGTGATAGCCTTTTGATAGTTAAAAAATATAATAAAGATTATCGTCGATTGAATACACCGCAAGCAAAATTTCGTGAAAACATTATGCGTGAATCTGGCCGTGTTGTAATGGCTGCTGTGATAATGTGATAGTTTTTTTTTATTTCATTTCAAAATTATTTAAATTTTTGTTTATTTATTGATAATAAATAGAAATGGTGCCAATTTTTTTCTCAAATTATTTGCATGGCTTTATACCGGATCTCATTCATTATTTTCGGAAGCAATACATTCATTAGCCGATACTTGTAATCAATTATTATTGGCATTCGGTATAAGAAAATCAATACAAGTGCCTAATAAAGATCATCCATATGGTTATCATCCAATGCGTTATATTTCATCATTAATATCTGGTGTGGCCATATTCTGTACCGGTACTGGTCTTAGTATTTATCATGGTATCGATGGTATTCTTCATCCTGAACCAATCGAATCATATTATTGGGCATATTTTATATTGCTTGGTTCACTTATTTCCGAAGGTGGTACATTAATTATTGCATTGAATGCAGCAAGACGATCAGCTTCATTACAAGGAATTTCATTAACACAATACAGTATGTGTATTAATTAATTATATTCTAATTAATGAATTAATTGATTAACCATTCATTTCTAGTTCTAGCCGGTAGTGATCCAACATTGAATGTTGTCATTTTAGAAGATTTTGCTGCCGTACTTGGTGTGACTATTGCAGCTGGTTGTATGGGTTTAACATCGTATTTTAATACACCAATATTTGATGCTTGTGGATCATTGGCCATTGGTGCATTATTGGGTGTTGTTGCATCATTTGTAATCTATACAAATGCCGGTGCATTAGTTGGTAAATCTATTGCACCGAATCGTATGGGTGAGATAAATAAATTTTTAGAATCCGATGGTATGGTACGTGCTATACATGATGTAAAAGCAACACATATGGGTAACGATATGGTTCGATATAAAGGTTAGACGAATTTTCCATTTGATTTGATAATTAATAATTGATAATTTTAATATCATTACAACCCAAATAGCTGAAGTGGATTTTGATGGCCGTAAATTGACTAGAAATTATCTAGATTCCATTGATTTAGAAGTACTTTACAAGGTGATTGATTGATCGTAATTTAATAATTTTCAACTTTCAAATGATAAAATTTCAATTTTATTTATTGGTAGGAAATGTTATCAGTAAAAACAATGGATGAATGTGAAGAATTTATGCTGAAACATGGTGAAAATATTGTCGATCTATTAGGCGCTGAAGTGGATCGTATTGAAAATGAATTGAAAGCTAAACATCCTGAAGTTCGTCATGTTGATCTTGAAGTACTGTAGTAGTTTTATATAACCACCACCATCATCATAAAAAATTGACAAAAAACAAATTAATCCATCATCCACAACGAAATCCATCCCTGGTTATTATTATTTTGTCATTGTCATTGTTGTTGTTGTTGTTGTTGTTGCCAACCCTTTTTTGTGATTTAAATACACACCCACACACTGATTTTTTTTATTAAGAAAAAATTCAACGATTTGATTTGATTTCAGTTTTTTTTCCAATTTTTACATCCATATCATTATCATATGTATTCAGAGCGATAGAATTTTAATTTCAAAAAAAAACAAACAAAAAAAATCCATTGATGTAATAATTAAAAAACAAAAATATTTCAAATTATGATGACCATAATCTGGTGAATTCCAATTCTTGTACAACATAATTATATTTGATTGATTGATGATTTTGATTTGAACAAAAGTTTCAGTTAACTATCCATTAAGCTTTTGACAAACAACAACAGCCACGAATGACGACAAACATTGATCATGTGATGTAAATTTTTTTTTTTTTTTCGAAACGATGATCATGATGATGATGATGACAATTTATGAATCGAATTTTTTTTTCGTTTCGTTTCGTTGTTGCCTAATGATGATCATTTTCGTTGATTGGCTAAAAATAGAATCGCGTTTTTTTTTGTCAGTCTGTGTGTGTGTGTGTGTGTGAAGAGGATTTGCAGTGCAGCGAAATTTGTGCCAAGTTTTTTTTCCATTGCTGCATTTTCATTCCATTCCATTAATATTTGTTGCTGTGAATAAATATGTGTGGAATTAACCCAACCAGTGAAAGATCCAAAATCAATGTTTTAAAGACAAAAAAAGTGTGAAAATTTTAATAAATGAAATGAAATCGCTTAATTTTTTTTTGAATGCCAAAAATTTTGGTTACATTACACACAAATTTATGAATAATTTTTCTCTTTCTTTGTTTTTTTTTGTGATTTGTTCTATCTTGTGACATTAATGGTAATGACGATGATGATGATGATGACAATGATGATGAAATATTGAGTGACAATTGGTTAATTGATTAACGTTAATTGTATTTTGTTTTTTTTATGGATAGATGTTTTATAGATATCACAATAATTGATTATCAATTGATTAATCGATAAAAATTGTATGATTTTGGATAGATTTTTTTTTCTTTTCAAAAATATTTTTATAATAAGTGTGTGTGTGTGTGTGTGTGTAAAGGAGAATTGTGAAAATTACAAACAACAAAAAAAAACAAACAAACAAACAAACAAATGAACGAATGTATGAAAATTGATAGATTGATTAGTATTATTATTATATTATTTATTTATATTTATATGGTACGAATGAAATGAAATTTGATTGATTTAATGGATAGATAGATTTTTTTTTGTTTCATCGATCATTTGATTGATTATTTGTCGATGATGATGATGATGATGTCGATGGACATGATTTAGCTGGATCATCATCAACATCATCCACAGATTCAATCCAACTTAATTCAACAATAGCTGAAACACGTTTTATATATTCATTACGATTTTCCATAAATAATTGTGCTGCTAATGCATTTGCCGGTGAATTTGGATTCGGTTCATCCAATAATGATTGTATTGATGTTAAAATTGCTGATACATCATATGTTGGACTCCAACGTGTTTGCAATATATCCAAACATATACTGCCATCGGTATAAACTAGAAATGGGGAAAAAAAGAAAAACAAAAAAAAAATTGAGAGAAATGAGAGAGCAAAACAACTTTTACAATGTACAACTTACTGTTTGGATGAAACATTTTCGATACGAATTTAACCGATGGTGGTTTATTTGGATATTCATCGGAAAATTGTAATGTTAAATGAAATGTACCATCTTCATATGGTGTACCCGGTGGTCTGAATTGATTCGATTCGATTATATTGATTGAAAAAAACAACAATGGATGAGAATAACACAAAAAAACATACCCAAAAATGACGGCATTCCAACGCATTATATCATTATCATGTGGTGCAGCGCTAATACCTGGTGGTGGATCATCTTGAATTCTGGAATTTTTTTTTTTTTGAACGTTAAAATTGAAATTTAAACATCAAACAAACTATATTAACCTTTTAAAATCACGCATTAAACGACGTTTTGTTGGCGATGTTGTTGTCATGTTGTTTATTTTCTGATGATTCGTTGTTGATTGATAATTTAAATGAAAAAAAAATTGAATTCACAAAAAACAAAACAAAACAGTGATGATGATGTGAGCCAAAGTGATCATATATGAAATGATTGAATATGAAAATGAAAACAAAGCAAAAAAAAATGATGATGATGATGATTAATAATAAAAATTTTCAAACAAAAACAAAAACACACACACACACTAGCTATGTGTGTGAAGATTAAATCGCAAATAAGTTACTCGTGAATTAGTGAAAAAAAAGGAATGAATTCTTTCGTTTAATTTTCGAAAGAATATATACACACAGAAATGAATTGAATGATGATGATGATGATGATGATTAGTAACAACAACAAAAACACTCAGAGAGATAGAGAGAGAGAGAAAATTGACAACTACCACCACCACCACCACCATACTAAAACAAACAGAATTTCAAGCTAGTTAAATAATAATAATAAAATTCTGTGCTATATAGAATGAATATACTATACTGAGCATGGAAAAAAAACGAAACAAATGAAAATGGTGAAACAAAAGACAGGGCAAAAAAAAAGTTTGAAATTTTTTTTCAATTCAATATAAAAATAAACACAGACAAAAAAAACATGAAATGAAATTGAAAGAGTTGATCATCATGATCATTTTATGAAATGATCATCATGATGAATAACATTGGTCATTTTTAGATTTCCAAAAGGTGAATTTTATATTGATGATGACGATATATTCGATTCGATTAATTTGTCGATTTTATTATTTACTTACATTTTTTTTCGTATATTTGTTTGTTTTTGATGACCTTACACAACAACAACAAATAACAACAACAACAACAACAAAAACTTATCAACATATGAGCTCAAACAGTGTGCGTGTTAGTTTTTTGTTGTTGTTGTTCAATGTGTGTTTGTACGTGTTTTTTACGTATTTTAAATGTGTTGCACATGTATATATAAAAAATGATCCATTTTAATATATTTGTAGAAGTAGTAGTAGTGGTAGTTGTAGCGTTGATATTGGCGTTGACTTTTACAGTGTAACGACGATTTTTTTTTATGATTATCACACGAATGTATTGTGTGTGTGTGTGTTTTGTTTGTATGATTTTTCCGTGATTTTTTTTCTGTTGTTGTTGTTGTTGTTGTTGATTTTCCGGGTTTTCAACAACAACAACAACAGTCCTCGAATTTCAAATCTTTTTTTCCATTCCATCTCTCTTTCTTTCAGATCTCGATTATCGTTTATCCACTGTGTGTGCGTGTTCATGTTGATCGATGGCAAATGAAAATTTTTTTTCAATTTTGATATTTTACATCGGAAAAGATGCTCTCTCCTCTGAGGATAAAATAGATTTTGGATGTCAAGGACGGTTTGGATATATGATGAAAAAATCTTAGCCTTTCTCTTTTGGCATTAGGAAATTGAATTTCCTTTTTTTTGTCCCAAAAAATTTACATTAAATTTTTTTAGCCAGTTGTTTTGTTCCGGTTTTTTATCTCACTCTCACTTTCACCCTAAAACCAATTATTTAATCATCAGGATAATCAATAAACTTGTTTTTTTTGTTGTTGTTGTCGCTGTTCCTTTGAGGTCATTGAATTTTTTTTTTTTTTGAATTTAATTTTTTGAAAATTTAAATTTCAAAAAAAAAAATTAATGTAAAAATTTGAAAAAAAACTTACCGAAAAAATTCATTAAATTTCGAGAGAAATTTTCCCGGCAATCAAATAAAATGAAAAATAAAAAGTCATGTGTGTTGATTGGATATTCGAATTAGATCCAAGTATTGATATTGAATGATTTGGTTGTTGTTTGTTTGTTTGTTTGTCTGTCTGTTTTTTTTCGGATAAGATATAATTACATATCAAATGTACCTACATGGTGGTGGTGGTGGTGGTAATGGTGGTTATGCTTTCTTGAATATATTCCTTTCGTTTTTTGTTTCCATCGTGTAATGAATTAAAAAACTTTTGAATACAACAAAAAAAATCAAAATCATGTCAACAACAGCACAAACAATTAGCCGATTGGATACAATATATCGTAGTATATTGTTATCGAAATTTTTCGTTAAAGGATGGGGTAATCCACAAAATATGAAAAGGTTTGCATTCACTGTTGTTTTGGAGCATTTTTTTTAAAATTCTTTGATTTTTCATTATCTCCGAAACCGGCGGCAAAAAAATAGGATATTTAAATTTCGTAAAATAATTTCCAATCGACAAACATGTCAAAAATTGGTACAATCAAATCATCCAATTTATATTGATCGAAAAATTGAACAAACCGATTCATATTGTCTATATGAAGGTCATTTCAATAGTCCATTAGTTGATTATCTTGCCGAATTAGTACCAAAAGAATCACATGTTGCCTATTTTCAATTAATTGTGCCTTCATATTGGAATACCGATAATAGAATTAGTCAACAACAAATTCGTCCACTTTGTGTTCAACTTGCTGGAACTGGTGATCATGTATGTAATAATTTTGTTTGATGAGATTTTTTTTTCTCAAATTTCATTACAATCCAAATAGGGATTCTGGCGTCGTAGACAATTTATGGCCAAACCATTGATTCGTGATTATGGTATCGGTTCGATTATTCTGGAAAATCCATTCTGTAAATTTTTGTGTTTTTTTTGTCTTTCCAAAAAATGATTTTTTCCCAATTTGATTTTTTTCAATAAACAGATGGTCTTCGTAAACCAAACAATCAATCACGATCACAGCTAAATAATGTATCCGATATATTCATAATGGGCGGTTGTTTAATACTTGAATCATTGGCATTGTTTCATTGGTGTAAAAGAATGAAATTTGCACCACTTTGTATCACTGGAATATCGATGGGTGGCCATAATGCATCATTAGCGGCGACTAGTTGGCATGAACCAATCGGTATTGTTCCTTGTTTATCATGGACAACAGCATCATGTGTGTTCACGCAAGGTGTCATGTCCGGTTCGATACCATGGAAAATTCTTGAAACACAATATTTAAGCTATCCAGATCAGGATCGTGTTGAATTAAGTGAATTGTTGCATACACCAGAAAAATATGTATGTTTTTTTGTGATTTCGTCAACAATTATAATTAATTTTTTTCTTTTTAGCTAAATGATGAAATGTTTGATGCTGGACGTAGTTTTGCTAAACATTTTCAATTTAATTTCAATCAATTTCTCACCGAATTGAATATGAGTCTTTCATTATATTTAGATAAAATAATCAATTTCAAATTCACACAAAATCAACAACAACAGAATGGTCAACATAATAATAATAATAAACAACAACAACAACAACAATCGACTACAACAACAACGACAACAACAAATCGTGATGCAGCATTTTTTATGCGTGGCATTATGGATGAATGTACACATTTAGGAAATTTTTCACCATTAATCGATCCAGAATTAGCGATCATCATTAATGCACGTCATGATGGTTATGTACCTAGTCAAGGTGTCATGTCATTAACGGACATATGGCCTGGTTCACAGGTACGTTATCTGGATCGTGGCCATATATCAGCTATTTTATTTGATAATGATGAATTTCGTCGTGCAATTGCCGAATCAATACAATTGGCTGCACGTAAATATATGAATATTGATGATATTTTTATTGAACATCGACAACAACAAAAGAAAACCATTCGAAATGTTTCAAAACATAATGGTAATGATGATATTGTCTAGAAAAAAAAATATTATGATCAATTCATTGGTTGTCCATATTTGTTTTGTTAAATTTTTTTTTTAATTACACAGAAAAAAAAGAATTTCATGTGTCAATGTTTAATCAATGTTTCGTTGTTTATTTATTTTTTCATTTTTTGTAACAATTTATTCTGTTTTTTCCTTTTTTTTTGATTAAAAAAGATTCAATTTACAATTAAGAAAAAAACTAATAATAATGATGATGATCATCATCATCATTGATCGCTACGAGGAATAAATGGATCACTCCATACACGCATATTGCCCGGTTGAATCTCTTCACGGTTAATTCCTTTACGATTTTCGTGTTGTGTTTTTTCTGTAGATTTGAAACGATAATCAATCAATCAATAATTTCATCAATGGCAAATATACTTACGATATTTTTCAATATTAAAATATGGATAAATGAAAATTGGATATAATGCAATCAAAACGGTGCCAACAAAACCGGCAACAATTAAGGCACCTTTATAGCCGTTACGTGAACGGCTAAATAATGGTATCGATCGTTTCATCGTATTTTTTTTTTTTTTTTTTTTGTTTCAAATTCAAGATCAAATTTTGTATTTGAAACAAAAAAAAATCAAACACATATGATCATGAATGTACCAGTATCGATGAATGGACCATGCACTTGGAAAACAAAATACAGTTGGTTCTCGACTATCGAACACACAAATGTGGAACATGAAATGTTCATAAGTAAAGAGCTGACTGTGTATGCAAACATTGGTTACATTCTCTGTTTTGGTGATTCTTTTTTTTCATTTGTTTTTTTATTGATCATTTTACACATTCTTTTCATTTTCATATCATTGTTATATATTGAAAAAATAAATAAAATAAAATGATGATGATGATGATGATACAACGATTTACATATCAAATTCATTTACAGCAACGAGCTTCATTATCGAAAATTTTCACTACAATATTCCATTATAATAATCGACGACCTTTGAATTTTTTACATTATCAAAATCATCATCATCATTATTATCATTGGGATCGATTTAGGTGAGCAAAAATTTTGGCAAAGTTGTTTTCATTTTTTTTTTTTTTCAATTTTCATTTCAGTTTTCGTTCAATAATAATAAATGGCAGTCCAAATCGAAAACGGATTGATAATTCGGCTATAAATTTTAGTATGCATTCATTTGTACGAAAATCTATTAATGATAATAATGATAATAAAAATAATGAACAACAACGACAACGACAACGACAAAAAGATCAATTCATACATGATCATCTGAATTCTAGTCAAGATTCACATGGTTCATCTGCAACTATAACAAATACGGATACATTACCAGTAATGGAACAGGATCTAGTGTCAAAAGAACCACCACGTGAACGTTTGGGTATAATCAAGGCTATTATTATTATTATTGCTGGAATCTATTTCGGTGCATGGGTTGCAATGATTGGTGCAAAATTATTGGAAGATTTAGATATTTTCGTTCAAGATCGTGATGGTGATGATGATTAGATTAGATTAGATTCTTTAATTAGAAAATTCTTCTATATTCAATATCAAAATGGATTTGGCACCATGAATCTTCTCACGAAATTTTTTTTATTTATTTATTCATTTCCAAAATGAAAATTGTGCAATGCAATATTTATTTATTTAATACCCTATATATGTTTCACATTTACTGTATGTCTCATTCACTCATCGATACAGATCTGATCGGTTCATATAATAATGGATGAATAATCCGCATCCAATAATTAATTTTAACGACAACGACAACAACAACAATGAACACCTAAGATGTGTGTCTGTGCTGTGTTTTTGTTCACATTCTCTATCATCATCATCATCATTATTCAATTTGTTGACAATTAATCCCCTTTATTTTCATTTTTGTTCTCTCTGGATTAATTTTTTTCTTTTAAAATAAGATGAGTTTATCACTATTTTTTTTAGTAGAACAAAACAAAACAAGACAAAAAAAACTATTACAAACAAAATGAACGCATGCTCAAGTAATATTATGTGGCACATTATTTAATCAATTAATGATTGATTTTGATTGATTAATTTTCAAAATAAACAAAAAAAAAATTCTGTTATACACACGACCAGTCAGTATTAGATTTTTTTTTTTCATCATCAATTTATTACGTAATGATCATTAATATTCTGTTGATATTCGTTATTTTGTTTTTTTCATTTCAAAAAGAAATTCCGCAATAAATTCTTTTGTTGATTGTAATGAATTGAAATTTTTTTTTTTATTAATTAATCAATCTTTTTCACGATTAATAAATTGTTTTGCAGTAAATAATTTAAATTTTCTTTCTCAAGAAATTCTTTCTAGGAAATTTTTTTTTGTTTTTTTGTTTCCATCCATAAACATAAAAACAAAAATTCTACGCATTCAATTTGGTCGATTCCATTTTTTTTCGGTTTTGGTTTTGTTTTGTTTTACTGAAATCCAGGGATCCGTTTCGAAAATCTTGTTGTTTTTTTTTCTCTCTATTTCTTTGGATTCTCGCTCTCTCCCCCTCATTCTCTATTTCATATTCATAAGAATAACCGTATCAAATACAATGGTGGGTATATTATACATACACATTATAATCCAAATAAAACACTATCGATGTATATCCGTTATATATATGATTTACATATGCTTCTACCGTTCGAATAAAAATAATCCACACACACACACACATATCATTGGAACTTTACCGCTACCCTTCTGTGTTTATCCACCCTCACTAGACAAAAAATAAAATAAAACAAAAAAAAACATTCGGGATTCAAATTCAACAATGTAGTCGTTGTGTTTGTGTGTTCCAAAACACACACATATATATGTGTCTATTTTATTTTTTCATTTTTTTTTTAAACGATAGGGATGGGTTACACTTCTTCTAAATTGAGAAAAAAAACATTAAAACTAGATCATAGAATGAATGAATGTTTGTTTACATGCGCCAGAAAACATACACACACACACACACAAACGAACAAATGTTCTCTATCAATGAATTTTGAATTTTTTTTTTTTAAAAACTTCATCTTATTCATTCAATGTGTGTGTGATCTTGCTTTGTATGATAGACTTTTTCATTCTTTCTCTCTTTCTTTTAATATGTGTGTCGTTATATTATTCTCACTTCTGTATGAAACTTCTTCTTTTTCTTTTTGTCACATCATCATTATAATTTAGTGTATTTGGTGGTGGTGGTGGTGTTGTTGTTCATGTTTTGTTATAAGCCACAACAACAACAAACAACAAACAAACAACGACAACGACAACGACAACACATGCATTCATGAATAATGTTGTGTCTGTGTTTTTGGGTCTTGAAAAAAAAAAATTTTTTTTTCTGGTCCAAAAATGTTTCCTGTTTTGTGTGTGTGTAGATCTGTCTATATATGTGTGTTTGTTAGCCATGCAGAGGCCTAATATTGTTTTGATTGTATACATGAATATATATGCATAGTTCATTCAGTCAATTGAACCATTAAAACCAAACTTTAAATTGAAACCAGCTGCATTTTTGTTTGACATTAGGTTCATACTTTTTATGACCAAAAAAAAAGAAGAAAAAAAAATTGAAATTTATTCATTTTCTCTTGTATGCTGGTAGTTTGGTGGTGTTGGGTGGTTGAAAACAGAAACAGAAAAAAAATGATAATTTTCATCCAAAAAAAAAACAAGCACACACTGAAAAAAGTCAATGAATTTTGATTTTTTTGTGTGTTTGCTTTTTTTTATATTCTGTAAAACAAATCAATAAGCATTTTTTTCTTGGCAGAAGACAACTGATAAAAATCAATATTCAAAATCAACGAAAATCAAAAAAATTTTCTCTCCATCCACCATTCGCTCAATCAACCATCGTGGTCATTTCACTATTTCAGCAATTTTATAAACATTTCAACAACAACAACAACAACAAAAAATTGTCCATGGAAAATGTGTTTTTTTTCAGTGTTCATTTTTTTTCAAAAAAAAATTCTGAAATACAAACAAGTGAGAGACACATACATACACATGCACACACGAAAATCATGCAGTGAATGAGTGGATTAGAGAGAGAGAGAAAGAGTATCAAGTTGTTAAATGAATTGAATGTGAATGTAAATGTGTGATGAATAAACGAACATAAATTCAAGTTTTTCATCATTCAAACACCATTCATGATGTGATGTGATGATTGTTTTTTTTTTTGTTCGTTTTTCTTTGTCGTCATTTTAGTGATTTGAAGAAAAAAAAATTTTTTTTTGTTGTGAATTTTTCATCATCATCATCTTGATTTTCATTCAAAATCACCAGAGAAAATAAAAAACACAAATTTCACATCAATGAAAAAGAAATTCAATACTTTTTGTGTGTGTGTGTGTGTGATAAATAAAGGTATATATTGATTATTTTTTTTATTTAAACACACACGGGAAAGTTTTTTTTTTTTTGTTCTTTTAAAAATTTTACGGGAATTTTTTATTTTTTATTTTTTTTTTTTTTGTTTGTTTCTAAAACTTTTTTGTGACCTCGACGACGACTACGATGACGACCTGGCCACCAACAACACACATGGTTGACCCAAATCTGAAAACCGTTTATTTAGATAATACTAATTATATCTGATATGATCTGTATTTCTTTATTGACCACACACACACATACACACCGACCGATATCGATAATGATATGATCTGGGTACATTTGAATTATTTTGAAGTAAATTGACTTGCATAACACACACACACACACACACATACATTGGATCGGTGGTAGATTTTTTTTTGTTGTTGAAAATACACCACCATTTTTCTCTTTTTTCCCAGTCTTTCTCTTTGCTGTCTTCAAACAAACTCTGTCTGTTTGTCTGTCTCTGTGTCCACAACAACAACAACAACAACGAAACGAAAAAAAAATCCACACATCACACGTTTTTTTTTGTCAACGAAATGTGAATGAATGGAAAGAAAAAGAAAGAAATTTGACAATCACCAAATGTAGAAAAAAAATAGAGAGAGAGAAAGAGAAAGAAAACTATTCATTCAATTCACATCAGTGAAATTTATTCGGCCGTATCGCCTAAATCGTGTATATATGTTGTCGTTGTGTTCAGGGTTCGTTATTTTTTTTTTTTTCTTTCTCTCTTTCTCTTTCTCTTTATATACATGTTTTCCATCATCATCATCGTTGATGATTGTCTTTTGTTTTCATCATCATCATCATCATTATGAATTTTTTTTCTCGCTTTTTTTTTGCTGCTGCTGCTACAATGTGTTCATCATGATCAACGACAAACGACAATTGGATTTATGGTACAGACACATACCACATACACACAAAAAAAAGTATTTCGATGACAATTACCATTATTTGTTGTTGTTGTTGTTGTTGTTGTAGATGGGGGTTGGAAGATTTTTATTATTATTATTATTATTATGTGTGATCACCATTTTGTGTATATATGTGTTTGCTTGCTTGGTTCAGTGTATATCTGTTTTGTTTTTGTTTTTGCCTGTCACATCATCGATAAAGTTTTTTTTTTTTTCAATAAATTCTCTGTTTGTGCTCGGACCACAACAACAACGACAACGACAACAACAACAACAACGTTTACGTCATTTATATGAACACATCATTAGCATTTAATTAAATTCATTATCATTATATTTGTTTATTTTTCCAATTATTTCCACTTGTTCAATGTCCACTTTTATTATTTTGTTTTGTTTTGTTTTGTTTATAATCATCAACAACTTGATATTTGATGCTACCGTTTTTGTTCTTCATCTTTTTTTTTCCACCGGAAAAACTAACTCAACACCCAATCTCATTACATTATTGCAGAATTTCTCCCTTTGTCTATTTTTCCATTGTTTCAATCAAAATGGCAATGATGACGGTAATGATATTGAAATTTTTTTTCCAACATCCTCTGACATTTGATCTTGTTATTATTGTTGTGTCCTCATTTTTTTTCTCGTTCTTTTTGTTCATCACTTCCATACATACTCACACACACACACACACACACACAAAAACCAGAGGTCAATCATCATCATCATCATTATAAAATGGGCTCTATATGTAGATATAAAGGTCGAGTTTAATTTTCTTTGAATTAAATGAATAAAAAAAAATTCTTTTTTCGTGCTTGTCATGCTTATTATGATGATGATGATGATGATGATGATGACGGTGAGAAAAAAGGTGTCAGGATACATCTTGAATGATTGTTTGGGATGTGTGTTCTGCTTTTTTGTTGTTGTTGTTGTTGTTGAAAAACTTCTGTTTCTATTTTTATAGATTCTCATCATCAAATTTTAAAATAAAATGAATGGATTTTTATATAATAAAAACAACGATGATGGCAACGACAACGACGACGACGACGACGACGATGACGTCGGAAAAAGGCCAAAATTTTTTTTCTCATTTATAATCGTTGTTGTTGTTGTTGTTGATATTATCATGTGGGTTGACACACAAAATTGACACAATGAATTAATGGAATATGATGATGATGATGATGATGATTTTTCTTTTGTTCCATCACCACAATTGTATTGTTATGAAATTTGGATTTCATTCCATTTCTTTTCATTTTCTTTTTCCATATATAAAGTTTGAAACTTGTTTTTAATTTAATTGTACTTTTTGTTTTGTTTTTTTTTTGCCAGTTTCAGAGAAACAATTATTATGATTGAAATATACCATAATGATCATGATCATGATCATCATCATCATGATTATTGTTGTTGTTGATTGTTTTGATTCATATGACCATAATAGATCTGTTTATGAATTAAGCCTGACCACATTTTGCCCTTGACATTTGATTTTCATCATCACTTTTTTTTCATGATGATGATGATGAAAAAAAAACGAGATCCAATGTCCATCTCACTATGACTCTGACTCTCTCTAGTTCAAAAAAGCAAATCCTATTTTTGTGTGTGTGTGTGTGCAGTCCACGAAAAAATTTTTCACCTTGAAATTATAAAAGAAATTAAAACATTGGAATATTCTGTCGTTGTCGTTGAATCCATGGAATTTACCTGAAGAAAGGAAAGAATTTTGTGTGTGTGTGTGTGTGTGTGTGCGTCTCTTGCAACTTTAGAAATGTCAATTTCAAGAATTCAACGGAATTTTTTTTTTTCTTATTTCTTTTGTTAAAAAAAAAATTCGTTTCACGTTTGTTTTTTGTTTTGTTTTGTTTTGTTTGAATTCATTATCATTCATTTGAAATTCTATTGGGATAAAATGTAAATATTTATCGCCGCAAATACAAACAATAATGTAATGTAATGATGATAGGCTGGAAAAAAAATTCTGGCGAAATTCTTGTTGAATCTTGTTGAATGAGGAATGAAGAATTCTTTAAGAAATTTTGTTTTCTTTTTTTTCTTTCTTATGAAAATATTGTGTTAATATATTGTAGTAGGTGAAAATTTCTTGACGGGGAAAAAAACCATTCCAAACACGGTTATTATTATTATCAGTTGTGAAACATTCACTTTCATCATCATAGCTTTAATTTAATTAACTTTTTTTTTATTTTTATTTCATTTTGTTCGTTTGTCTCTAATGATAATGGATATGATATCCGACAAATTTGAATTCTCGTTTTTTTACGAATACAAAAATAAAATGAAGGCGCCATGGTAATATGTTCATGGTATCAAGAAGATTATCATTATCATTATTATTAATTTTTTCTTTTGGGCGTCATTTTTGTTTCTATTTTCGAATTTTATTCACTTGTTATAATGATAATGATAATGATGATGATGATGATGATGATGATGGTTATTATTATCATTATCGATCGAACGATAATAATAGATTGATCGATTCATTTAATTCATTCGTTATGGATCATTCAATACGATTGTTGACGATATTTTTTTTTTCATTTTATTTTCTTTTAATTTGAAAATAAAACCTTGCTTAACAAACATCACGATTACTTTGAATGATGAAATAAAATGCAAAAAAAACGAACAAAAAACAATTGACGCCCTTGTTCTGGAATTATTTTTTCGTTTTTCCACCATCACCAATGCCAAAACACCAGATAATCTTCTTCCCACGCGATCAAATCGATCAAATCAACAGCAGCAGCAGCAACAACAACATTGTATTTGTTTGCGTGTGTGTGTGTGGCTCGTATATTTATTGATATGATGATGGTTCAATCAGTTTTTTTTCCATATCTCATGATATTGGAATCAATTTTTTTTTTTTGATTTTCATTCGAATGAATTTCATGTCAGAATATTATGTTTTTTTTTCGGTCACTAGGATTTTTTTGATTTTTAGATTTTTTTTTTCATTGAAAATGAATCAATTCTCCAAGGAAAATATTAATAAATAAATCGTGAACATTTTTGTTTTCCTGATTTTTTTTTTTACTTTTTCAATTTTACCCGCTCACAGCACGCTATATTCATTTGAAATTCAATTATAATGGATTCGTGTGTGTGTGTTTTTGGTGTATGAATCGAATCGATTTCAAATTCAAATTCAATTTGATTCTGAATTGATGATGATGATCACCAGATCATCATCATCATCATCGATCGATCAATTGATTGAATCAATCCATCTTTTTCAGCAAGAAAAAAAATAAGTGAGAGAAAAAAAAACCCATTATCAATCGATAGTGATCATTGGAATCATTCATGATGATATATCTGTTTAGCTTGTTTATGTATCTGGTGAATATATTTTTATATATCATCCATGAATGAATGAATAATTTTTCGATGACAAGCAGTCATGCAGGCACCAAACATTATAAAAACTAATGATGATGATGATGATAATGATGCTTCTGGTTTTTGATGATGATGATCAAAACGATGCTTTTGAATGATATTTGTTGTTGTTGTTGAATAGAATGAACATTTCTTTCCATTGTTGTTGTTGTTGTTGTTGTTCAATTTGAATTGATCAATTTGTTTCGATTCAATTTTTTTTTCTTCTTTCAATATGGCTAATGAATGGTGATAATCAATTTTACATGTAGATACATGCTGAAATTTTTTGAATTTTTATTCACGACAAAATTATTGTTTTTAGTTTTGAAAGATGAAAAATTGATTCATCGAACCAAATGAATGTTGTTGTTGTTGTTTGGGTGTGATCATTATGCAATTGATCAAAAATTCGATATGGTCAACCTAGATTTTTTTTTTTTTTTTTTTTGATTTCATCATCAGCCGATGTGCTCTAGTTTTTTTTTTTTTTTCCGAATCAAATTACAAACATTTGGTGTTTGGTTTTTGGATTTTCATTCATTAATATATTGAATAAATATAGATACAGAGAAAAAATCGATGATGATTATGATGATAAATAACACCCCAAAGTGTTGCTTATTATCGATTTGATTGATTTTTTTTTGTCACACAATTTTTATCCTAATTATCAATTATCGATTATTATTATTATATGAGGAAAAAGTGTTAATCGCTATCGACTATTGGTTGATTATTGTTTGGTTTTGATTTTTTTTTCTTTCAAATTTTTGAAATTTTAAAAAATTTTAATCAATTAATGGTCTGTTTGTTTGTTTTTTTCCAGTTCATTTTTATTGTTTGAACAGAAAAAAAATTCAAAATCAATACTTTCATTTTGATACATATATAATCATTATTATAATCAAGTCAATGACAGTAAAGAAATTATTTTTCTTGAAGGATATCGAACAAACAAACAGTAGAAAAGAACAATCATCATTCTTTTAATCAATCAATCAATCAATCAAACGCACGCCTATATAATGATCATGATGATGATGATGATAATTGCCCATCAATGATTTTCAATCACAATGTTTTTTTTTCTTTTGCTCTTTTTTTTTGCTTGTTTCCTTTTTTTTGCAATGGACCTTGACATTCAATTTTCTGTTTGAAAACCAAAAAACAAAACAAAACAAAAAAAATCATCTGGAAAGAAAAAATTTTTTTTTCGGAAGTTTTTCTGTAAAACAACAACAACAACAACAAAAAAAATTTTGCCTAGAAAATTTCCAAGCAATAAAAAGAAAATTTTATCCAGATAGATTGGTCGGTTGGTCTGTTGGTCGGCTGGTTGGTCGGTTGGTTGGTTGGTTGCTGGATTTGTTGACGTTGGGAACCATGACAACAAAAAACAACTACCAACTACCAACAACCAAAAAAAAAAAAATAAAAATAAAATAAAATAAAAGTCAAATCGAATTTTGGTGCCTCAGTTTTTTTTTATTTTACTTTCATGCATTGCTGTCATCATTCTCAATCATCATCATCATCATCGTCATAATACACGAGCACAAAACCAACACACACACACCTCAACAGAGACAATGTCACCATTCATATAAATAGGCCTTATGATTGGATTTTTTCTCTCTCTCTCTCTCTCTCTCTCGGTGTGTGTGTGTCGGTTATATTTTTTATATAATCATTTGCACTTTTCATCATCATTGTCAGAATAATTTCCCGCCATCACTTTACTTTTTCAATGACTTTTTTTTGTGATTGTGTGTTGCATTGTTTTTTTTCCCACTTGGCTTTTGGATTAATTTTGTTTTTCCTATCTGCTCACATTTATTTTTATTTTTTGGTTATTTTATAATTGATCATCAATGATGATTATCATCATTTGAAAACACACATAAAAACAGAGAGATAGATGGATGAAAATTGGAAATTTTGTCACATTTGAATCTGTTCATTTGTTTGTTTATTTCCGTTTGTGTTTTTTTTTCTACCTCTACCTCTACTTTTACTGTTTGCCTTGATCATCAAAAACAACAAACGCCCCCTCAAAACATTAAAAAAACAATCGGACAATCGATTTTGATGCACAAAAAAGCCAAATAATCATGATAATACAAGATGAATGAATATAGATTGAAAATGACATGAAACGCCCCCAATTTTTTCAATTTCATCATTTTTTCCTTTGTCTGTCTGTGTGTGTGTAGGAGTTTTCACTATTTTCAATGACTTTTTGTTATAATTTCAACTTGATCAAATTTATATATTCATTTGTGATTCAATTTTTTTTTTCGTTCGTTCATGTCTTTCCAATCATCATTTTAATAATCGATTATTGTCGTTGTTGTTGTTGTTGTTGTTGTTTGACTCATTTATCTTTTTTTTTTGTTTTGTTTGCACACTAAATTTTTTCGTTTCGTTTCGTTTCTGTTTTACAGATGTCACATACACACACACATTTAATTTAATGTAATAATAATCATCGTTCAATCAGTGGATAGTAAAAAAAAATCGACCAGGTCAACTCATCACGATCAAATTGATTGTTTGAAATGACAAAATTTTTTTTTTTTTTGTCTGAACTGAACCGAACAACGACGGTTTTTTTTTGAAAAAAAAATTTCATCATCATCATCATCATAATCAACAACAACATAAAATCTCGTCAATCATTTTCATTTTTTTTTCTTATTGTTTTTCTATCGCTTGATAATGATGACCAGGTGAACTGTATCATCATTGTTGTGTGTTTGTTTCAAAATTTTTTTTTTTTTTTTTAATATTGGTTTGCGTGTTTGACCTCAATCAATTCATTTCATTTTATTTGTTTGTTTGTTTGTTTCATAAATTGATGTAGCCAGATCTCAATAGTAATAATAATAATTGTTGTTGTTGTTGTTGTTGTTTGAATGGTCAATTGTTTTTCAATCACAATCTCATTTCATTTTATATCCGGTGAAGAGAGAGAGAGAGAGAAATGCCAAATTCAAATCAAAATCATATCATCCTATGAAAAATTGAAAAATGATGATGATCATCATCATCATTCTTTGATTTTTAAGCAACAAAAACAATTGAAATTTTTTTTTCTCTCAACAATTAATGACAACTTTTTGTTTTGTTTTAATTCCACAGTGAAATAAAAATATCATCATTGATCAATATGGAACAATCACAGTCTCAGCAGCAGCCACAGCAGCAATCATCATCGGATATTTCAGATTTAAATTCCGGTGATGATTCAACATTAACAACAACTATGGATAATAATAACCGTTGTTATGGTGATATAAATATCCACCATAACGATAACAACGGCGATGTTGTAGATGATGATGATGATGATGATGATGATAATCTAGATGATGCTGAAACAACAACAACAACATCGACAACAGATCAAGATGAACAATTAATGCAGATTATGATACAGCAACCAAATCAACAATCATTAATTAATGATTCACCAACAAATACGACGACGGCGACGACGACGATGGCTGCTATTTTTTCAACATCATCAACAATGATAACAACTAATTCAACCGCAACAACAACAACAACAACAACAACAGCGAACGATTCTATAAATCTACAACAACAACAGCAACAATTTATGATGAATAATAAAACATCACAACAAATGAAACACCCACAACAATTAAATAATTCAAGATGGCCATTACAAAAACAACGTTCATATACAATAACATCAACACAATCGGATCAATCAAGTAGCACAACAACAATCATACAACGGTTATTGGATAAAATTGAAAATCTTGAATCTGATTGTATGTTTTTTTCATTGATTGATTGATTGATTAAAAAACCATTAATAAATTGTTTCATTTTTTTTTCTCATTTGATTTTCCAAAGTAAACCATATCAAACAGGAACGTGATATACTTTATTCTGAAAATGAACGTCTTTGTTTTCAATTACAAATGATAAATGAAGCAGACAAACATCAACAAAGGTGAGTGTAAATGAATATCAGTGGTGTAAATTGTTTTCATTTTTTTTTTCAAAATCAAAATCCACTATCGATAGTTTGTGTTTGTGTGGTGAGTGGTGTGTGTGTGTGCGATCATTTGAAACTTTTCAACATTCAAAAATATTGATTCTTGATGAGAAATTATCATCATGAAACATAACAACCAGAATGGGAATATATATGAAATTTATTCTTGCAAATAATTCACAAAGAAAAAAATCGAATTTTTTGTTCTTGTTTTTACATTGTTTATCACGCAAACTAATAACTACTTTATTTCACATTTTTTTTTAAATGACAAACAGAATTAATTTTTAAAAGATGAAAAATGAAAAAAAAATCAGATAATAATAATAAAAACACTCTCAAACATTATGAATTTTTCCTTGTTTTATGTGTGTGTGTGTGTGTGTGTGTGTGTGTGTGTTTGTGTACTCTGAAAAAAATAACGATAATGATAATGATAATGGCTCAGTGGAAATATATATGTAAATATTGATTCTCCCATATACATTTCTCATTAACAAATATCATCTGCAATGAGAAAACAACAACAACAACAACAAAAGGCCAATAACCAGAATGGATCGATGATTGATGAGTTTTACACATTTATATGACGGATTTCTTATTGTTGTTGTTGTTGTTGTTTTAATTTGAATGAAAGATTGTATGCGAAAACAAAAATCAAATCAATCAATTTAATTAAGACAATCAATGTGATTTTTTTTTCTTTTTGATTAAAATTATTTTTATTTTCACTAAATCAAAATAAAATAGGTCAAGTGCAAGAAAACAGCAACAGCAACAGCAGCAGCAGCAGCTACAAAGACAACAATCAATTTCCGGTTACGATAATAATAATTTGATTAATCAATCAATATCGATTAATGGTTATAGTGGTGGTGATGTTTTTCATCAAAAACCACATCCAATAACAACAACAGCAGCAGCAGCAGCGGCGGCGGCTAATATTGATTTTGATACCGGTAATCATCATAAAAATATTGATGATGTTATTCAATCATCCATAACAAAAACAAAAACAACAACAACAACAACAGCAACAGCAACAACAACGAATGGTGAATGTCAATGTATAAATTCATATGGTCAACAAATACCATATAGTCGTATGCCAGTTGTTTCCTGTACGGATCAATCTATTTGGTTAGTAATATTTATTGATTTCATTCATTCATTCATTCATTTTTTATCCAAAATTTTACATTTATCATACACCAATATAGTAATCTAACAAGTCAGATATCAAATACTCAACTAGTCAACATTAATAATGATCAAACGGCGACAAACATCAATTCATCATTATCATCAATACCGAATAATGATCATGATCATCATCATCATCATCATTATAATTCAACAAATTGTTGCCAAATAATAAATGGAAATAAACAGCTTCAGCAACAGCAACAATATTTCCATCAACAGCCAATGATTTATAATAATAATAATAATAATCTACTATTAGAAAGATTACAAATGAATCGAAATTCAGCAATAAATTTACAATTATCACCAACAAAAACAATAGCAACAGCACCAATGACACCAATTCCGTCATCACCATCAACAACAACAACAACAAATTTAATACGTACACAACGTATAACCGGCGGTAGTCAAACATCATTATCATCAAATTCAAATAATAATCATAATGAGAATATTAATAATAATAATAATAAATCATCATCATCATCATCATCAATAGTAGCAGCAGCATCAGCATCAGCATTATCAACATATGAAATATCACAACAGTTATTAGATAAAAAAGTATCAGCATTAGAACGTAAATATGGTGGTCAACGAGCACGTGAAGCGGCAATTAAAATTCAACGTTCATATCGTTCATATAGATTACAGAAACGTTTCACATCATTAGCAATACAAGCTATACATTTTCAACAACAACAAAAGCAGCAAAAACAGCAGCAACAGCAGCAACAACAACAACATCCGGAAAATTTAATTATCAACAACAATTTAATTGATAATGAAAATGGATTATATCATTATCCTCATCATCATTATTATAATAATCATACACAACAAGATTCATATAATAATCAGATGATAAAATCGATACGATCATCATCGATAACATTATTGCAGAGACAATCAGATGGTAATTATCCACAACATCCATTATCATTGCCAACACTACCGCCACCATCATCATCATCATCAGCACCAACACCACCACCACCACCACCTCCATCATCATCATCATCTGCATCATCAAGTATTTATGGTATCAATAATCATAATAAACAGATGCCACCATCGATTATTTATAGTCCATCATCAATTGATCAAAATAATGGTGTTATTATTATTGATAATAATAACAACGATGATGTTGATAATGATGAAACAGTTAAACAACAACAACAACAACAACAATCAATGATATTACTGGATAGTCGATTGAAAAAGAAGAAACAATCTTCATCATCATTTTCATCAATATCATCGAATGGTTCATCATCATCATCATCAACAGCAACATCAATATCGGCTTTATCATCATCGGTATCAAGTTCAATGAAATTACAATCACAATCACAATCTATATTATTATCGCAACAGCAACAGCTACCAAAACATCAATCACAATCAAAAATATCTATAACAATGGGTCAAAATGATGAACAAAATCACCACAACCACCTTCATCACAAACACAACAATAACCATCACCACCACCATCATCATCATCATAATCATCATCATCTTCAGCACCAGCAGCCACAACAACAATTTTTTTCAAATTCAAATCAAAGACATTATCCATCTCATGGCCAATTTCAGCAACAACAACAACAACAACAATCGATTGGGATGCAAAACAATGCCGGTAAAATACGAAACAATGATAATAATAGTGCTATTATATCAACAACAACAACAACAAAACAACAACAACAATATTCACAATTATCGATTGATCTAAATAATCGTGGCCAATACAATAATAATATACAACAATTATCATCAACAATTTTACCGCAACAACAACAACAACGACAATTATTATCATCATCAAATATGAATACAAACATGGTGGCAAATACAAATGTACAACAACAATATTCTAATCAGAATCAACAGAATCATAAATCACAAGGTGGCCAGGTTTTATTCTCAAATAATATACAATATATGAATAATAATAATAATAATAATTCATCAATATCATCATCGGCAACATCTGAATCATTATTACAACATCATTATCATCATGGTCATCATAATAATAACGCTGCTACAACAGCCGGTGGTGGTGGTGGTACAAATGCAGATATTTATCGTAAACGATTATATCGTGTTGGTCTGAATCTATTCAATAAACAACCATCTGAACGTGGTATACGTTTTTTAATTGCAAATAATTTTATTGAACAATCTGTTACTATTGAAGAACAAGCACGTGCTGTTGCAATTTTTTTAATCACAAGAAAAGGTGTTTCCCGACAAATGATTGGCGAATATCTTGCCGATAATAATCCATTTAATAAGGCTGTATTGAAATCATTTGTTGCGGAAATTAATTTAACCGGATTAATTGTCGATGAAGCATTACGGTCGTTTCAAATGAATTTTCGTTTTCCAGGTATTTGATTGTTTTTGTTTTGTTTTGTAATTACTAATTGACATTAATCATTCATTTTATAGGTGAAGCACAAAAAATTGAACGTCTAGTCGAATCATTTGCCGACCGTTATAAAGAATGTAATCCAAATGATGTATTATCAAGAGATTCAATATTTATACTTGCATTTGCAATTATAATGTTGAATACTGATTTACATAAACCGACAAATATTAAACATCGTATGACACAGGAACAATGGCTTTCCAATTTGAAAGGTGTTTTCAGTGAAGGTGATCTTTCATCACAATTTTTATTGGGTGTTTATAAACGTATTAAAAAACAAGAATTACAAACCGGACCAGATCATGTTACACAGGTTCTTAAAGTACAATCAAGTAAGGAATCGATTGATTGATTGATATTATGTGAATAATTGTTTGATTCTCTCTCTTATTTTTTTTCGTGAATTTTCAGCAATTGTTGGTAAAGATGTACCAAATCTATGTCTATCACATCGGCGTTTAGTTTGTTATTGTCGTTTATATGAAATTCGTGATGTAAATCGTAAAGAAAAAGTTGGCCAACATCAACGTGATGTATTTCTATTCAATGATCTACTGTTGATAACGAAAACAACAAATCGTTCACGTAATAATCAAATGGCTGAATATCAATATCGTTCAAGTACATCGTTGGATGGTTTACAAGTCAATATATTTGCTAAAGGTTTCTATGCACATGGTATTCGTATTAGTCGTCGTGTTGATCAAAAATGTTTAGCATTATTCAATGCACGTAATGAATTGGATCAAAAACGTTTTGTTGAAGATTTACGTGAATCAATAGCTGAAATGGATGAAATGGAACAGATTCGTATTACAAAATCAAGTTCATTAGTACAATTGAATGATTTCATGTTAACAACAACAACAAATAATAATAATGCAATAATGGCGTCATCCAGTGGTCATGGTACATATCATAATAATAATCGTCAACAATCAATATCATCATCAAATTTACAATCAAGTAATGGAGATATTGATGGTAATCTAGCAACAAGTGATAGTACAATCAATGATGTGGATATTGATGATGAACAGAATAAACAACAACAACAACAACAACCACAATCACCAAATGGATCGGGACCAAATCCATCAACAACAGCGCCGACAACAACAACATCTAATGGTCATCTAGTACAGCATCAGCAACAACATTATTATCACCAATAATTTGAATTCTTGGATTGATTTTTTCTTTCTTTTCTGCTACAGGTTGTTTTAGTCACACACTTGTTGTTTTTTTTACAATACAATTGAAATTTTGATCTCACTTTAAGATACTTGAATTTTTTTAAAATAATTTTCACTCTTCCAAGAATCAAATTGTTGATTGATTTGTGTGTGTGTGTGTGTGTTTGTTTGAAAAATTGTATCATGATGGATTGGATTCTTTTACTCTCAACACATTCTTGTACAGAACAAATTTTTGTCTGTGATCTCTTAATATTTTTTTTTCACTTTCTATCCATTTTCATTTGATCAATATGAATGAAACAATCACCAAATTACATCCAGATCCATTACACACTCACTAAAATGGCTGACTATATCTATTCATCATTTGTTTGTTTGTTTGTTTGTTTTATGATAGATTTTGAAAACAGCAAAAAAAAAATTTTAGTTTTTTTTTCTAAAAATATTTTTCCACCAATACCAATGAACAATATAGTGAATTTGAATTTTATCACCATGTAAACATGAGTAAAACAAAAAAAAAATCTGAATAAAATTATCAAAAATTGAAATAGTTTTTTGTTTTCTGTCAACAGATGGCAGCGCGAAACCCCCAAAAAAAAAACAAGAATATCGATAATAATCAATTCAATTTATAATATTTATTGTAAAATAATAATTCATTTGAAAGAGAGAGAGAGAGAGAGAAAGAGAGAGAGAGAGAGAGACATCAATTTTTTTTCATAATTGAATCAAAAATAATGACATGACATATAATGTAGCTATATATATGGATAGATAAAGAGAGATACAGAGAAATAATAAGAAAATCAAATCAAATTATCGAAGAATTATTGAAAAAATTTAGATAAATCAACCAGTGTGACATTTTTTCTTTTTTCTTTTTTTTTTTTTGCTCATTACACAACAAATTGTATACAATCTTTGCCATTAAACATGAATGAATTCGGAATTGGGAAATAAACACGGAGAATTTGATTCTTTGTTTTGTGAGTGAATATAAGTTGAGTAAGTAAGTAAGTGAGTGAGTTGAGTGAGATAGAAAACAAACAAACAAAAATGAATAAAAATCACACAATAATATATCAATCAATCAGGTGTGTGTGTGTGTGTGTGTGGGTGTGTGTGCATGCGTGTTTGTGAGGTATCAATCAATCGATATTGTTTGTTTGTTTTTTTAATTGCGACATTCAACCGGTTGTGGTACGGAAATTGATTGTTTTGTTTTAGCAGTAGTAGCAGTAGTTGTTTTTGATGATTTTTTATTACTATTACCACTACTACCATTAGTGTTTGAAATATTATTATTATCATTATTAATTTTGATTGATCTTTGATTATTATTTCGATGATGATTACGATGTCCATTTATTATTGTTTTTGAACATTTATTAATCTGATGATCATGATCATCATGATCATCATTATTGATAATCGGTAATTCAATTTCAACATTTTCATTTTCATCATCGTTATCATTGATATTTTCTTCTTCTTCTTCTTTAATATTATTTTCATCATCATCATCATCATTAATTTCATTGGCAATATCTTCCTCATCAACATCCGATATTGATTCATCAATACAATATGCTTGATGATGATGATGATGATGGTGATGATGATGATGATGATGATTATCAAATCGTGTATTATTTTGATGATGATGAGAATGATGATGATCAAGATTATTATTTGATTCTGGTGGTTCATCAGCAATTTTTGGTGACAATTGTTTTGGATGTGATGATGAATGTTTTTGTTGCTGTTTTGTTGTTGTTGTTGTTGTTTTGCAATTGATGATGCTAATGATGATGATGATGATGATGATGAACGTGATGTTCCTGTTGACATTATCGATGATGGTGATGTTGGTGCTGGTGATGATGATGATAATGATTCTGTAGCTAAAGCTGTTTTTGAGGATTTTTGATCTTGACAATTATTATTAGTTGCTGTAATACTAATACTACTACTACTACTACTACTACAATTTGTATTATTATCAATTTCCGTTTCCGATGATGATGAATAAGATTCAGATAATGATGGTGATATTGATATTGATGATGATAATGATGATGTTGTTGTCGTTGTTGATTGTTTATGCGAGTTATCATTTGAAGAAGAAGAAAAATGTAATTCACCGTGTTCTTGGATATTGGTAAAAATTTTCTTGCATATACAACAACATTGTTTTTGTCCATCACCATCATCATCATCATCATCATCATCATTATCGTTGGATGAATGTGATTTTTGGTGTTTTATAAATTCATTCGCTGTTAATAGAATCAAATTGCATTCAATACATTGTTGTTGCTGCAGCGATGATGATATTGTAATGGCAGAATGATGATGATGATGTTGATGATCAATCAATTGATCACGTAATATTCGTTGATCACATATATTGCACTGGATAAATGTCGATTCTTTACAATCATCCAAATTATCGGCGTTTGCTGTTGTTGTTTCTAGTTTTAAATTTGAAATTTTTAATAAAGATTTTTGTAGCTGCTGCTGATGCTGTGATGGTGGTGGTGGTGGTAGTGACGATGATGGTTGATGGTCTTTTTTGATTAAATTATCGATACCAAAATTGGATAAACGTTTTTGGCCATTAGATTTTGCCGTTGACACTATTGTTGTTGGTTTCATTTTCAATTTTAATTTTGGCTGCGAATCGATAAAATGTTCATTATTGCCGGAACAAATCGATGTCGATAATGATGATGGTGGTGTTGTCGATTGAATCTTTATAATCGATTGTGATTGTTCATCATTTATTACGGAAACGTTTGCATTTGTATTGTGAAATTGTTGCGTAGCTGCTTCTGCTACTGATGCTGTATTCGGTGTTGTCGATTTAGATATTGATGCTGATGCTGATGATGATGATGATGATGATGATGATGATGACGACGATGACGATGAAGGTGTTAATGGCTGTTGTATATTATTATTATTATTAGTACTACCATTTTGTTGTACAAATAATTCATCCAATTTTTTCATCAAATTCATTGTATTATTATGTTTTTGTTTAACATGTTGATAGAAATCATTTTCAATATCAAAATGTTTATCACATAGTATACAGAATAATTGTAAATCTTCTGAATAATGTGAAAATGTTTCAAAATGTTTCTGTATCAATTGTTTTGTATCGAACAATTGTTGACATAATTGACATTGATAAACACGTGCACAATGTTTATCCATTAGATGTTCATCAAGTTGTTTTCGTTGTTCAAAATGAATATTTTTACATTGATCACAGGTAAATTTTATTTGTTTTTTACACACATGTGTTATAATGTGATCATGAAATTTTTCTAAATTATCAAATGTTACCGTTGCTGATTGTGTTTGTTGTTGTTGTTGTTGTTCTGCGCAATATGGACAATGAAATTTTTCCATAACGATCATTGATGCAGCAGCTGCAGCGGCGGCGGCGGCCGCCGCTGCTGTTGCACGTTCATTAGCTAAATTATCCAACATTGCTTGACATATTGAATTTGTCTGTTGATTTGTATGATATGGTGTCGTATGATTTGCCATTGCGGCAAATGTTGATGATGATGATGATGATGGTGATGATGATGACCATGATGATGGAAATGTTGTTGTTGTTGATGCTGAATTAGGATTCTGTTGCTGTTGTTGATATGTTTTTAATAAATGTTGATATGATTGTGTAGCTGCTGCTGCCGCTGCTGCTGCATGACCATTTGTATATGCTGCCGCTAGATGATCATATAATGAATAGAATGGAAATTTTGAAAGAAAATTATTATATTGATGTGGTGTATTCAATGTTGACGAAGGAAATAAGCCAGATTGTTGTTGTTGTTGTTGTTGTTGATGTTGTTGTTGAGCAAAATTTGCCATACGTAATGATTGCCATAAGAATGGATTATATGATGAATCAATTTCGGTACGACCATTTTCTTGCTGCGATGGTGGTTGTGGTAATAATAAACCTGATGATGTTTCTTTTTGTGAAACAATAAATTCATTACCACTATTAGGGCCACCAAATAATGATGATGATGCATTATCATTGGACAAATGATGTTGATGAGAATTTAGATCATTTATCAATAAATTGGAATTTTTCAATGGTGATGATGTTTGATGATTATGATGTGGATGATGATGAGGTATACCATCATTAGGTGATAACGATGATGATGATGTCCATGATCCATGAAGATTATTTTTTAATTTTTTATTATTTGATAATAATAAATCTTTGTTAATAAATTGTTGTTGCCGATGTATTTCATCAATCAATGGACGTTTCAATGGTGATTGTTGTTGTTGTTGTTGTTGTTGATTTGATGGATATCGATTTTGATTTGAATCAATTGATGATAATGAAGATGACGATGATGATGATGAATCAATTGATCCATTTCCAGCAATACCATTTATATGATGATGACCATTTGAAATGATAGCCGCAGTAGCAGCAGCAGCAGCAGCATTTGATGATGATGTCTGTGTACCATTAATTGTTTTTAATGGCATCATATTATATGAACGTATCGATTTATTTGATTGATGATGATTATTTTGTGATGATAAATGGCTACCATGATGTTCCATCGCTGATGCTGCTGCTGCCGCTGATGATGATGATGATACATTGCGTTTATGATTCTGCATATGACTAGATAATGCTAATGTGATAAGATATAATGAATAATAATAAATAGATTATATAAATTGATTCAATTTAACAAGAAAAAAATATATTTTCCGTGAAAAAAAATAAAACATACCGGCTGCTGTATTATAACCACGATTACAGAATGAACATTGAAACGGTTTCATATGATCATGTGTTTTCATATGAATCTTCAGATGATCACTGCGTGAAAATGCCGATTCACATTGGCTACATTGGAATCGTTTATCGCCCGTATGTAATTTAACATGACGATCACGGCTACGTTTATGTTTAAAAAAACGATGACAATATTCACATTGAAATGGTGTTTCTTCCATCTTTTTTCGTTTGTTTGTTTGTTAAATTTGGCCACATGAAGAAGATTGAAAATCAAGCAAAAAAATAGATAAATAAATTGATTGTAAGCAAATTCAACATAATCAAATCAATCAATCATTCATACATTAAATAAAAAAAAAGAGAAAAGAATATCTGCTGGTACCTGTAGAATTTTGTTTTTTGTTTGTTTGTTTCTAAATATTCATACGACGATGATCAAATTCCGTACACACACATAGACATCATTAATTCTGGATTTTCATGAATGATTTGAATCATCAAGTTTTAACTATTAACAATCAATTGGTGGCTGAAAACAAAACACAAATGCATTCATTGAATGGCCAAATGGTGAATGAATGAATGAATGAAACAAAAGTGTCTCACCACTGAATACTAAAAAATCCAATTTGAATTGAAACGACGACAACGACAACGACAATAACAACAACAACAACAACAACAAGTAAACAATAGGAACAAAAACTGCATGAACGAAGTAGAATTTTCTTCTTATTTCTAGATTAGATTAAAACCAAAATGAATGGAAAAAAAATATTTGAATCAAAAATCATATTAAATGATCGACAAAATTCATCATCATCATCATCATCATCATTATCGTTAATATGAAAAAAAACTTTGAAATAGATATGATATGATCGATTGATTTAACAACAACAACAACAAACGACAACAACAAAAGTGAGATAAAGAAAGAAAGAAAATTTTTTTTTTTTTTTTTTTTGATTATCATTAAAGATTGTAAAGGAGGTTCAGCCTTTTTTCTCGATTTCTCTTTGTTTGTTTTTTTTCAACAATAACGAAAAAAAAAATTTGATCCAGAATTTATTTCCACACAGAATCTCAAAACCAGTATGGATCAAAAAAAAAAAAACGAACGAACAAACGAAAAAATCATTTGATTTTGATATTTAATTAATGATATTTCAGTTGTTTTAAGATTTTATAGCCAGATTTCTATATTTTTTTTTTCTTTCTTTCTGCAACAAGATATCGATAAAATGGTCAGTTTTTGCTTTTGTATTGGCCACCATAAAATGTTTGTCATTTAATTTTTTTTTTTTCAGAGTTCTTACCGGGCCACCTCACTCAAATGTGTCAATATTTGCCAGACAAAGAATTATAGATTGTGTGAAAGAGAGAGAAATCAAGCTATCATTTTAGACCATTTGAATACAAATCAATCCAGGTATTTATTCAGCATTCATGAATCATTCAGAATTGAATTGACGATAATCACAATTTCAAAAAAAAATGATAATCGATAATTGAAATGTATCAATGATAAAAGTATGATCAACTGAAAAATTATAGATTATGAGAATATGAGAATAAGATCTAGTGGCCGAATCAGTGGTATTATCAATTCCTCAACCCTCGACATAGCTGCTTGCAAAAGTCAAGTGAGGAAATTCTTCCAGGTCTTTCAAGTAACAGGATTCAGTCAATCTGTGACTGGATTCTACTCTATTGCTTGAGAATAATAATACTGATTGGACAGACGTTTTCCTTTATTTCTTTTGTGAGCTGTTGTCATATATCAACGTTAACTATCAAATATTTCAAGCACATTAATCGTTCAAACGCCTTGGCGTCCCAGACCAGAGGTTTGGTCTTTGTAACGATGTTTTAATTATCGAGTCAAACAATATTATTTATAATATTTTGGACGCCATAAAACTTCTCTTGGTAAGTTTTATTTGTAAATAAATTTTTCATTTTATTTTTAATTAATTAATTAAAATGGCCACTACTAGATCCATGACTCGGGATCTAATTAAAACTGCCAAGACGAAGGTTGATTATGTACACACCACCTTGTTGAAAGTAGAGGAGGTGGTCACTGGAGAGCTGAACAGCGACCGCTTGCAACAGTTGTATATCCAATTGAAAGAGTTGCGTACCATGTTAGTCGACACCATGGCACAGATTGAGAGATGGGAGAAAGTGGGTATGTCAGGTCTCCCTAATCGGGATCTGGCTACAATCTGTCTGCATAAGATAGCAGATCTACTTTCTGAAATAGAATCTAGAGCTGCTATCAGAGCTTCCTCTGCGCCAATAAGGTCTGATGATGACGGTCAACGGATCACTTCTATCTTTGGGACTGGTTCAGTATCACCAAGACACTTTAGAAGAGATCCGGGAATATCAGGTCCGGTTACAACAGTTCAGGCACCATCAGTAGAAACTGCTAATTCAGAACTATTCGCCATACCAAAAACGAAATGCCGGTACGTTGGGATGATGCCGGTTTAGCGTTGTGCTCAACTGGACTATCTGGTTCTGCACAGTATACAGCTCCCAGTTTTATTGATTATATGACACCAAAGGTGAATACAAAACAGCTTGACTTAAATGTGAATATAGAGTGAATGATATTACCATAACAGGGGACAACGACGACGACAAAAAAAATCGCCATAATTGCAGCATATTTTTTTCATCTCTTTTTTTTGGCCAATACTCCAAACACAAACACAGACGCAGAAGAAAATTAGATTAGATTTCCATGTGTATCAATAAATAAATAAGAAATGAAAAAGAAAACAGATTGATTAACAGAAAAATATAACAGGTAAAAACACTTAATTCATCATCAAAAGTAATAACTGTCAACATGAGAAAAAAATATATATATACATGTATAATTCATTAATTCAATGAATTAAGTAATCATCAATATCGATCGACAAAAATAAACAGCAAGAATCAAGAATATCTTTTCTTTTTTTTTACTCTGAATATTCTATAGATAATCGGTGTTGTGCATGAAGCATTTTATCGTATTTCAGTTACTTACATTGATTAACCCCATCGATGTTGTTGTTGTCGACGGTGGTGGTGGTGGTGATGATGAATTTGTATTATTTACGGTTGTAGTTGTCGATGATGATGATGAAGCCGCTGCTGCTGCTGCGGCTGCTATTGCAGCAGCTACTGCTGAAGATGCAGCAAGATGATGATTTTGATGATGATGATGATGATGATTTGGGTTCATTTGTGTATTATTTGTTTTTTTTTGGTTCAAGAGAAAATGAATTTTTAAATCATAATTTCACCAAAAAAAAAATTCATCGAAAATTTCAAGAATAGAAAAAAACGATCGATCGCAATTAATTGATTGATTTTCTATTGATGAGAAAAAAAAATTTAATAAAGTCAACAAAACCAAACAAAACAAAACAAAAAAAGAAAAGTAAAAGAGAAAAAAATTCAAATGAAATCAATCTCTATATATATCGATCAGTTCAGGTCGATGTCCAAACACTGAATAAAGTTGTAATGATTTTGGTGGTGTTTTTGTACACCCAAAACACAAACTTAAAGTGAATGATGATGATGATGAAAAAAAAAAACTTGACTACCAAGCAAAGCGAGAAAAAATCGACACCACCACCACCACCACCACCACAACACCACCACCACGAACATTAATATGTTTGAGGGTCAGCAGCAGTGATAAACAAAACAGAAAAAAAAAATTTTTTTTTTTACTATACGAAATCACCAAAAGCAAAACAAAATAATAAAAATCAAAAAAAGGGCCTCACACACACACACACACACACACAAGTAGTAGGTTTTTTTTCTGCTTCTATTAACGATGAAATTGACCAGAAAAAAAAATTTCATTCAAACACACTCGTTAAGAGAAAGAGAGAGAGAGTGAACAAAGTTTAATGATTGAAATTCGTTTTAATCGTTGGTGGTGGTGGTGGCGGTGGTGGTGGTGCTTGTTACTAGTTGCTGTTTTAGACCTTTGGTCTTGCGGTCAATTTAGCCAATAGAATAGTATAGAGAGCGAGAGAGAGAGAGAGATTAATTTATTTTCAAAATTGAGATTGAGCTTCATGTGTGTGATCTGTATAAACACGTTGACATTTGCCCTTTTCGTGAATGGACATATAATAATAACACACACGATGATGATGATGATGAGATAATTTGCTTTAAAAAAAACACTCACCGGATGATTTAGTTTTTTTTCTTCTGGTTTTTTTCTGGTTGCTTGGCAAAAAAAAGGCTACTGTTATTAATACTGTTGGTTTTGGTTTTGTTTTGTTTTTTTTTTTTTTTGGTTCAAATCAAATGAAAAAGAAATTAGATACACCAAGACTTGGACAGTTGAATTTTTTTTTTTTTTTTTTTTTTTTTTTGGTCATACAAAATGATGATGGTAATGATGTTGTCGCTGTTGTTGGTGATAAATATGTTTATAAAGTAAAGAACGATAATTGATCGATGACTGTGTTTGTGTCAACTTGAAAAAACAAACACACACACACACAAACACACGTGTCTGTCACATGTGACAAAATTTTCAATTATTTAAAATTCTATACTTGACACGTGCTTTTTTTCTGCACTGCAACAAAAAAAAACCTGTTGATTATAATGAATTTTTGCAAAAAAAAATTATTCTTCTGAAAATGAGAAAACAAAAACATCAAAGAATTTTTTATGTGAATCCATTATAGGTTAAACTAAAAAAAAAATTTCCGAAAACATCCAATAACAAACATGCTCACACACACACACACTGATGACTGGTGATGATGACTGATGATTGACTGATGATCAAAACAACCGTATAGTTTTAATGTTTAAACAAAAATGGCGCCCGATTAATACTATTATATATATATGTGTGTGTGTGTGTGTGTGTATATATATTCAAAACTTTTATCTCTGTTAAGCTGAGCATTTGGCTCATTTTATCCATTTCTCTCTCTCTCTCTCTCCTCTCTCTCTTCTCTCTCAAAACACACACACACACAGACAGACATTTGTATCTTGTGAAGAAAAAAAAAATTCTTCGTTGTTGTTGTTGTTGTTGTTTTTGCTATTTCCATTTTTTTTTTCATTCCACAGTTTGACGTCTTTATTATATCGCTATAGCCACACAACAACAACAACAACAACCGCCGCCACCACCACCACCACCATCACCATCACCACCATCATAGTTATCGATGATTATGATGATGATGGGCCCACCATCAACGTTATGCCACTGAAAAGAATTTTCTGTTTTTTTTTCTCCCTTAGAAAAATATACCTGTGTGTGTGTGTGTGTGTGTGTATAGCCAATATATAATTTTTTTTTTCTATTTGGTGCTAGTTTCAGTTCATTGCATCGATGATGATGATGATGATGATGATTATGATGATGGTGATGGTGGATTTTTATATTTTTTTTTTTGCTCTTTTTTTTCTATCGAAAAGATGTTAAGAGTTATTATTATTATTCTCCCTATACAGGTAGGAGAAAAAAACAACAACAATAACAACAAGGCGGAGGATGATAGATTATGAATTCTAGGATAGATATGGATGGATCCCAGCAAAAAAAATTTTGTATACATTCCAAATTCCAATAAATCAATTTCAACAATAACAACAATATATAAAAGGGAATGATGATTGGTAATGAGGATGAGCACACTCATGAAAAGAGAAAGAGAGAAATGAATATATTACATGATGATAGGCGGTTACAAATTTTATATTGTAACAACAACAACGACAACAACAACAACAACAACAGCAAACAACAACAAACTACAACTTTACACATAGAGAATGAATAAAACATACATATATATACAAGAACATCAACAAGAAAAAAAAATGGGCGTCAACTCGATAATAAAAAAAAAGGAAAAAGATGGGCGGAGTTTAATTGATGTTATTTTATTATTTTAGTTTTAGTTTCAGTTTTTTTTGTTTGTTTGTTTGTTTCTACATCTTGTCCAATTCTAGATAGACATCAATGAAATGAAATGATGAAAAAAAAAAATGTTCTCGCCCATAAACATCATCATCATCATCATCAGTTGATGTGCAAGTTGGTGTTTCTATTCATTCATTTTTTTTTTTAGATTTTTTTTCCATTATTTCTACCTGGCTAGAAAAAAAAACATGAACATGATGGTGAATACTAGTGATGATAATGGTGAATGGTAAAGGTGCCGCCAATTTTTTTTTTTTTTTTTGATTTCTTCACCTGATCATCATTCATTCACCAACCACGATTGTAGTATTTGAGAGTTGATGATACACCTACAATAGGAATACCTAACTTGGATTGTGTAAAGAAAGAGAGAGAAAGAAAAGAGAAAAAGAAATTTGGAAAACAAGAACAAGAGAGAAAAAAAAGAGCATGATGAACCAGAATTTTTTTTTTTTTAAAACTTGTTGAATTGAACACACACACACTATCAGCACCACCAAAGGTGCATCACAAATCATCATCGAGTATCGATATTCACATTTCACCAAAAAAAAAATAACAAAGAAAAAGAAAAGCTTTACAGATCTTTTAATTTTCGATTTTTTTAGGTTGTTGTTGTTGTTTAGGCTCCAACAATCAACTTGATGTTTTTTTTTCTCTTTTTGATGATGATTCTACATCATTGAATGATGATAATAGAATAGAGAAACATGGACACACGATTCTTCTGGTTGAATGATTTGGTGAATTGCTTTTTTCTTTTTCTTTTTTCTTTCTTTGTTTCTTCCTACATTTTATATTTTGCAGACTTATTTCTAGAAAAAAAAAATCTAAATCTCATTACATCAGGTAAACGTATGTGCGTGTGTGTGTGTGTGTGTGATATGATTTCTTTAAGGATTTATATCATCTAACAGGCTATTGTTAACAAAAAAAAAATTTCAAACTACACAAAAAACATCCACATAAGCTAAACATACACACACAAACTACTACACCATAGTATCTTTGATGTAGAAAATACATCGTGACGATGATGATGATAATCAACATCAGAAACAACGAAAACAACATCAACAGCAACAGGATATTTTGACCACACAAGATGACAATTATAAACATCATCATGTCTTGTGGATTTTTCGTCGTTGTTGTTGTTTGTTCTCGCTATGTGGTTGATTTGATTTTGAAATATCTATCTTTTTTTTGGGGGAAGAAAAAAAATGAAATAAAATTCTTTGATCTATATCTATCAATTTATGTGTCTTATTTGATTTATTTTTGTGAAAGGAAAAAGATTTCTTTCTCCGCTTATCAATCAAAATAGAGATATAGAGATAGAGAGAGAGAGAGAGAAATGGTAATTATACGCGCAGTGGACCTATATAGAATTTCCGGTCAATTTGAATAAATATCGCGCCCATTTTTTTTCTCTCTCTCTCTCGTTCTTATTATCATCATTATGTTGATGATGGCGAGATGATGATAATTATCATTATCTTATGAAAAAAAACAGCTGATACCCTAATATGGTCTGTACGCGCACACAAAAACACAGACAAAAATTCAAATCATCTGGCCATAAAAAAAAACAAAAATTCGGGTGCCGATCACGAACATCATTATCATCATCATCAAAGTTGAAGAAAATGAAAACGAAGAAAAAAAATAATAAATTAATTTGTTAGTGTAGACCACCACCACCAACACCAACACCTGACTTTATTTGACTTGACAACAACAACAGGTGAACGGAAATTGAACCATAAGATTGATTCTTTTTTTCTTTGCTGTCTAGAATTAGTCAGTGTAAGATTACACACACACACACACACGTAAACGTAAAACGCATATAGATCAGGCCTTTAGGCCGTTTTTTTTCTTGAGAAGAATTAATTGATTAATTATTTAATTAATCGAGTAGTGAGAAAATGTTTTTTTTGTTGTTGTTGTTCCACCATATTTTTCATTCATTTATTCATTTCTGCATATCTGTTGTATCATATAGCAACAACAACAAATTTTTTTTCCTTCTTTCTTTCTTTCTTCAACTGTGGAGGCATTTTAATTAGCCATATATATATACGAAATGAAGTGAAATG